CTATAAATCATGAACCTATTTTTACTAATTGTGCAACTATTTAGTAGGGTCAGTCTACATTGAGACTGTGGAGATATCTGTAAATAATATTCAGTACATCTAGAAATATCTAGAATATAAAGTTGTCTGTATAGAATGCGCCATCTAGTGCTGAAGCCGTGAATTTCAACATTAGATGGACAGATAAATCAAAATGCATCAGTCAGGTTGGAACTGTTTTTGTTCAATTCATGTTTTTGAATAGAAATAGATAAAAATATATTCCATTTGACAAATCATTAGCATAAAACCAAATTGTTTTTTCTTACATCATGCACCTTCACCAGGAAAGTTTCAAAATAATATTAAGCACAAGCAGCACTCTAAAGCTTATGTACCAAAAAGTATTCCCTTTCATGACACAAGACCCCCTCCAACTGAGTAAGTTTTTCTTGTATTTTTGTACGGCTTTCTTTCGTCATCAGAAAGCCTTTCATTATTGGGCTGCTGGTCAAGGTAGCCCACTGAATGGCTTCATTTAATCTCTTTGTTCAAGATAAGACATGTCCACAAGAACTCAGGGCTAGGATAATCTGTATATACAAATGACTCCCACAACATGTTAAAAATGCAACTGGGAGAGTTGAAACGAATAGAAATAACAAGGATTTGCATATAATATCTTTTATTATGTGGGACAAAGCAGGCTGGCTTTACTGAACTGACATCACAACATTTTATTGGTCTAAGCTGTAAACAACAACTAAAGTTACCTGGTTATCTGTGGGATGAACAAAACAAGAATAAGTGACCAGCTTCTGTGCATGAGATATTTTTTTCCTTCTTTTAAAATGGTATACACCCTGGAGGCATGGTAGATAGCAGCTCAGCCTCAGAAATCGGAGTGCTGAGTTCGAATTCCAGTCAAGTTCATTACATTCACTTACGTGCTAATACCCTTGAGAAAGGTGTGAATCCATCTTTTCTCTGTCCAACTAAGCAAGACAGACTGTGTTTTATAGCCTTGGTTGGCAACCAGTCTAGGAAAAGTCTGAATTCAAAACCAGCCTGGAGATGGTTGGGCTCCATGAGGCTATCTTCCCCAGGAATCACCACTGCTACTACTGTGGCAGCATATGTGTTGCCCATATGACTTCAGAGGCTTATGGCTTTTAAAAAACAAAAAAAAAATCACTGTGTATAAGGTCTGGGACCATTCAAGCTAGAGGGTTACAGAGTAAGAGGCATAGCTTAACATGGATTTATGTGGAAGATAAAGGTTGAACAGGTCAAAATTGTAGCAATCAAGGCAGCAGCATCTTGGGAGTTGGTTCCACAAGGCTGTTGTTCGTGATCAAGTGGAACTTACATCACACCAAAGGAATATGAAGAGACTGAAGTTGGTTAGCTACAATGCATGACATGGTTGGTCTTAGTCCTGAAGGTGGGACTAAGGAATGTAGTTCATCTGAACACTCATCATGGAAATAGGGATAAAGCAGTGAGAGGCTTGCAACATCTAGCCTGTGAGAAATGAGTTGTAGGGTGGAAAATAATTTGTCACCCACAAGGTTGTGAAGACTCTTTTGGACTCTATCAAGAGTGGAAAGTGAAGGCTGAGCAGCTCCTGCTCATATATGGCAGCAGTACTTCATTTAAGACATGATCTGGCTCCTGTAAAAATAGAAAATAGCAAGAGGAATCAGATAATTGCTAGAACAGTACAGGGAACCAACCATTTTTTCAGCCTCTTTAGTAATGGATTGTCTATATGTTGTGGCCTTGTTAGGGCCAGAAATAAAGACACAAAGCAAGGAATTGAGTTAAACAAATATATATTAACAGAAACAGTAATACAAACATATACAAACAAGTGTGTTACAGCAAGGATGTTCAGTCAGAGCTGAGTGCTAGAAACTTCCCTCTCTCCAAAAAGGCAGTACCTGCTCCTATTTATAGCTGGTAGAGTCCATACGTGTATGGGTAAATTACCATAACACGATATGAGTTCCATTTGAGGTCTAGTCTGAATTTAAGTCCCAGTAGATGCTCAAGGCACATAGCCTCCCTAAATGTGACCAGTCAGTTTTTCTCCAACTGAGCTGCTAGATCTCGGCCAAGGGTGAGATCAGATGCCAAGCTGTGGTCACTTTTCTAATTGGAAACTAATTAGGACCTTTTCTTATTAGAAATTAGTTTTCCCTTTTAATAATTCTGAAAAAACTAGAAGGATTTTGGAGATTCTTTTAATAACAAAAATCAATGCTATAAAAAAAAAGTACACACATTACACTCAATAAATTAGACAAGGGGTTCCCAAAGTGACTAATATTGACCTCTGAGGGTTGATAGAACAAACTAAGAGATTGATAAATGCCTTGGGAATCAATAAATGCTTCAGCAGGTTAAAAAGAGGTTAATAAATGCCTTGAAGATCAAAAGGGGGCAATAAATGCCTATGGGCTAAAAGGAAGTTAATGAATGCTTTAGGGTACAAAAATGGCTGATAAATGCCTTGGGGGTCAAAACGGGCCGATAAATACATGGGGGATAAAAGGAAGTTAATGAATGCTTTAAGGTAAAAAAACTAGCTAATAAATGCCTTGGAGATCAAAAGGGGGCAATAAATGCCTAAGGGCTAAAAGAAAGTTAATGATTGCTTTAGAAAACAGAACTGGCTGATAAATGCATTGGGGGTTAAAAGGGAGCCGATAAATACCAGGTGACTAAAAGAAAGTTAATGGATGCTTTAGAGTAGTGTATCCCAACCTATGGCTACTTAGCCAAAATGGGCCATGGCAAATTTCAGGTGGGCCACAGAAATTTTATAATTTTTATTGGGCCACCAGGCTAACATACGGACCGCAGATTATGGGCCACAAAATGCAAGTAATTTTTTACACTATAATAATTTCATGGTCCATAGAAAAATTCTGGGTTCATAGTGGGCCATGAGCTAAAAAAGGTTGGGAACGCTGCCTTAAGTGTCAAAAGGGGCTAAAAACAGCCAGGAGATAATAAATGACTGGAAGTCTGAAGGAGTTTGATAAATACCTTGGGAGTCAAAAAGGGGTTGCTAAATAATTTGGGTGTCAAAACTGGTTGGTAAATGCATGGGGGGTAAAAAAGAGTTGATAAAAACTTAGGATCAAAAAAAAGGCAGTAAATAAATTGTGATAATTAATGATTTAGACTCAGTAATTCCATTGTTTTGTGGCCCTTGCTATCTTATCAACATTTGCTTTTTTCTACCTACATTTAATACATATATGTTACAGCAGGGGTCGGCAACTCATTCGACCCCACGGGCCAGATTGTGTTATAATGACGGGTTGCGGGTCGGACGAAGGCCATTAATGAAAAATTACGGAAAATTACATATGCCGACCCCTGTCAACCTAAATATTTAAAACCATAATGAAAATAAACATTGAGAAATCAGAAAAACAAAAAAAAATCTAAAATTAAAAAAACACCTAACAAAAATTACTTTTCTTTAAGGAACGTCAAAATACTTCAAAGTGAAAAAAATCAACCGAAGGGAAATGGATGAAATTATGACGTGTAGGTTTGAAACTGTTATTGAAAATTGTTCCACAAACGAACCACACACACACACATCAAACAAAAACGAAGCACATATACCCATATATATGAGTACAAATAGTTGCAAACATATACACTTACGTACGTACACATGCGGTATCATCCACACATTCATGAGGCATGTATGTATAATGTGCATATGTTTAACTGTCTTTAGATTTCTGCTACCTCGCATGTCAGTCCCTCCCTGGCCTCTTTCACTTTATCATTCCTTTCGCTTCTGTTATCTTTTAATGTAGCCAAGGGTCATAACAAATATGTATCCATTATTTGACATTAAACGTAGGCAACACAACTTGGTAAAATAAGTCTCATGAAAGATAACTGGCAGTCTAATTCGAAAGCCTCGTCTCTCATGTTAAAAATAGTCATTGGTAATCAGGCTCGCGGGCCGGATCCGGCCCGCAGGTTGCCAACCCTTGTGTTACAGATTAAAGTAAGTAAACTAAGTACAGCTGACTATTACTAAAGAAGGACAATTTTGTGGGAGGGAATTTTAACATTATTCTTGGGGATTTTTTTTCCGTCAAAATCCGTGAAAAACACTATATAAAATTCACTAATTTTATCCATAAGGTTGAATGTGTTAAATTAAAATTCTTCAACTTTTTAACAAGAAAAATCTCAAGTTGATATTAAAAATAGCCGCAAAACATTGTTGATTTATTTAAGGTAGAATAGGTCTCTCTACTAGAATAAAGTTTCTAAAGTTTAGAGAGAATCTGAAACTAATTTGTACTATAAACAATACATTGTATAAAAACTAATACATCGTATTCGTATTTATTTAAAATTTTTCTACTTGAATTGTTCACTTACGTAATCCATTATTGTACATAATTAGGTTACAATAAAATTTGTATTTTAATTTTATGAATATTACCTTATGAAAATTGAGATGTCGTAGAATGGAGGGGGTCCGTATTGTAGATTGAGGGGCGGGACACGAGACTATTGCATTGACCCTATTTATTTATTTGTTTTTACACTTTTTTATTAATTCTTATTTTAAATTAAATATTATTATTTAATTATTTTGTATTATTAATTAACTAATAAAAAATTTTATATAACTTTTTTGTTTGTGTATAGTTTTTTTATTTATTCTTTTTTTGTACCAGTTATTCAATTTCAAATTAAAAAAAAAGTTCTTAAATCTTGTTCCAGTTGACTAATCTGTAAGAAGACCCTTTTTATTTTTTTTACCCCGTTTCAGTTTGTAAGTATTTCAATGAAACGCATGACATCTCAACATATTTTTAAAAAGTAAACGCATTGTAAGATAAATAATTGTCCCGGCCTTGGTTAACATGGGTGTAACCTCAACTTCAACACCGCTTTTTAGTTTCATTTCTTATGTAGAGAGAATAAGTTGGCAAGGGTCAATCATGGTGTCCCATTTGATCTCATATCGGATGATAACCTTGATGAGAAAATTAGAACCAGTGCTGACCCGTTGTCCCTTAGTTCGTCATGTCACTGCCTGGACATCTAACCAAAGCAGGTGGGTTGTTTTTTGGGGTTTTTTTTAGAAATTATTTCTCTTGTACACCGGTTGTTTTGTTTATTATTGCTAAATTCAAACTTTTCAAAAATATCTTGTTAAAGTTAAAAATGTAAGTTCTAACAAATAAAGTCTGAGTTGTACAGTAGACACTGAGGCCAGAAAGAATAGGTGATACTGCTACTTTTACTTACTTTACTAGTAACTACTATTAAAAATAAAAAAAAACAAAAAAAAACAAAAAAAAAACAGAGAGCCCCGCGCATGAATGTTGGATTTTTTTAACATAAAAAACGCGTGATCCTTAATTTTTAAACTTTAAATAGTAATTAAATAACAATATTTATTTTATTTAAACGAATATACCATTTTGAAAGGTGAAGAAAAAATGTTTTCACTGTTCATCAGTACATGTGCGCGCGGGACCACTTTTGTGAAGTAGTACCAAGTAATCATATTTTTTTTTTTTTTAAATATTTTCTCCATATTACTAAGTATTCTAGATCACGATAGATCCTTTCTGTTATTTCACTTAACAGTAACACAAATAATTCCATCCCCACCAAAAAAAAATTAAATTTTTTTTTTAATCAAATTTTGTTTGTTTTTTTTTTTTTTTCCTAATTTTTGGCACTCTTATCTTTTGAAATTATAAATTTTTAAATTAAAATGTTTCTTGCCTCGCAACAACTCCAACCCTCAGAATGAAAAATTACCAAAAATCAAGGAGTTATTCTATTCACATTTCGTAAGTGCGGATGATCGAGGTACTTACAAGAAATTTTTTATAATTTAAAAAAAAAAAAATCTGTTTTTGGCTTGCTTATCGGGTTGAGCGCGAACGCTAACCCCACATTTAGAAAAATCGCACCCGAATCGCCCACATTTGAGGCGATCGTAAAGAAAGATCAATCCAAAAGGAATGGAAGGGATTCGCTCTGGGGAAATTTGTGAACTTTAGTAAAAATATAAATTCTTTTTTATTTTAGAGTAAAAAATAAAAATAAAAAAAGTAAAAACTAATAGAAAAGATCCAATGATGATTTCTAAAGTTATATAGGGACTGCCCAGCTTGTTAATGGAAAATTAATTTTTTTTAAAAATGGATCTCCTTTGAAAGCCAGAACAACATGCTCAGGTCATACCATGTGATTTCTTTCTTAAAAAAAATTATTTTTTTTTTAAATTCATAGGAATATGAAAAAGAATTTTTTGGGGAAAAAATTCTTTCTGAACTTATTGCCTATCTTTTACAACTCCACCTAAATATTGTACTTTTAATTTAAGCAAAGTTTCTGTGTACAATCCACACACGGCAAATCAAACACTAAATCAGATGATTAATGAATTACTATTCGTATACCAAGTTGAACTTTTATGCACGATTATAAGTTTATTTTAAACAAACATTTTTTTTTTTTTATTAGTCAAGTGCTCAAGTCATAACCTTGACACCGAAAAATAAAGATTTGACATGTTGACACGATTTGGCTGAAAAAACGTCAGTATTACTACAGTTCGCCACAGACCAAAAAATGTTTCCATCACCCTGAAACCGACTATAAATAAAAGCTATGATGAGGTCACTGGTCTTTGGGACATTTTTTACCACTTTGACTTAGTGGATGGATACCCATATTTGAATAGACGCTCCTTTTATTGTTATTTTTTTTAAACAACGTATTTATTTTTGTCTGACGGCCTGAATATTCGAGAAGTCATACCAAAGAAAAATATGCCCTCAGGCAAGATGAACCTACGTCCCCCTTTGCAAGAGAAATTGCTGTTAGGTCCGACGTGAACCGACTCAGCCACGAAGGGCGTCGCCGATTAAGCACGGTTGAATGTTACCTTTTAAAAGCGAATCCCTAGACTCCCTAGACTTCATAACTGCTCAGTTTCGTGTCCGAAATGTAAAACAAAAGCAATTTCTAAAAATAAGTAATGGATTTTTTTTATTTAATCCGGTAGTTATTTTATTTTTATCACTTTTTAAACGTGTGTTTTTTTTTTTTTTTTTTTAGTGGATACCCATATTTGAGTAGACGCTCTGTTTATTTTTAAACAGTTTATTTATTTTCGTTCGTCTTCTACCGCATTGAGCATTTTCCTTTAATAAGATTTGCCACACTTGTGACCTTGTTTCAGATTTAGTTAAATCACAGTTAGAAAAAATAGGGCGCCTACTGGAGAACAATAATTTCTCAGTTTCTTTCCTCAACCAAGTTGGGTTTTTTTTTGTGTGTGTGTGTGTATATCGAGCCTTACAACCAAGTGCCGTACTATGACCTTCCCTTGTGGGTTAAAAACCTAAGCTCCTACTGTAGTGCAATGGTTCTCACAGGACAATCTGTTTTTTAAACAAATGTTTTTAACTTCAATCCTCGCCAAATGCTTACAGGTGTCCTTGTGTCAAACTAAGCTGTGCTTCGTTAGAAAAAAAGTTTGTTTCGCAGGCTAAATTGATAGTGTTGCAAGTTGTGCTGTTTCATACAATACCTCCACAAACACATATTCACACAGAAAATGAGGAAGCTAAAAAACAAAATTCTGACATCACACCTACAACGAAAACCGGCAGAAAAGTCCACTGGCCTAAACATTTTAAAGAATATATCACATATTGAAAAACATATGTATCTTTCATATATTTTCCAATCTGGGGGGGGAGTATTGTGCTGTTTCTTATTTTATTTTCCACACACGCATACACACAATAAAAATTAATTCACACCACGTGTATCAAAAAATACAATTGCGCGGGAATTCATTCCTTACCATGCCCTGTGGGGTCAAAAACAAGGACGGCGCACCCAAAAGTTCGGACGTAGTGAAAAGCATACCACGTGGTCAAAAATAGGATTTATTGACCAATCAGGACTCGACATAAGAAACCCATTTCTTAATCTCCCCGGAGCCTCATCATTCTTATATAAGGAAGGTAGAAACTCTCATCAGAAGGGAGAGAGAACAGCGACAAGCTGACATCAAAGCGACACGGACAGTTTCGAGCACACACACCGAGAGGATTCAGCGGTTCACACAACAGGCAGTATCACGTATCAGTGAACATTCTTTCACCCTCTCTTTCTCTCATCTCGCTCGCTACACATAGTCCTACCTTTCCTCTCACATTCCCAGTTCCTTTTTTTCTTTTTTCTTCCGCAGCTTTACGGACAATTTCATTTTTGTACAAGGAAAAAAATAATTCTTTACAAAAATAAACAAAAGTTTATTTTACTTTATTTGTAGTGTATTTTCTTTTTATTATTTGTTTGAGGGACTTCTTTGCACCCTCTACAAAGTTCGATCTTCATTGAAATACCTTACGACTGGTCCTGTGCTAGACTAAGATAGTAACTTAATAAAAAAAAATACACTTTTTTTTTTTTTTTTTTTTTTTTTTTTTTTGAATGACAATTATTCAATTGTATTTGTGCGTAAGTGAATGTAACGAACCCGACTGGAATTCGAACTCTGTTCTCCGAATGTGAAATTGGAGAGCCGAGTTCAAATTCCTGCCAGTTTTTTTGTTACATTCACTTACGCGCAAATACTCTTGGTCCAAGAGAGTATTTGCACGTAAGTGAAAAGATGGATTCATACCTTTCACAAGAGTCCATCTTTTCTCCTCCCAGCTATGGGTCGAAGAGCAGGACAGACTGGGTCCTATAGCCTTGGTTGACAACCAGTCTACTGTAGAAAGAAACGGCAACGTACTGCGGGAAAATATTCTGCCTAATCAGTCATGAATCGAATGAGTCCTGATCGCCCAAGCATATATCACTTTTTTTAACTGACTGGTTGATTGTATTGTTTTTTTTGTTTTTTTTTTACGGCTCATCAACATTTATCAGGTTATTTAAAAAAAAACATAAAGTGTGTTTTAGAAGTATTTTTTTTTTTTTTTTTTGTGATAATAATGATTTAATGATCAGTTATGTTCCATTCGTGATACACACGATGTAGGCGATCATGTATATTTTGATGCATGACTGACGAGGCAGATTTTTTTTCCCGCAGTAGGTTGGATTTAAAGTCCTAACTTAAGCAATAGCAGGGGGACGAGAGACGGTCATACCTTTCCGAAGTGTACTTGCAAATATAAAATGAACCTACTGGAATTTGAACTAAGCTCTCCGATTTCCAATTCCGAGCTGTTATTCATTACACCACCCGCACATCTAAGCTTACAGCACCTGGTATACATAAACAGTCACCCATCTAGGTACTGACTATGCTTGACGTTGCTTAACTTCGGTGATCATACAAGAACTGATGTTTGAACGTGATATGGCCGTGACTGATTGTAATGTATTGGACAAATTTTAAATTTAAAATGAAATATTTTTTTAAAAAATCAGCTGATATTCTTCAAATAAAATTTCAGAAAGTTTATGTATTTTTGGAAGATTTTTAATAAAGAACAATTCATTGCGATGACAGATGACTAAAGAAGGGGACGCTAATCAACTATTTTTTGGGGGCCTGATTGAGGAGTGTTAACATCTAGATTCTAGACAATACAAAAAATTTTTAATCTAGTTTGGAGCTTTTTTTATTCATCAGGGTGCGGTTTTTTATTTTTTTTATTTTTATTTTTTTTTGTTTTTTTAGCGAAAGTGGACATTCCTACTTCAAAGTATGTTTCATCCGAGAACAACACTTTCTTTCCAATCTTCCACCGTTCAGTCTTTGAGATTTTACCCACTGGAGTCGTTTATCCTTCATTCTTTCCGTCAAAAGCTGTTTTTATGTGATTTTCTGGCTTCAAGTAATTGTTTAGAGTTCTATTTTTGATTAATTTTGAAACATGGATGTATTTAAAAAATATTGCTGTTTTCAAAATAATTTCAATCAGTGGCTAGTTTTAATTTAAAACTGTATAACGCCTACGCATTACTTAGAATTCTAACGATTTTTCTTGGAAAAGGGTCTAGGTTTTTTTGGGCAACCGTGTGACCCAAGTAGGTATATAAACCAAACAGCCCGAATCATGCACCAGTGAGACTAGAAGTTCTTTGTATATATGTACTTTATTATCCTTAAAATGTTAATATTACGGGGTGAGTTTTTCTATAGGTCCCCCACCCCCTGAGAGGATGTGGTATTATGGTGTATGGAGGATTGATTGGTGACAGACGAGTTTTATGGTGAATGCGAAAATTGTAATGAGTGAATGGGTCGTGAGTCGGATTAGCTAGGTATAAGAGTTAGTGATGACCAGTCTCACCACCGCCCCTTTTTCGACTTTGTGCCATAATTATGTATTTCCACGTAATAAATATCGTGAGACCAGGAGTTCGGCCTTGTGCCATAATTGTATTTTTATACAATAAATATAAAGACCAGAAGTTCCCAACAGAAAACCTGGAACTTTTCGTGAGAAATTGCAGTTGAATACAGTGAAGCAACAAAACGAATCTTTCTTAAATACGGCATCAGAAATTTCAACTCTCACTACAAAAAAGAAGCTGCATCAATTCTTGTAAAAAACTGTATGACAAGTAATGTACTAAAAAAGCCTTCTTTTTTTTCTCACTCACTCAATTTCAAATTACAACCTTTTCAAAAAATATCTGACACATTGCACAAAGAAAAATATATATTCTATTTCAATAACAAATTTATCATCTTGCAAGCTCGTGTACCAAACTCACAAAATTTGTTAAATTCATTCATTCTCGAATTTATTAATTTTAAATTCTATTTCTTTGTATGTGATGCAATTGTAACAATATAAAAAAAGGCGCTCGCTCTCTCTCTCTCTGCGAACCATTCACAGTTAAAGGCAGACAACTTTGTTCATTTTATGGAAAATAATTTTGCAAGCAAAAAATTACTCATTTGTTTTTAAAAGAACAGTATTTGCAATTTTAAACTGACTTATTAAAAAAGAAACAAATCAAAACATCCAATTTTATATGACTGAAAAATATATTAGACAATAGATTTTAAAAGAAAAATAGTGAAACTTTCCTGTCAGCAAAGAACAAAAAAAAAAGAAAAGAAAAAACAAGTTTTCGAAAGATAGAATCTCTTTGAATTTTATTTCAGCAAGAACCAATTGTAAATTTCTGTATATAAATTTGAATATCTTTTTCTCGCATACAAAAGGAGTGGTTTTATCATTTAATATAAAATATTGACCTTGTGGTGCCAGGTGGACAACGAAATTTAAATATTTGTAGAGTTTTCTTCACGCAGTCTAATCGGCTATAATTGCTAAAAATAACAAAAAGCCTTCTGATAATATTTTTTTAAAATTAATACTCTTTAGTCTTTAACTCTGCAACGGTTGTCTCCTGACAGTTGAGTTGAGTCAGATATGGACACACTGGATTCCACTAAGAATTTGTTGCCAGGTCTCTGCTACTCTTCCTCTGGTTTTAAATGCTGTTTCTGAACAGCATTGCTTTCTTCCACAACTTCCCTTTCTGAAAACTTTATTGTGACCCAACAGAAACTGCCTTTCCACAATGCGTCCAACACAGGACTTTTTTGGGCTATTTGTCGCACAGGTTTGAATACTCATGGCGCGCAATAACCTGTGCACGCTTTCTAGGAGTTATATCCGTTTTTATTTTACCTGTTGAAAGAAAATAATCAGATTAGTTTTGAAATCAGAAGCAGTAACAAAAAATAAAAAATCTGACTTACAAGATAAATCACACAACTAAATACAAAGTTTTTTAGTCACAACACAAATAAAATATAAATTCTCTAAAATATTCAAAATTGTTTCAAGTGATTGTAATGTAACAGGAATGTGCACTGTAAATGGCTTTATTGTGATTAAGGATTCATTAAACTATTGTGACGCTGCCCAAAGACTGTATAAAAGAAAGATATATTTTTTAAACTGAAGTCACTGTCCCAATTAATTCACACGGTTCGGTAATAAATGTTAATTGTTATAATATGGAGCCTCATATGATGAATGTTTGTCGAGCTAGCATCACATCCATACGTGTGATTAATGCAAGAAAATGTCAACTCCCCCTTTTGGTAATCCTCACGTATCAGGGATTGACCCTGGCCCTCTCCCTTTTAAGTGTAATAGGGAAAGTGTAGTCTGGTGAGGACGGTCCTTGGATTTGTTGAACATTAATTTCCGCTTTTGGGTCCAGAAAAAGACGAAAAATTATTACAAACCAAGGGAAGTAATTCTTAACGACTAAAAATTTGGAAATAATTTGATTTTTTTTTTTTTTTTTTTTTCTCTCCAACGAAGTCACAAAACAGCAAAAAAAAAATAAACTGTTTTGGAACTTCAGTTTAAAAAGTAAAACTCATTTTAAATAATTTAAATAACTTTGAAGTTGAATTTTGGTTTTATTTGAAAGATAATAAATTTAATTCGTGAAAAAGAAAAATAGGTTCAATAGGTCCCACCCCCCTTGAATCTTTGATTTGGGGGCCACAAACCCTTTAAAATTGGTCGGGAAAGGCACCACCATTTTTAAATTACCAAAAATCAGGAAATTATCCAATTTAAATGAAAATTTCAGTAAATATTAATTATTGGTAAGTTTACTTTTTAATCCCCATGCTAAATAACTACTATTTAAATTTTCTGAAATCATCATATTTCTGTGTAAATGTACATGCAGAACTCAAAATAAAAATTAGATTATGATAAAACCTACCGTTCTGGAGTTATAAGAAAAATTCGGACTTGCTCACAGTCATTCGTCCACCATTACCGGCTTTGTGTAATTAGATTCACTGCTGATCACTTCTGTCGCGCAATCATTAAAAATGTATAGTGACTTATTGATATTGTTAATTGATTGCAGTCATAGAATTATTGAATTCTGAACATTTACAAAAATGAAAAAGACATAACATTGGAGAGTCAGATGTCTGAAGGAATCACCACGTATGCTCGGCTGTTGACAGAACAAGAACAATCTACATTCTTGCAAGTTTTATAACAACATCAATAATGTTAATAATGATGATTGTAAGCACTTCCCATCCCACGAGAGAATGCTTGGAGCAAGATGGTTCCAGTGGGCAGTTTGCATAATAAAGTTGTCAAGTTTACCATGTGTCATTTCAACTTTTCAGCAGCCAGTCTCATATAATATATCTTTAAGCCCTAAGCCCAGTGGAACAGTAAGATTAAATAAAGGATTCAGTTTGAAATTCTGTGAGGGTTACATAGATCAACAAACACCTGAAGAAGGCCAAAGGATACAGTGGCCGAAATGTTGTGATAATGACAACAAAGATGAGGATATTAGTCTGAATGTAAATAACTTCTCATCCCAGTAATTCAAACAGAAATCTTGATTTTTTTTTTTTTTTTTTTAAATTTTAAGCGGTGACTTCATAATTTCCAAGTAGTAAAAAAAACTCTTCTAAAGTGTTAAGTATAACTCAGACTTTACAAAAAAAATTGGTGACCCTGATGAAACATTTCATATAAACTTTCATTAATTTCTTTTTCAATCTTCTTCAGTTCTCAGAAAAAATTTGATATCGTCATTGTTGGTGCTGGTATTGTTGGCCTGGCAACAGCACGGAACTTGATTCTTCGACATCCAAATCTTTCTTTTGCAGTTTTGGAAAAAGAAAAAGAATTAGGTAATATTTTTTTTTTTTTTTTTTTTTCTTCAGTTTTAGTAAAAAAAAATTGTAATTTTTAAATTCTGAAGCTTTTGTTTTTTATGAACTGATTTAAAAAAGGAATTGTAACACGGGTAAGGCATAAAATTACTTTCGGTAACTTTACCTATTTGAAAAGTAATATATTTTCTTTTTTTTTTTAAATCATTTTGCTCCAAGAAAGGCAATAAAGCCACTGAGACGCAAGGGGTTACTAAATGTGAAAGAATATAAGAAAAAGAAAGAATTATTAAGTAGAGAGAACAATAAAAGAACATAAATTAAGAAGACAGAAGATAACAATTGACATTGCAATTTAAATTTTTGAAGATCAAACTTGATTGGAATGTAAGAAGCTGGAAGAGAGTTCCCTAAGTGAGAAGTATGAGAGAAGAAACTGTTAGCATAGAACTTACAGTTACATCTAACCATTTTAGCTGTAAAATGATGAGACTTTGCCACCAATTTGGTACTGCACTTACATTCATAAAGTTCATCAGAACAATTAGCATGAAAATATTTATAGAAAAGGCACAGGTAAGCTACATTATGGCGGTGGGAAAGTGACTGATACTATGATGTCAGGACCAATAACATTGCAGATTCTTCTTTGGATTTTATCAGAAATCTCTAAATATATAGCAGAAGCACCAGACCAGCTGTGGCAGCAATATTCATTGCATGGATGAATGGTAGAATTATAAATGTGGAAGATAGATTAATTTGGTTCGTCAAAGAATATACTTCACTCAAAATACAAAGTTTGCCTTTTTACTATCTCTCCCAACACTTCCTGCTCTGGCATCTAAGGCTGGCCAAAGCAAAAAGAAAAAAAAATTGTTTTTGAAGACTGTATAAGCAAAAATTTGGAAGAAATAAAAAGTGCCTCAAGGAAGATACAAATGTTAAAATCTACTTACGGGAGATAACCCATATCAGTTTATTCACTTTTGTGTCACTTGTCCATTTTTTTTTTCTACATGACAAGAACACTTATTAATTAATGCAAAACATCCTCAAAGTAAAATAAGAACATTCTATTCTCATGAATTGAATAAAGTGTAGAGTTCAAAATTCTGAGAAAATTATGAAATATAAAGACAGACATCTAAAGTAGGCCAGATGGTGCAACCACTCAGTATCACAACCAAGATAAAAAATGTTACAAGATTTGATTGATTAATTTTTTACAGTTTCTCAATCCATTTTAGGTTATTTAAAGCCAGAAAATATTATTAGAATGGAAGAATTTTTATAATGATGATTCCACACCTGGTGAATTCTGACTAAAATGGTCAAATCGGTAATAGCCGAAACATTGTGAGTATAACAACCAAGATGAGAATGCTAGTCTGAATAGCAAAGCATATAATAATGATAATTCCTCATCTCAAGAATTCTAAAATTATCAAATCAGTAATAGCAGAAATGTCAGTATAATTTTTTTTTTTTTTTTTTTTTTTTGTGGGTGGGGGAGTTTAATCCCTCTACAGGAAATACAACGAGTATATTCTATTCTCCATTACTTGTCCTCGACTTTTGCATCTCATTACTCACCTGAAAGCCACTTCCTCCCAATGTTCCTTCATCAACATAATGGTTCACAGCCTTTTCAAATAGATAATGAGTGATAACGGGGGGGTGCTAGGTACAACTATGCATTTTTTTTACAGCCAAGCAGATTGTTCAGGTTTTGGACATATTTTTGGAGTGTCTGGAAAAGGTGTGTGTGTGTAACGAACAGTGGGTGTTTTATATGTCATTAAATATCTGTATGTCAATCAGATTTGATTTACTCCTAAAATTTATTTTTAGCCTTACATCAAAGTGGAAACAACAGTGGGGTCATTCATGCTGGAATTTACTATGCCCCAGGGTCATTAAAAGCCAAACTCTGTGTCGAAGGACTGAACTTGGCGTATAAATACTGTGACGAAAATGATATCCCTTACAAGAAATGTGGCAAGGTATAACTTATAACATTGTTAATTAATACATCATTGATATTAATATTTTATTGTTTTTTACTTATTCAAAAATTTTTATTTTCTTTTTCCCTTTAGTCTTTTTCTAGTTATTTTTTCTTATGCGTTTTAGATGATTTTTCTCTTTTTCTTTCTCTTTTCCATTTTTTCCTATTTTTCTTTTAGTGGTTTTTTTTTTTTTTTTTTTTACTTATTTGAAATGTTCTCTTCTTTTTTCTTCTTTTCTTTTTAAATGTTTTTTTCCGTCATTCGTTTTCTATTCATTCCTTTCCTTTTCTCCTATTACCTTTTGTATTTTATGTTGTTTTTTTTATTGTAATTGTTTGCTCTTTTTTTTTTCCTTCATTCTTTTTCCATTTTTCTGTTCCTTTTACCATTTGTTTTTCGCTTTTTACTTACTTTAAACATTTTTTCTCTTCTTTATTTCCTACTTTCTTTTTGCATTTTTTCTTTTTTTATTTATTCTAAATTTTTCTCTTCTTTTTTATCCTCTCTTTTCCTTTTTATTTCTGACTTTTTTGTACATATGAAATTCTTGTTGCAGAAAACTTGTAAAAACTTTTTTTTTCTTTTTTTTTTTCACAATCTCAGACTTTCATGTCCTCAAAAAAAATGAAGTGTCAAAAGGATGATTTTTCCCTTGACACCGCTACTATTTTAACTACCTTCACTCCTCAGCAATGTTTGTTCTAAAAACTGAATTAGAATTTTAATAAAACCTAAACATGTGATGAAAGTGAAGTTATAGATTTTTCTTAGCTCTTGATAATTTACAACAAAAATATTAAACACTATTTATTTATTATATTGTTTATTTACAAGAATAATTTTATATTTACAACATTCTAAAAACTAATACAATTAAAAGTAATGCAATACTTATCATTTACCAATTTATAAAGAAATAAACATGAAAATTTTTTATCCATAAATTTATGAACATTTACTCAATTATTAAAATGTGTGAACTAATTATAAGGAAATTCTTATTATTTACTGTTTTATAAAAACTATTTAAATAAACAATCTAATAAATAAATAGTGTTTATTATTTTTGTTGTCAATTCTCAAAAACAAAAAAAAATATAAATTTGCTTTCACATGTTTAGATTTATATTAAAATTGTAATCATTTTTAAAACAAATATTTCCAAGAATAGATAGTCAAAATAATAGGTGTCAAGGGAAAAACCATACTTTTGTTACTCCTCTTTTTTTTTTTTTTTTTTTTGTGGGCTCAAAGATGCAACACTTTCCCTCTTTTTTTCTTTCTTTTTCTTTTACCTTTCTTTTTTCCTTTCTTTTTTCTTTTTTCCTTCTTTTTCTTTCTCGTTTTCTTTTTTCTTTCTTTTCTCTTTTTCTTTCTCTTTTTCTTTCTTTTTCTTTTTTCTTTCTTTTTCTTTTTCTTTCTTTTTCCTTTTTCTTTCTTTTTCCTTTTTCTTTCTTTTTTCCTTTTTCTTTCTTTTTTCCTTTTTCTTTCTTTTTTCCTTTTTCTTTCTTTTTTCCTTTTTCCTTTTTCTTTCTCTTTTTCTTTCTTCCTTTTTCTTTCTCTTTTTCTTTCTTCCTTTTTCTTTCTCTTTTTCTTTCTTCCTTTTTCTTTCTCTTTTTCTTTTTCTTTCTTTTTCCTTTTTCTTTCTTTTTCCTTTTTCTTTCTCTTTTTTTTTTCTTTTTTTTTTTTTTTCTCTTTTATTTTTTTTCTCTTTTCTTTTTTTTCTCTTTTCTTTCTTTTTCCTTTTTTCTCTTTTTTCTTTTTTCTCTTTCCTTTTTTCTCTTTTTTCTTTTTTCTTTTTCCTTTTCTTTTTCTCTTTTTCTTTCTCTCTTTTTCTTTCTCTTTTCCTTTCTTTCTCTTTTCCTTTCTTTTTTCTCTTTTTCTTTTTTCTTTCTTTTTTTTCTTTTTTCTTTCTTTTTTTCTTTTTTCTTTCTTTTTTTCTTTCTTTTTCTTTTTTTTCTTTCTTTTTTCTTTCTTTCTTTTTTCTTTTACATTTTCTTTATTTGTATAGACTCAACATAAACTTGAGTAGTATTTGTATACTCAAGCATAGAAATAAAGAATAAACCTTGTCAATAAAGAAACATGATACTGCAAATGATATATAATTAGAAAATAAACTTCTATTCTCCTATACCTAATAAATATTGGGAGTTGCAAGGAAGGCAACATTTAATTACTAGATGAGGTTACGGGGGTCAAAATAAGTTAGTTCTACTAGAACTTTCTGTTTTAACACACCATTTGAGGGAATTAGCATGAAGTGTAAAAAACTTTAAGATGCCCAGAATGTGGATATTAGTTGGTTTTTAAAAAAAAAAAAATTTGAAAAGATAGAAGTTGACATATCTCACCTTCCAACTTATTCATCTGTTTTCTGTCTTCTTTTTTAAAAAGTTTAAAATGATTTGATAAATTTCTAAATGAAAAGGCATCAGGTTGAAGGTCAGTCATGATGATTCTTTTGTAAATTTTTGGCAATTGGAATTTAGAACAATAAATCTGAAAAATTAGTTTAATCAAACTCAATATAATCAAGATACAAAATGGCCAAAGCAACAGCCAATCATTTTCCCTGTAACAGTCCCATGACACTGATTACATAAATACCAAATCCACATTATTCAGGCAAAACCAAGCAAGACTGCCCCCTCACCTTGGACAGTGGTATCAGCAAGAATGGAGCCAGCAACCTTAAAATTGATTTGTTTTTTATGGCTTATCAACCTTTTGCAGGTTATTTAAAGCCAGAAAATATTTTTGGAGATAAAACGGATTTACTAATACAAGTCCAACTGAATGTATATAGAAGTAGTTTGGATTAAGTATGACAACATAATTTCAGTCATGAAAATTGACTGATTTGTTTTTTTTTATGGCTTATCTACCTTTTGCAGGTTATTTAAAACCAGAAAATATTTTTGGAGATAAAAAGGATTTACTGATACACGTCCTACTAATTAACCCATAGCTAGGGATTTATACTTTTCCCAAAAGTATTTGTGCATAATATGAGAAAACCAACTGGAATTGGAACTCAGCTCTCCGATTTCCAGTTCTTTGCCCAGGGGCGGATCCAGCAATTTCAGTTAGAGGGGTCATATTCCTCAGTAGAAATCTCAATTCAAAATTTTAAATTCTGTGATTATATTTATTAGGTTCTACAAATGAGTAGAGATTTTTATTTTATATATATATATATATATATATATATATATATATATATATATATATATATATATATATAATTTAAATTTGCATTTTCTTTTATTTGATATGTAAAATTGTAAATTCAAACTTTTAAAGTTAAAGTGTGATTATATAGTATTTATGAAAGAGGGTTTTTTGCAGATTCTTATTTGCATAAATGTTCCCAATTTTATCATAGTCTAAATGAATGTCTTTGTGAAAATATACACAAGAACAAGCGCATTAAATCTGTCTTCACTCATTTTAGCTTACCTTATCTACTTTGCAACAAATAACATTTTCTCAGAAATTGATAGGGGTGTACCCTCTACACCCCCGTCTCCTTGAATCCACCCCTGTAAAGCCATTATTCATTACAGTCACCAATCTAGGCACTGACCAGGCTCAACATTGCTTAACTTTGGTGATCATACGAGAACCTGTGTTTCAATGTGATATGGCTGTGGATTAAAAGTATGACTTCTTCTACAAGAACAAAACAACTGTTCCCTTAAGTTTAGTCCACAGATGCAAACACCTTCTTTTTTTTACTTTTTTTTTCTTTTTTCTTTTTTTTTTCTTTTTTTATTTTTACCGTCCTGAGTATGATGATAAATTACATCCGCCTCCTGGGTAAGACCTCTGATCAGGAGGCTTTGAGGAGCATGGAACCACCTCTTAATTGCTGGTGTTCCCAGGTCCACCCTGACCTAGGGTGGTAGCACCTGTTAGGGTCCCAGCTATGGGCAAATAGTTAACCCCGAAACTGAGGTCAAAAGCATTATGAAAGTGTAAAAATAGATTTTAGTACCAGAAATACTTTGTAAAAATTATTACCAGAAATAAATTTTTGAAGAAAAACTATTACCAGCAATACATTTTTGAAAAAAAATATTACCAGCAGTACATTTTTTTAAATTACCAGCTACACATTTTGGAGGAAAAAAAATATATTACCAGAAATAGATTTTTGACAAAACAAAAATATTACCAGGAAAAAAAAAATAATTAGCATTAAATGACCCATTGAGGTTGATATGCTATAAAACAAACCAAACCCTTTTTTTTTTTTTTTTTTTTTTTTTTTTTTTTAATATGTGGATATTAAATAGTACAGGTCATTGTGTTTCTTTTTCTTCAAAAGCTGTCACACAGTTTTTTTGAGTGCATGTGACTTAACACTAGCACTGCGCAACCCCATAAACTTGGGGTTGTATCCTGGTGTATCCCTGTGGATATAATTACTACATTCCATAAATATCATTCTCATTTTTTAATTATTTACATACAGACTACAGTCCTTATCTTTGTTGTTATTATTATAACATTTCGACCATTTTGCTTTCTGGCCTTCATCAGGTGCATACCAATCTGAATAACCTACAGGGAATTCCAAACTGAATCCTTTACTTAATCTACAGGTGTAGACTGTTCTAGTTCCACTGCCCATGTCTAGGGATATCGCATCTTATTTTTAGTACTGCTCATTGCTCACTCTGCTTCCACTGAGTCCAAGTACACACTGCCCAGCCCAGGGATTGAACTCACAATAGCTTAGTGGATTAAAGTGCTGGTTCGTGAATTTAGTGACCAGTAAGATGTCGTCAATTTGGTGACACAGTAATAACTCATCCTAGAAATTCAAACAGAAATTCATTTTTCATGTGTTTTGATTAATTTATTTTTTACAACTTAAGCTTTTGCAGGTTATTTAAAGCCAACAAAATATTTTTAGAGTATAAGAATTTTTTGAGATAAGATTGATTTACTGATACAAGTTGTACTAATTAACCCATAGCTGTGGCTGGAATTGGAACTCAGCACTCCAATTTTCAATTCCAAGCTGTTATCTATTACACCATCCACACATCCAGACTTACAGCAACTGGTATTTCCATGCAGTCACCCATTTAGGTACTAACCAGGTTTGATGTTGCTTAACTTCAGTGATCATATGAGAACCTTAAAAAAGCAAGCAAGTATTGCTATTAGTTTTTTAGTGTAAATTTCTTTGATTTTTAAAACCCTCAATTTTTGTTTTTTTAAAACCCTCAATTTATAATGTTTTTTAAAACTTTCAATTTATAATGTTTTCTTTTTAAAACCTTCAATTTATAATGTTTTCTTTTTAAAACCTTCAATTTATAATGTTTTCTTTTTAAAACCTTCAATTTATAATGTTTTCTTTTTAAAACCTTCAATTTATGTTTTCTTTTTAAAACCTTCAATTTATAATATTTTTTTTAAAAGCCTGAATTTATAATGTTTTTTTTAAATCTCAATTTATGTTTTTTTTAAAACCCTGAATTTGTTTTTTTTTAAAACCCTGAATATTTTTTTTTAAACACTGAATATTTTTTTTAAACCCTGAATTTATGTTTTTTTAAAAACCTCAATTTGTTTTTTTTTTAATCTCAATTTATAATGTTTTTTTTAAAACCCTGCATTCATGTTTTTTTTTAAAACCCTCAATTTGTTTTTTTTTTTTTAAATCTCAATTCATTTTTAAAAAAAAATCTCAATTTGTTTTTTTTAAAACCCTCAATTTTTTGTTTTTTTTTTTAAAACCTTCAATTTATGCTTTTTTTTTTAAAACCTTCAATTTATAATGTTTTTTTTAAAACCTTCAATTTATGTTTTTTTTTAAATCTTCAATTTGTTTTTTTTTTAAAACCTTCAATTTGTTTTTTTTTTAAAACCTTCAATTTGTTTTTTTTAAAACCTTAAATTTATGTTTTTTTTTTAAATCTCAATTTATAATCTTTTTTTTAAAACCCTGAATTTGTTTTTTTTTTTTTTTAAACCCTGAATATTTTTTTAAAACCCTGAATTTGTTTTTTTAAAACCCTCAATTTGTTTTTTTTTTTAAATCTCAATTCGTTTTTTTATAAAATATCTCAATTTGTTTTTTTAAAACCCTCAATTTTTTTTAAAAACTTTAATTTCTAATGTTTTTTTTTTTTTTTTTAAAACTTTCAATTTCTAATGTTTTTTTTTTTTTAAAACTTTCAATTTTAAACCCTCAATTTATAATGTTTTTTTTTTTTTTAAACCCTGAATTTGTTTTTTTTTAAACCCTGAATTTATAATGTTTTTTTTTTTTTTTTTTAAACCCTGAATTTGTTTTTTTTAAACCCTGAATTTATAATGTTGTTTTTTTTTTAAAATCTCAATTTATAATGTTTTTTTTTTTAAAACCGTCAATTCGTTTTTTTAAAACCCTGAATTTGTTTTTTTTTTAAAAAAAATCTCAATTTGTTTTTTTTTAAAACCCTCAATTTATAATGTTTTTTTTTAAAATCTCAATTTATGTTTTTTTTTTTTTTTTAAAAATCTCAATTTGTTTTTTTTTAAAATCTCAACTTGTTTTTTTTTGGTTTAAAATTTCAATTTGTTTTTTTTTTTTTAAATCTCAATTTGTTTTTTTTTTAAAAATTCTCAATTTATGTTTTTTTTTTTTTTTTTTTAAAAAACTCTCAATTTATGTTTTTTTTTTTTTTTTTAAACCCTCAATTTGAAATTTTTTTTTTTTTTTTAATCACCAGCTCATTGTGGCTACAAATGAAGAAGAGCTATCCAGGTTGGATAATTTGTTTGAGAGGGGACAGAAAAATAATGTGAAAGACATGAAAATGGTGGGTGCAGAAGAAATTAAAGACATTGAACCAAATTGTGTGGTAAGATAATTTTTTTTTTTTTTGTTTTTTTTCTCCTACCCCACTATATCCTCTGTGTGACCCCCCTCCCCCAACCTCAATGCGTTTCCCTCTGTATGTCCCCAACCAACCTTTCACCATTTCTATGGCAGATGCTTGCGTGTATAGTCTTCTCTGATGAAAATGGCTGAGATAGCTTCAACAAAAAATTACCTTGAATCTTTTTAATAATGCAACCAGCTGTATGATGAGCCATATCTGACATGCTCCAATGGTAGGTAAAGGTTGCCCATGCACAAATTAATGCATAATGAAAATCAAGCAAGAACCTTTTTGTTATCTTTTAAAGAAATATAGAATTTTTTTTTTTTTTTCCAAGAGTTAAAATAAATTTTCACTAACATAAAATCAATAGTAGATTGATCTGTAAATGAGAGATGTCAAATGCAGACTTGATTCAATGTTTGCCAGATCAGACTTTCTCTTCAGGATGACTAGAGAGCATACACATGAAGAAGGTGGGAGAGCACACCGACCAAAACAGATGAAACTACTAGTCCAAAGAATTTGTAGAATAGATGATATAATTATTCTTGCTTTAGTATTTTTTCTTTCTTTTTTTTTTTTTTTTTTTACAAAGTTTTAGTATTTTTATCATGCTTTTGTAATCATTTGTTAATAATGCTTTAGTTTTTCTTTTTTTACAATGCTTTAATTTTTTTTACAAAGCTTTAGTAGTATTTCTTTCTTTCTACAAAGCTTTAGTAGTATTTCTTTCTTTCTACAAAGCTTTAGTAGTATTTCTTTCTTTCTACAAAGCTTTAGTAGTATTTCTTTCTTTCTACAAAGCTTTAGTTTTATAAATCTTTATTTTTTTACAATTCTTTAGTATTTTTTACTATGCTTTAGTACCTCTCTTTTTATATGTTAGCATTTTTTAATAATGTTTTAGTATTTATTTTTTTACATTGCTTCAGTATTTTTTTTTTTATAATGCTTTAATCTTTTTTATAATTTATTAGTATTTATTCTTTTACAATATTTTGTTCTTTGCTTTAGCTTTTCTTTTTACAATACTTTAGTATTTCTTCTTCTTTTTTTTTTTTTAAATAATGCTTCAGTATATCTTTTTTCTTTCTCTCTCTCTCTTTTCTGCAGGGCATCCGTGCCATTCATTCCCCCCATACAGGCATTGTAGACTGGAGACAAGTGGCCATAAGTTATGGAGCCAATTTTGAGAGGGCAGGCGGCAAGATATTTACAGAATTTGCAGTAGATTCATTTTCTACTGACAATCCTGATTATCCAGTCACTATTCTTGGGGACACAAAAAAGGTAAGATCTTAAATTTCTTGAATTTTAATTTGAAGTATTTTTCACCATTATTAATTTATGAAATTTTGGCTTGATTATTTTTTTTTTTTTTTTGTCATTCAATTGTTGGCTTTTATCACAACACTAGACTGAATAACCTCTATAGCATGAAGTAGGGGAAAAAGAAGTAACATGGAAACTATCTTACTTGTTGGCTATTGTGGCATGTTGGAGCTTCCTTCCTTTGATTCAGCAACAGCAGTAACAAAGGAAATAATCGGCAGGGTACAACCGGAAGTCTCAGAAGTCATAAAAGCCTTGCCCAAACCCTATTTGGCCTCTTTTTCATTTTCCTTTTCAGCGGCCTCTACATTCAAGGCCCACTCTTTTTCACTTTCCCTTTACAGTAGTAACACCCTTCAAACTAGCTTGAAGGGCAACTCAATCCTTGCTGCAAAAGACATGTAGCCCTGTCCTGGCATCTTGACTCAGATTTCTCCTTCTTCCCATTGGCACCAGTTGAGAAATCTCCCTTCGAGGCACCTACCAAATGAAAACTACGCTTAATCCTTGCTGCAGAAGACAAGGCATATCCTAGTAGTTTCAGATTTCTCATTCCTCCCATGGGAACTAACAAAGAAATCTCTCAACAAAAACAACTATTATACTCAAAACATTTGTTAACTGGGGAACCTCCCACTTTTTCCCTGCAAAATACTACTATTTTGCACTCTCTCTTTTCAAACAGAAATAAAAGCTGTTGAACAGTTATTTTCAAGCTTTGGGTTTTAGTTCATTCCACTCAAACTGCCGAACACAAACACACATGTAACTGGGAAAAATTCCCAACAGTGCCTTGAACTCCCATTGCTAAAGATCAGGAATATTTATCGCTGAATTCACCTTCATAAAATGAATAATTTAACATAAATATTTAAAGTACAAGTTATTACTAATATGATTGTCAGTTTATGCCTCTTTAATGAAAAGACTTCATCTTTGAATTCAAATAACTTCAGTGGTGTGACTCTGTCCAAATCTACAGCCATATTGCCACCTCTCTGATTTCACATGACTTATTTTAATGGTTGGAAAGGATTCAACCGAGAAAGTTGGGATAAAAAGCAAGAATAAGATGAAGAAAAGACTAGCCAAAAATGAATAATGAAAAGACTTCATCTTTGAATTCAAATAACTTCAGTGGTGTGATTCTGTCTAAATCTACAGCCATATTGCCACCTCTCTGATTTCACATGACTTATTTTAATGGTTGGAAAGGATTCAACCGAGAAAGTTGGGATAAAAAGCAAGAATAAGATGAAGAAAAGACTAGCCAAAAATGAATAATGAAAAGACTTCATCTTTGAATTCAAATAACTTCAGTGGTGTGATTCTGTCTAAATCTACAGCCATATTGCCACCTCTCTGATTTCACATGACTTATTTTAATGGTTGGAAAGGATTCAACCGAGAAAGTTGGGATAAAAAGCAAGAATAAGATGAAGAAAAGACTAGCCAAAAATGAATAATGAAAAGACTTCATCTTTGAATTCAAATAACTTCAGTGGTGTGATTCTGTCTAAATCTACAGCCATATTGCCACCCTCTGATTTCACATGACTTATTTTAATGGTTGGAAAGAATTCAACCGAGAAAGTTGGGATAAAAAGCAAGAATAAGATGAAGAAAAGACTAGCCAAAATGAATAATGAAAAGACATCATCTTTGAATTCAAATAACTTCAGTGGTGTGATTCTGTCTAAATCTACAGCCATATTGCCACCTCTCTGATTTCACATGACTTATTTTAATGGTTGGAAAGAATTCAAATGAGAAAGTTGGGATAAAAAGCAAGAATAAGATGAAGAAAAGAAAAGACTAGCCAAAATGAATAATGAAAAGACTTCATCTTTGAATTCAAATAACTTCAGTGGTGTGATTCTGTCCAAATCTACAGCCATATTGCACCTCTCTGATTTCACATGACTTATTTTAATGGTTGGAAAAGGATTCAACCGAGAAAGTTGGGATAAAAAAGCAAGAATAAGATGAAGAAAAGACTAGCCAAAATGAATAATGAAAAGACTTCATCTTTGAATTCAAATAACTTCAGTGGTTTGATTCTGTCCAAATCTACAGCCATATTGCCACCTCTCTGATTTCACATGACTTATTTTAATGGTTGGAAAGAATTCAACCGAGAAAGTTGGGATAAAAAGCAAGAATAAGATGAAGAAAAGACTAGCCAAAATAGAAAAGACTTCATCTTTGAATTCAAATAACTTCAGTGGTGTGATTCTGTCCAAATCTACAGCCATATTGCCACCTCTCTGATTTCACATGACTTATTTTAATGGTTGGAAAGGATTCAACTGAGAAAGTTGGGAAAAAAAGCAAGAATAAGATGAAGAAAAGACTAGCCAAAAATGAATAATGAAAAGACTTCATCTTTGAATTCAAATAACTTCAGTGGTGTGATTCTGTCCAAATCTACAGCCATATTGCACCTCTCTGATTTCACATGACTTATTTTAATGGTTGGAAAGGATTCAACCGAGAAAGTTGGGATAAAAAGCAAGAATAAGATGAAGAAAAGACTAGCCAAAAATGAATAATGAAAAGACATCATCTTTGAATTCAAATAACTTCAGTGGTGTGATTCTGTCTAAATCTACAGCCATATTGCCACCTCTCTGATTTCACATGACTTATTTTAATGGTTGGAAAGGATTCAACCGAGAAAGTTGGGATAAAAAGCAAGAATAAGATGAAGAAAAGACTAGCCAAAAATGAATAATGAAAAGACATCATCTTTGAATTCAAATAACTTCAGTGGTTTGATTCTGTCCAAATCTACAGCCATATTGCCACCTCTCTGATTTCACATGACTTATTTTAATGGTTGGAAAGGATTCAACCGAGAAAGTTGGGATAAAAAGCAAGAATAAGATGAAGAAAAGACTAGCCAAAATGAATAATGAAAAGACATCATCTTTGAATTCAAATAACTTCAGTGGTGTGATTCTGTCTAAATCTACAGCCATATTGCCACCTCTCTGATTTCACATGACTTATTTTAATGGTTGGAAAGGATTCAACCGAGAAAGTTGGGATAAAAAAGCAAGAATAAGATGAAGAAAAGACTAGCCAAAAATGAATAATGAAAAGACATCATCTTTGAATTCAAATAACTTCAGTGGTTTGATTCTGTCCAAATCTACAGCCATATTGCCACCTCTCTGATTTCACATGACTTATTTTAATGGTTGGAAAGGATTCAACCGAGAAAGTTGGGATAAAAAAGCAAGAATAAGATGAAGAAAAGACTAGCCAAAAATGAATAATGAAAAGACATCATCTTTGAATTCAAATAACTTCAGTGGTGTGATTCTGTCTAAATCTACAGCCATATTGCCACCTCTCTGATTTCACATGACTTATTTTAATGGTTGGAAAGGATTCAACCGAGAAAGTTGGGATAAAAAGCAAGAATAAGATGAAGAAAAGACTAGCCAAAAATGAATAATGAAAAGACATCATCTTTGAATTCAAATAACTTCAGTGGTTTGATTCTGTCCAAATCTACAGCCATATTGCCACGTCTCTGATTTCACATGACTTATTTTAATGGTTGGAAAGGATTCAACCGAGAAAGTTGGGATAAAAAGCAAGAATAAGATGAAGAAAAGACTAGCCAAAAATGAATAATGAAAAGACATCATCTTTGAATTCAAATAACTTCAGTGGTGTGATTCTGTCTAAATCTACAGCCATATTGCCACCTCTCTGATTTCACATGACTTATTTTAATGGTTGGAAAGAATTCAACCGAGAAAGTTGGGATAAAAAGCAAGAATAAGATGAAGAAAAGACTAGCCAAAAATGAATAATGAAAAGACTTCATCTTTGAATTCAAATAACTTCAATGGTGTGATTCTGTCCAAATCTACAGCCATATTGCCACCTCTCTGATTTCACATGACTTATTTTAATGGTTGGAAAGAATTCAACCGAGAAAGTTGGGATAAAAAGCAAGAATAAGATGAAGAAAAAAGACTAGCTAAAAAAAAATGAATAATGAAAAGACTTCATCTTTGAATTCAAATAACTTCAATGGTGTGATTCTGTCCAAATCTACAGCCATATTGCCACCTCTCTGATTTCACATGACTTATTTTAATGGTTGGAAAGAATTCAACCGAGAAAGTTGGGATAAAAAGCAAGAATAAGATGAAGAAAAGACTAGCCAAAAATGAATAATGAAAAGACTTCATCTTTGAATTCAAATAACTTCAGTGGTGTGATTCTGTCCAAATCTACAGCCATATTGCCACCTCTCTGATTTCACATGACTTATTTTAATGGTTGGAAAGAATTCAACCGAGAAAGTTGGGATAAAAAAGCAAGAATAAGATGAAGAAAAGACTAGCCAAAAATGAATAATGAAAAGACATCATCTTTGAATTCAAATAACTTCAGTGGTGTGATTCTGTCTAAATCTACAGCCATATTGCCACCTCTCTGATTTCACATGACTTATTTTAATGGTTGGAAAGAATTCAACCGAGAAAGTTGGGATAAAAAAGCAAGAATAAGATGAAGAAAAGACTAGCCAAAAATGAATAATGAAAAGACTTCATCTTTGAATTCAAATAACTTCAATGGTGTGATTCTGTCCAAATCTACAGCCATATTGCCACCTCTCTGATTTCACATGACTTATTTTAATGGTTGGAAAGAATTCAACCGAGAAAGTTGGGATAAAAAGCAAGAATAAGATGAAGAAAAGACTAGCCAAAATGAATAATGAAAAGACTTCATCTTTTGAATTCAAATAACTTCAATGGTGTGATTCTGTCCAAATCTACAGCCATATTGCCACCTCTCTGATTTCACATGACTTATTTTAATGGTTGGAAAGGATTCAACCGAGAAAGTTGGGATATGATGAAGAAAAAACTAACCATAAATTAACAATGAAAAGTCACGAATATGACAAAGATGAGTGCAACAGTCCAAACAATGTAAATAGTGTAAATAGTTACAATAGCTCATTGCAGAAATATAGACAAATGTCTAATGTTCATGGTACAACTTAAAACTTGGAGAATTGAGTTACTAAAAGGAAATGACTGAAACTGAGATATCCAGAAGAGGTATGGCACGTGGAACTAGATGGACAAAATAAAGGGTTCCGTTCAAAATTCCAACATATATCACCTGAAGAAGGCTAGAGAATACAATGGCTGAAATGTCATGAATATGGCAATAAAGATAAGGACAACAGTCTGGATAATGTAAAAAGTGTAAATAGTTAAAATACCGCATCTTAGAAATATAGACATCATTTCTCGATGTGGTGTACATTTTCATTCTCATGTGAACAAGCAATGTGCCTTTCACAGTTTTTGGTGCACACTGATGTAAACATGAATTAGAGACACAACGTGTGGACATCGTTAGCCAGTGAGTGGAAAGCTGAGCAAGGGTGGCGTTGTATATTTACAATCTATATAATAAATGCGAATGTCAGCGAGTCACCCTTTTTCAATTAAAGGGACACGACTCTCTAACTTTTAAATATCTCATATTCTTCTATATAATAAATGTGAATGTCAGTGTGTCACATTTTTTCAACTTTACTCTTAGATGTCGTAGCCCAACATATCATACCATTTTGGAATCAGGCCAGTTCCATGAGCAAATTAAAAACATTTCAGACCAGATCCGAAAACACAAACCCGAAATTTTGAATTTCCAAGTTTTCATTACTGTGATTTGTTTTCGGTGATTTTTTTTTTTTTTGTGACATTTTTTGTATAATAACAATTTTTTATAACTTGGAAATAAATTTCGGAATAATCAAAATTAATTGCAAAATCCAGTCAAAGTCACCAATTAAATAAAAATAATTGTTTGTATGGAAAGTAAAAACATACATATTTAAAATTGTCTTTAAATTAAGTGGCGGCAGAATAATTTATCATTGAACTTTTAAAAGATAAGTTTAAATATTAATGTAATACTTAAATGTAGCGATCAATTTTGAGTTTTGCCGTAGTTTATTGTTGCCTGTCGCATCTACTCCTCCCTAACTATTGTGATGAAGGACCAATCAAGAATCCTCTGCAGGAGCTAGATTAAATTTCCTCTGATAGGGCAGCTTTTAAGCTAGCATTATGATATATATTTGTGTTAACAATTTCAAATTATTTTTTCTTTTTTTTCAAAGTGACAGGATGTATTGCTTTTAATGACGTTATCCCATGGTATTCATTTCTAGGGTCAGAAAGTCCATTGTAAATATCTGATCACATGCGGGGGTTTACATTCAGACCGACTGGCTGAAAAATCTGGGTGTCACCGGGAACCTCGAATTGTTCCATTTCGAGGAGACTATCTTCTGCTGAAGCCTGAGAAAAGCAACATGGTCAATGGAAACATCTATCCAGTTAAGTTCAATTCGATCCTACACAGTGGGCATAAAGTGGGGAATCAATTTTACTAACATGTAAATTGTAAACACAGCTCCAACTTTGTGGCCACTAGCAGGTAAGGTACAAGCCTATTTCTCCATTATTTTTTTAGTTTCAGCCCAAGAGGGAAAGGTTATGGCTCATCTGGTAAAGCTGTTTCCTCTCTTTGTTTTTATTATTATTACTAGTGTATCTGTGCCATCAAAAATGTGGCAATTGTTAGAAATTTTTAATCATGAGATGCAATGAAACAAAAGTCTTGAGCCAATTCAATAAGGCAGAGATAAAGAATTGTAGAGTGAGAGGCCATGGTTACATGTAAATAAAGGGCAGAACTGCTCAACAAACAGAATGGACAAAGTTTGCAATAAGCAACAAGAAAAGTACAGGGCAAAAAATAATATGAAGCAAGCTTACAATTTGTAAGGCAAATTAACAGTATTAAGGCAAAGCAACAGTAATAAGGCAAAAAGTTAACAAACTAAGAATTGGGGTGGCACACACAAGAACAAGTTCGGGTAAATGAATGTAGCATTCTGACTTCAAGTAGTAGTGTGAGAAAATAGATAAGTGTCAATCTACTGTGTTCTTTTTCAGCCTGGAAACAGGGTGGAAATGTCAGTGGTCGATGATCTCTTAACTATTTTTTCCCATGACTGCGTTCTTTGTTCCATTTCTCCTGGTGTCATTCTAGTCTCTTCCCTGCATCCCATCTCTGCTTCAGGCCTTTCAGGTTTCAAGTTTTATATCCTTTTTAAATAGGCTCAAGAATTTGATGCAAACATCAAAGTCTCTTTTCATTCTGGATAAGACATTAAACTACATCCACATGCTGGTTAAGACGATAAACTACGTCCAGCAACAAGGCCTCTGATCAGGAGGTTTTGAGGAGTGTGGAACCACCTCTTAATTGCTGGTATTCCCAGGTCCACCTTGACCTGGGGTGGTAGCACCTGTTAGGGTCCCAGCTATTGGCAAATAGTTAATATTACCAGCAATACTTTTTGAAAAAAATTATTACCAGCAATACAATTTTGAAGGAAACGTATTACTAGAAACAGATTTTTGACAAAACAAAATATTACCAGCAATAAAAATTTTTGTCAGCATTAAATAACCCATTAAGGTTGATATGCCGTAAAACAAAATAATCTAAACCAAAGAATACATATTCTATTCATATGAATCTATCCTAAAAATGTTGTCAGCATTAAATAACCCATTGAGGTTGATATGCCGTAAAACAAAATAAACCAAACCAAAAAGTCTCTTTGTGTCAATTTTTCTGATTGGTCAATTTATTTTGGCATGACAAGTTGTTCTAGAAAAATGTCTTAACCCTAGACAGAAGTTTGTCCACAAAACAAAACTTGTCACATGATCTTCAGACATGTAAGAATATGTGGTAAAAATATAAAAAATTTTCTTCAACTGCTTAATTGGTCTTCTGACGTCTAGAAAATAAGCATATAAAATGATAAATAATAAATATCACATTGTATGCAGTTCATATATTTTTATAATCTTGTAAATAAACATTGTCAAGGTAGTATACAATAATAAAATAGTTTATTTGCATAGAAAATTATAAGGGGTACAAACTTTCAGCTTCATATTTTCTCAAGTATCAAATTTATAAGGTGCCAAACCATAATTTTTGCTTGACAAGTTGTTCTAGAAAAATGTTTTAATCCTAGATGGAACTTTGTTCACAAAATGAAACTTCTGTCACATGATCTTCAGACATGTAAGAATATTTGGTAAAAATATAAAAAAATTTTCTTATTTTGGTTTGGCAAATAAACTATTTTATTATGTGACAAGTTTTGTTTTGTGAACATACTTCTGTCTAGGGTTAAGACTTGAAACTTTTGGTTTGCATTTCTTTAAATATATCTTATTTTAAACGTGCCTTTGTACATAAAATCTTACTTAAATCTGGTTGAAACTTTTGATTCATTAGTTTTTTTTTTCTTTTTAACTCTTTTTAATTCTATTTTCCTCACAAAAAATAAATATAACAACTGAATTTTGTTTCTTCTAGGTTCCAGATCCAAAGTTTCCCTTTCTTGGGGTGCATTTCACTCCCAGAATGGATGGCAGTGTTTGGCTCGGTCCAAATGCAGTTCTCTCATTTAAAAGAGAAGGATACAAAATGTTTGCCTTCAGTCTCAGAGATACAATTGATGCCTTAAGTTATCGGTAAGAAGTTTTTGCAAAATTTCCAAATCTTTGTTAGCAAACATGAGTAAATATTTTTGATTTTTCTTAGTATGTTTCTGTCTTAATTTCAGTTGCTTTTTATTGCCACTGCTCAGATTCCTTTTCCCTTGCTAAACCTGTCTTAATGTAGGAACTCTTCTCCTCACTGAGCACTCAATTCTTACCATCGGCTACCCAGCTGGCAAGACCTGGAACCCCCTGTAGAGAGGTAAAACCTACCCTGAAATGGGTCACTTCATAGACTCAAATATAAACAGACAAGGTTTACCAATTTGTAAACCAAGTAAATTCTTATAGAGTTAATATAAATGACCAATATTTACCTAGAATATATATATATATATATATATATATATATATATAATATTTTTTTTTTTTTTTTTTGAGATAAGGTATTATGTACACTATTTACATTATTCGGACTATTGCCCTCATCTTTGTCGCCATATTTATCACGTTTCAGCCGTTGTACGCTCCGGCTTTCTTCAGGTGGTTGGAATGTCGAACTGAACCCTTTATTTCGCTCACTGGAGTAGATTGTTCTAGTTCCACGTGCCATGTCTAATGGATGCCAGTTATCTCCTGTTAATTCCCCTCTCCAAGTTCTCCACTGCCTTAACCAGGTATTGAACTGACACTCTTTGGATCCTGTCACTGGATCTAACATTATCCACTGTGCCATGTGTCCTTGTGGACATCTGTGTATGAATTTCTGGGTATTATAAACTTAATGTCTTCAGCAACCAATTTCTAACAGCGCTCATATTGCAATTTTTTTGCTGTTATCATTTTATGTTTTTCCCAGAGCTCATATTGCAATTTTTATTGTTAGAAAGTGACTGAAGTCGAGATGCCTGATCAGGATTGATTATATTGCAGCTCTTTCTTTGGATTTTGTCAAGAATCTCAAGATGTACAGCAAAAGCACAAGTATTCAATGCACAGACAAAAGGTAGATTTATAAATGTGCAAGATATATTCGGACAGGAAAAATTTCCTGGCATGACACAATGAATCATCTTTCTTTGCAAGAGACATAGCAATTGATTTGATATAGTCGTCCCACTTCACCTTGGTCAAAAATATGAGCCAAAGAAAGTATAGTGTTGCTCTCTTGTTGATGACAGGCAGATAAATTTCTCTGTGGTGATTAAATAAAAGGATTTTATTTGGGAGGCGTTAAAATTTACAAGCCATTTCTTGAAAGGATAAATCATTAGTTTTTATTTATTTTTTTGTATGTTTTTAAATTTTTCTTGAAAATTTTATTTATTGTTTAAATTTAATTTATATTTAAATCTTCTTGAATTTATAATTTAAATTTCATATTTAAATTCATTTTTTTTATTAAGAATTTATATCTCAAATTGATTTATATTTTTGAATTTAATTTCAATTTATAATTAACATTGTATTAATATTTCAGAATTTAAAGAATAAATCTTTAATACTGACCTATTTATTTATTTTTTTTTTTTTTTGCATTTGTTAAAAATTTTTCATTTTTTGCAAATGTATATTTCATTGATATTTTTATAAATGTATATTTCATTTTAACTTAGTTATTTTTTTTTTTTTCCAATTTTTTCTTAACTGATTAACATTTTCATTAAATTCTTCTGATTTTCAGAGGATTAAGAAAGATTGCCTTAAAGAATCTAAAATTTGGTATGGGTGAAATGTATCGAAGTATTGCCATAGAAGCACAAGTCAGACAGTTACAAAGGTTTGTCCCAACCCTGAAATTGGAAGATGTTACCAGGTGGATATATATATATATATATATATATATATATATATATATATATGTTTTGTTTTTTTTCTTCTTTCTCAAATGAAATTTATATATGGTGATGTAAATTGTTTTAGAACATGCAGTGAACTTGGTTAGTTACTCTTCGTCTTCTTAGAATCAAATTTTTATTCTATCCTACTTTAACAGTCATAATATTCAATCAAGTTCTGGTAAAAAGCAAGAATAAGATGAAGACTAACCAAAATTGAATAATGAAAAGACTTCATCTTTGAATTCAAATAACTTAAGTGGTTTGATTCTGTCCAAATCTACAGCCATATTTTCACCTCTCTGATTTCACATGACTTATTTTAATGGTTGGAAAGGATTCAACCGAGAAAGTTGGGATAAAAAGCAAGAATAAGATGAAGAAAAGACTCGCTAAAAATGAATAATGAAAAGACTTCATCTTTGAATTCAAATAACTTCAGTGGTGTGATTCTGTCCAAATCTACAGCCATATTGCCACCTCTCTGATTTCACATGACTTATTTTAATGGTTGGAAAGGATTCAACCGAGAAAGTTGGGATAAAAAGCAAGAATAAGATGAAGAAAAGATTAGCCAAAAATGAATAATGAAAAGACTCCATCTTTGAATTCAAATAACTTCAGTGGTGTGATTCTGTCCAAAACTACAATCATATTGCCACCTCTCTGATTTTATTCATGTTTCTTAAATTGTTGGTGGCTGTGAAACCTTAAACAATGTGATAAAAATTGATAAAAAGAAGAAAAAATTAGCCAAAAATTAAAAATAAAAATAATTTTGTTTCAGAAACTTTAACAATATGATTTTCCAAATCAGTTTCTCTTTTATCTTTCTGTTTTTAGAGGTCCTTCTGGTGTTCGAGCACAGGCTTTGGACCGTGATGGAAATCTTGTTGACGATTTTGTATTCGACACTGGCAAAAGTGACTTAGCACATCGCATTCTTCACGTGCGCAATGCACCTTCCCCAGCTGCCACATCATCATTAGCCATTGCTGGAATGGTAGCAGACAAAGTTGATAAACTCTTCCAGTTATGAAATATGAGTTTCATGACTTTACTAAATCTGTCTTCATTCACTGAAAAAGGATTCGGTGGCTTGTTCAGATTATGAGGCTCGAAGTTTTTCAATAAGTGTTTGTTTCTTTTCCGACAATCTTCTATGGAGAGGAATGTTTATTTTGTATAGTTTGCAAGTGACCCAATGAGCATATCTCTAAAATAATCAGAAACAACACACACACATATATATATATATATATATATATATATATATATATATATGTGTATGTAAGCAAATATATGGGATATAGATCCGACAGTATGAAGAAAAATATATACGGAAAAAACAAACAAAAATCCTTATATACAATTATGCTGTTTTAATGTTAATATGTCAACATCGGACGTTTCGGTCTAATAAACCATCATGTGATGACAACGTGACCATGTTTTAAACGGAGCGCTGATCTTATAAAACTTTCAGTTATTTGTTTGGATAAGTCTTGTTCTTATGTACATCCTCTTTGTCATGTTGTATTGATAATGTTATAATTTATGAATGTGTCCTGAAGATGGTTTATTAGACCGAAACATCCGACGTTGACATATTAACATTAAAACAGCATAATTGTATATAAGGATTTTTGTTTGTTTTTTCCGTATATATTTTTCTTATATATATATAGATATGTGTGTGTGTGTGTGTGTGTGTGTATATGTATGTGGTTTTATTGCATAAGCTTTATTTTTAGTGGATACTTGTATTTGAATAGACGTCTGTGTGTTTATTAAACAGTATATTTAGTTATTTTCATCTACCAGCAGCCTGAATATTCAAGAAATCTCATTTGAGAAAAATATGCACTCTCCAGAAGGACTAGAACCTGTATTTCTTGCATATTTTCTCTAATAAGATTTCTTAAATATTCAGGTTGGTAGACAAAAATAAATAAATAAATGGCGTTTTTACTCAAATACAAATATCCCTTAAAAACAACACTTAAGTAATAAAAATCTATCCCTTTCTCTTGAACTGTATATGTCTATATGCATATATCCCTCCCCAATTCCTGTCAATTAAATAATTAAGACGACACGATTTTGGGCCAAATCATGTGAAGCATGATAATTAATGTTAAGCTGTGTTTAACCATTTTCTTTTTGGTGGGATGGATCATTTCACTCCAAGCAAGATGATAAAGCCACTAAGATGTAAAAGGGGTTACTGAGAGTGGAAGAGAATGAGAAAAATGTTACTGAGGATGTAGTAAATTAACTACATACACGCACTCACATGCTGGTCAGAACATATACATTGCGACAGGATTTAGGGTTCTGTCAAACCCTACATGTGTCAGTTTCAGATTGGTCACAGGACTATCCAATTGCAGCCCGTCTCCCTGCTGCCTCATTGGGAGATGCAAGGCTCTTGGCTTCCTTTCACCTCCAGGTGAAAACTCAATGTGTGCTCGTCTGTTCCTCCCTTCTAATATTGCACACCAGATTTATGAAAATGAAAGTTTCTTTGTCCTATAAGGACACATTCACAAACAAGGTAAAAGGTTTGTATATCATGCATTGTTTCTTAAATACAATAAATGTTATGTTTGATATATGTTTGGATTATTCTCTCCACCACTTTAAGGATAAAGGACAATAAAAGGAACAGAATCAAAAGACAGAAGATGACTAATGATATTGCATTTAAATTCTTCAAGATCATAGTTGACAGGAAAGCAAGAAGCCGGAAGGGACTTCCATGAGTGAGAACACAAAGATGCAAGGGGGTTACTGTGTGTGTGTGTGTGTGTGTGTGTGTTTTTCTAAAGAGAGAGAAAAAAAACACTATTAAGGAAAGAAGAAAATAAAAGAACAATAGTTAAGACAGAAGATAATGATTGACATTGCATTTAAATTTTTGAAATTTAAAGGCAATAAAGCCACTAGGGTGCAAGAGGTTATGTGCTTGTCTGTTCCTCCCTTCTAATATTGTACACCAGACTTATGAAAACGAAACTTTCTTTATCCTTTAAGGACATATTTATAATGTAAAAGATTTGTATATCATGCATTGTTTCTTCAATACAATAAATGTTATGTTTGATATGTTTGGATTATTCTCATTTTCTTTTTCTCCAAATTGGTTTGTTTGGTTTTACAGCATATTGACCTCAATGGGTTATTTAATGCCAATAAGATTTTCACTGCTGGTGATAATTTTTTCAAAAAAACATATTGCTGGTATTAAAACATATTTTTTACACTTTTATAGTGCTTTGACCCCAGCTTGGGGGTTAACTAGTTGCCCATAGATGAGACCCTAACAAATGCTTCACCCCGGGTCAGGGTGGACCTGGGAACACCAGCAATTAAGAGGTGGTTCCACACTCCTCAAAGCCTCCTGATCAGAAGCCTTGCTGTTGGACGTAGTTTATCGTCTTACCCAGGACAGTTTCCCCAAATTGTTCACAATTATAAGGAGAAAGGACAATAAAAGAAACAGGATTAAATGACAGAAGATGACAAATAACGTTAGATTTAAATTTTTGAAGAGTGTAGTTGATAGGAAAGCAAGAAGCCAAAAGAGTTCCATAAACAAATGTCAGAAAAGAAAATATTACCATTGAACTCCTGGTTACATAGTAACAATTTCAAAAACCCTGTAACTTAGAGGGGGTGACAACTTAAAATCTCCACATACTATAAGAAGCATTTGGCATTGTGTCAAACTAAGAATAGCTTTATAAATAATATGATCACTACTTAGTTTGGCTCAAGGCCAGATATTCCTGAGCAAAGTTTCCTAAATCAAGAGAAGTTGGCTTAGTTATAGGTGTGCAAGCGGTATAACAGATATCAGCCTTGTCAGTTACGTTCACTTTCATACAAATGTTCTTGGGGGCGGGGAGCATGAATCCATCTCTTCTCCTCCCCCTAGTTTTGGGTGAAATAGCAGGGTAGAGTCAGTACTTTAACCACGGGTGGCAAACAGCCTGAAAGAAGAAAAACTCTGAATTTCCAACCATTGAGAAGGCAAAGAAAATCATTCCACAATCTTCCTCAAGAATTTTATGGCAATTCACAGATAATAAAGAAAAAGGAATCTGTGAAGCATCACAATCACCTACACCTTAAGGGACATAGCATAATGTAGAGAAGGGAAACCATTCCACTGTCTTTCCCAAGAAGTCATGGCAATTCACAGATAATAAAGAAAAAGGAGTATGTGGAGAGCCATGATCACCTACATCCTGAAGGGGTCATGGCATAGATGACTGCTCTGAATTCAAAACTGTGGAGAAGACAACAGGAAACCACTCCACTATCTTTCCCAGGAAGTTGTGGCAATTCACAGATAATGAAGAAAAAGGATTCTGTGGAGAGCCATGATCACCTACATCCTGAAGAGATGTGGCATTAAAATAATGCATTAGTTATAACATATTTAGTATAGAAGATAAGGAAATTGAACCACTTCTAGACTTTCATACAGACATTATGCATGGCGTCCGATACATTCAGAAATATTAGCGACATACATTTTTTATCAGTTCAATGATTAAGAATGCATTCAAGCATATGAATCCTGTAAATCTTAAAGACTATCCTTCATCGAACTCTTGATTGGTATTACAAAATCGCAAATGGTAGTATTAACCATTTCCCTACAAGGAAACATTTGCCGTTCATTGACTGAGCAGCCAGTACCACTTTCAGTTGTAGTTTATAAAATATTTCTCTTAGAACAATTTTCCAGGAAAATAGGTTTCTCAAGTCCAGTGGCTGTTATTGCTCTTTTCAGTATTGATGGGGATTTCTTTTCTAACCTATTTCACTTGGTATGGAATGTTAACTTCTTCATTGGGGAATTAACAGGAGATGACTGATAACTGACATCCATTAAACATTGCACGTGGAACTAGAACAGTTTACCCCAGTGAGTGAAATAAAGGGTTCAGTTCGACATTCCAACCACCTGAAGAAGGCCGAAACGTTGTAATAAATATGGCAACAAAGATGAGGACAATAGTCCGAATAATGTAATTAAATTTTAATATGATGCTAAAGTAGAAGAACTGTGGCATAGGGGATAAGCCACTGGCTTGGTTCATTGCATGTTGGATGTTCAAATCAAGGTGGAATTTGTTATTTTCTGTTTCTTCTTTATTACAGCAAAAAGTTATAGACAAAATTTTTTTACAAATACAAATGGTGTATAATAAATATAAACACCCACAAAAAGAAAAAAAAAATGTGATTAAGAAGAATTATGCAACTGTATTAAATTTGTGCAAACATGGTCACCATTTTTTTTTTTTTTTTTAAAACTAAAAAACAAGACAACCTCCCCCAGTTGAAAACTGATTTTTGAATGTCCTGTATTAAATATTCATGTATATGGTTTTTATTTATTTATTTTTTTTTTTTTTTTAAGCATTTCACCCCAAGCAAGGCGAGAAGCCACTAGCATGCAAGGGGTTACAGAGAGTTGGAGCGGGAGCAAAGAGGAAAGGATGATGAGAAGGATAGGGGATAGATCAGGGCATCTGGAGATGTCGTTTGACATTACATTTGAATAGGTGGAGATTATAACTATCAAGGAAACAGGAAAAGGGGAGGAAGTTCCACAGGCGAGAAGTGCAAGATATGAAGCTATTGGAGTAGAAGAGACAGCTACATTTAACAGTTTTGACAGTGAAAGGGTGAGAGCGAGATGCCAGCCTAGTTGAACGCTTAAAATCATGAACTCTGGAAACCAGTGAAAGCAGCTGATCAGAGCAGTTACCATGAAAGTATTTGTAAAAAAAAAAACAGACTTGTAGAGAACAAGATGTGATATCTTTAGATATGGTCAGCTGAATGAGAAGAATTTACTTCTGTAGATTAAATAAAGGGTTCAGTTCAAAATTCCCTGAAGGTTGTCAGGTACCTGAAGAAGGCTGGCGGGCACAACAGTCAAAATGTGATAACAATAACAAAGATGAGGACATTAGTCCATATGTAAATAACTACTTAACCCAGAAATTCAGGCAAATTTTGATAATTTTATCTTTTAAAAACCATTTAACATTCACAGCAAAGAAAAAAAAAAAGCATAGATACCTTTTGCAGTCTTTCAGGGAATTGAAATATTTTTCACAAAACCAATTCTTTGAAAATCAAAATAAATGGTAATCCAAAGAATATAATATTTGTCAAATATGGCAAGAGTGAAAGACTCTCCGGCCAAGACATAACAATTTTAGCCTGGTTACGAAAAAAACATGCAGTCTAGCATTATCCTGATGGAAGAGTATATCGTTTAGCTTAGCTAATTTCTGTTTGAGTTTCTGGGATGAGGAGTTATCATTATTTACATACAGACTAATATCCTTATCTTTGTTGTTGTTAACATAATATTTCGGCTGTTGTGCCCTCCAAGTTGTAGGTTACTCAGGTTAAAATACACCTGATGAATGCCAAAGGGTACAACAGCCAAAACATTGTGATAACAACAAAGACAATAGTCTGAATGTAAATATAGTATAAATAATTCCCTTAATTCCATAAGGATGCTTTTCATTAATTGTTACCATCCAGTAGTTTATTTGGGAGCAGTTTTATTCTGCTTTTTTCTTTTTTAAATCAATCATTCGAGTTTTGAAAAGGAAGTTCAGCGTTGCGGTTTTCTTTCAACTCCTACCACATATGAACCATCCTCCTCCTCATCTTCTTCTTTGGATAAAGACTACCAGTTGGTTTCCTTAGTTAGGGTAGCAAGGGTGAGATCATTTGGCTTGACAAACAAACTTCTTGCAATCCATGTAATTTTATTTCAATGTTCATCACAACACGTTTTTAAAAAAAAAAATTTTCACTGTTTAAATAATGAACTGTACACTAAAATATGGTACAGTCAGTGATTTCTTTATAAAAAAATTAACTTTTTTATTTCACCTTCTAGTTTTGAATATATATGTGTGTGTGTGTGTGTAAGCATTACCGATAGAATAGGGCTATTATATGTATAATGTAAATGCATTGCTAATGATTTTACTATAGGAATGCATTGAAAATCAGGAAGAAAGGGATTGTCAGTGTTCAAGAATTTAGAGTAAGCCTTACTCACAGAAAATGGCTTTTATACATTCATCCAAATAAAAAATCTTAGATTTTGGTAAATTGGCTTCAAAATATTTGAAATTTCACCTCATAGCTGTTGAAAAGATTGCAATGAATCTCAAACATTTCTCAAAGACAAAAGAAAAAAAAAATTGTAATAATCTACCTAAAGCCCCCTGACTTTATCAGAAACCAATATCCCAATCAATTCTCTGAGTGACTTGATATTCCTGATAGCAGACAACTTGGTCTCCGCGTTGAAATTCTAAACTCTGGTCATCAAATGATATTCCACATTCAAAATCTGTCTTGATAACATCAACTTCTTGCTTAAAATGCTTTAATGAGATAATGCCACCTAAAAGAAAAAAGAAAAAAAATGTAATTTTGTAGAATGAAGTAAAAATTTTGGACAAGGATAAAAATACTGAACAAGGAAAAATGCTGGAGATTTAGATATTTGACAGATTTTATAAATTTAAACTGAAAGGAGTACTGGATACTGGGTCAGTGAATGCCAAATGTCTCCTTATAGGTTTTGGTTTATTTTCTTTAGAGGCATATTAACATCTCTGGGTTATTTAATGCTGAAATCTAAATATTTTTTAACACAATTTTATGGCTTCAACTAAATATATTTTGAACATAATTGTATGCCTTCAATGACAGATAAATGTATTATTAATTTTACTATAATGTGTATTATTGTTCATCTTATTATAAATATGTATTGTTGGTCATCTTACTATAACTATGCATTGATGGTCATTTTACTATCAATATGTATTGTTAGTCATCTTATTATTAATATATATTGGTCATTTTACTATATGTATTGATGGTAATTATTTTATATAAAAATGTATTGCTGGTATTTTTTATATAAAAATGTATTTTTATACTTTCCTAGTGTTTTGTTTTTGTTTAGAGGTTCACTATTTGCCTATAGCTGGGACCCTAACAGGTGCCACCATCCTGGGTCAGGATGGACCTGCAAACAACAGCAATTAAGAGGCAGTTTCACACTCCTCAAAACTGCCAATCTCCTTGCTGCTGGATGTAGTTTATCATCATACCCAGAAATCTTTTTTAGCAAATGCTACTAAACTGTCACATATTCAAAGCAACCATGAACTGTTTCTCTCAGTGGATGCCTCCTCTGCAGATAGTGAAACAATATGGTAATGGTAATTGTTGTAACCTAGGGAAGGTTACTGAATAGAATAATCACATGAAGGTTGGTAATGAACGATAATACTTAGGACAAGAACAACATATATAAGATTCACCAGCGGCGCATAGAAGTAGTAGTCAACTGCTAGAAGTGAGTCAAGTGAATTCCACAATGAATCTCCAACTGCAGACCAACATACAGTATTTACTACTGTATTTATGTGAATGGGCACATACTCATTATCATCTATAGGTATGCTACAACAGTAATATAAGCCATTTCCCTATAACGAAACATTTGGCATTTCTTGACCTTGCAGACAGTACTGCTTTTAGTTTAAATTTATAAAATCTTTCCCTTAAAACAATTTTTCAGGAAAATAGATTTCTCAAGTCCAGTCACTGTTATTGCTCTTTCCAGTACTAATGGGGATTTTCTTCCTAACATCTTACTTGAAGTAGTGTGGAATTTTAACATTTTGATTATATAATTATTTTCTCTTTCAAGATGCATGTGCTATTCATTTGAGTTGTTTCTGCTGTTGGTAGTCCTCAAATGTTGTGATTTCTGTTATTTGGTACAGTTCATGGTTTGTGATTTTCTAGCGCTAGTCCATAATGTTCAAAAAAGATGACCTTTGCCAAGACATTCTGGCTTCACTTTTTCACCATTGATCTGATTTGTATACAACTGACAGTTTAGATATTTCTGTATGGGTTTGGTATCTTGCATGATATCCATATGAAAGTGTATGTTATGCATGGTGCCAAACTCATTCATAAATATCTAACCCTGCCAGCTATATACAACCGCTTTCTCAGATCAATGGAGAAGAAAGGCTTCGTGTGAATGAAGTCTGTACATCTTACCAAGGACCATTCTCCTTTGAACTTTGTGGAGTAGCACTATATAATCGCAAGCAAGGAACTGTAGCAAATATCAGAAATCACATCACTTAAGAACATTTAACAACAGCAACAACCAAAATCAATAGAAAATTTTTTTGCAAGTCCATTGTTTTTCAACAATGGTTCTTTCCAGTCAAGCCAGAGCAGCTCCTTGAAGGACTCTTCAACCCTAACCATACATCAAAAACAAAAAATATTACCAGACAAATGCAAAGAATTACCACAAGACAATATCAAGCAGACTTGCAACAAGAGACATTGACTAAACCAGTAAAAGACATCCAGGATTGGTTTGGTTTATTTTGTTTTACGGCATATCAACCTCAATGGATTATTTAATGCCGACAAAATTTTTAGGATAGATTCATATGAATAGAATATGTATTCTTTGGTTTGGTTTATTTTGTTTTACAGCATATCAACCTCAATGGATTATTTAATGCCGACAAAATTTTTAGGATAGATTCATATGAATAGAATATGTATTCTTTGGTTTAGTTTATTTTGTTTTTACAGCATATCAACCTCAATGGATTATTTAATGCCGACAAAATTTTTAGGATAGATTCATATGAATAGAATATGTATTCTTTGGTTTAGTTTATTTTGTTTTACAGCATATCAACCTCAATGGTTTTTTAATGCCGACAAAATTTTTAGGATAGATTCATATGAATAGAATATGTATTCTTTGGTTTGGTTTATTTTGTTTTACAGCATATCAACCTCAATGGATTATTTAATGCCGACAAAATTTTTAGGATAGATTCATATGAATAGAATATGTATTCTTTGGTTTAGTTTATTTTGTTTTACGGCATATCAACCTCAATGGATTATTTAATGCCGACAAAATTTTTAGGATAGATTCATATGAATAGAATATGTATTCTTTGGTTTGGTTTATTTTGTTTTACGGCATATCAACCTCAATGGATTATTTAATGCCGACAAAATTTTTAGGATAGATTCATATGAATAGAATATGTATTCTTTGGTTTAGTTTATTTTGTTTTACGGCATATCAACCTCAATGGATTATTTAATGCCGACAAAATTTTTAGGATAGATTCATATGAATAGAATATGTATTCTTTGGTTTAGTTTATTTTGTTTTCTGGCATATCAACCTCAATGGATTATTTAATGCCAAACAAAATTTTTAGGATAGATTCATATGAATAGAATATGTATTCTTTTGGTTTGGTTTATTTTGTTTTACAGCATATCAACCTCAATGGATTATTTAATGGAAAACAAAAATTTTTTAGGATAGATTCATATGAATAGAATATGTATTCTTTGGTTTAGTTTATTTTGTTTTACAGCATATCAACCTCAATGGATTATTTAATGCCGACAAAATTTTTAGGATAGATTCATATGAATAGAATATGTATTCTTTGGTTTAGTTTATTTTGTTTTACAGCATATCAACCTCAATGGTTTATTTAATGCCGACAAAATTTTTAGGATAGATTCATATGAATAGAATATGTATTCTTTGGTTTGGTTTATTTTGTTTTACAGCATATCAACCTCAATGGATTATTTAATGCCGACAAAATTTTTAGGATAGATTCATATGAATAGAATATGTATTCTTTGGTTTAGTTTATTTTGTTTTACAGCATATCAACCTCAATGGATTATTTAATGCCGACAAAATTTTTAGGATAGATTCATATGAATAGAATATGTATTCTTTGGTTTGGTTTATTTTGTTTTTACAGCATATCAACCTCAATGGATTATTTAATGCCGACAAAATTTTTAGGATAGATTCATATGAATAGAATATGTATTCTTTGGTTTGGTTTATTTTGTTTTTACAGCATATCAACCTCAATGGATTATTTAATGCCGACAAAATTTTTAGGATAGATTCATATGAATAGAATATGTATTCTTTGGTTTAGTTTATTTTTGTTTTCTGACATATCAACCTCAATGGATTATTTAATGCCGACAAAATTTTTAGGATAGATTCATATGAATAGAATATGTATTCTTTGGTTTGGTTTATTTTGTTTTACGGCATATCAACCTCAATGGATTATTTAATGCCGACAAAATTTTTAGGATAGATTCATATGAATAGAATATGTATTCTTTGGTTTAGTTTATTTTGTTTTCTGGCATATCAACCTCAATGGATTATTTAATGTTTACAAAATTTTTAGGATAGATTCATATGAATAGAATATGTATTCTTTGGTTTGGTTTATTTTTGTTTCGACATATCAACCTCAATGGATTATTTAATGCCGACAAAATTTTTAGGATAGATTCATATGAATAGAATATGTATTCTTTGGTTTAGTTTATTTTGTTTTACAGCATATCAACCTCAATGGGTTATTTAATGCCAACAAAATTTTTTATTGCTGGTAATATTTTGTTTTGTCAAAAATCTGTTTCTGGTAATATTTTTCCTTCAAAATTTTATTACTTGTAATAATTTTTTTCAAAAAAGTATTGCTGGTAATAGTTAACTATTTGCCCATAGCTGGGACCCTAACAGGTGCTACCACCCCAGGTCAGGGTGGACCTGGGAATACCAGCAATTAAGAGGTGGTTCCACGCTCCTCAAAACCTCCTGATCAGAGGCCTTGCTGCTGGACGTAGTTTATCATCTTACCCAGGACACAGATGTAGTTTATCGTCTTACCCAGGACGGAGACATCCAGGAGGATAAGAATCAAACTATTCCTTTATGTGATAAGACCTTTGATGATGTATGTATTCCTCCACATCTTCCTGTCTTTTGTTGCTCTAAGTAATTTTTAACCATTTACCATCCCTCATTGTTCTGCTATTCATTCACACAAAATCATTAAGTAGGCGATCATGGCTCTCCACATCTTCCAGACTTTTGTTGCTCTAAGTAACTTTTGAACCTTTACCATCCCTCTTTGTCCCTGTTCTGCCATCCATTCACATAAACTTATTAAGTAGGTGATCGTGGCTCTCCACAGCTTCCTTTTTCATTTTACTCTAAGTAACTTTTGACTCTTTACCATCACTTTTGTCACTGTTCTGTCATCCATTCACACAAGCTCATTAAGTAGGTTTCTTGTTATTTCTCCTTACTTCTCTTGCCTTCAGTCCTGTGAGTGTTATATTCACTAAGCCCTCTTTCCTCATTACGTGTCTCAGCGAAGAAGTCTCTTCTTCATCTATGTCTAGCATTCACTTCATAAACAATAAATACAATAAAAAAAAAAATAAAATGCAATAATGATAAATAAAATAATAAAACAAAATAAAAAAAACACTAAAAGTAAAATATGGACCTGCAAAGCCAACCTAATTCTTGATAAATAAGTTTTGAAAGGTCCATTATTAAAAAGCGAATTTGCATGTCCAACTGAATCAAAACAGAATGTGGAGACAAAAAAAATAGACGCACCGTCAAAAATCACTTCTTCTCCTCGCACAATTTTAAATCTACATTTTTTTTGTAAACTTCCTTTTGTACATCTGCATCCAGCAATGAAGGTCTTCTTCTTGTTCACGGTCACTTGGAAAACTTCTAAGACATTAGCTTGGCCTGAAATGAAAAAGAAAAAAGATTTTAAAATATCATTAGCTGAAGAACAAAGAAATAAAAACCTTCAATAATCTAGAAAAAATTCTCTGGAAGTTTTTAACGAGTTCAGCTTATTTTTTTTATTTATTTATTTTTCTTATTTTTATATTTATTTATTTATTTTTCTTATTTTTATATTTATTTATTTATTTTTCTTATTTTTATATTTTTCACATTTTTATTAATTTATTTTATTTATTTATTTATTTTTCTTATTTTTATATTTTTTACATTTTTATTAATTTATTTTATTTATTTATTTATTTTTCTTATTTTATATTTTTCACATTTTTATTAATTTATTTTATTTATTTATTTTTTTTCTTATTTTTATATTTTTCACATTTTTATTAATTTATTTTATTTATTTTTCTTATTTTTATATTTTTTTACATTTTTATTAATTTATTTTATTTATTTATTTATTTTTCTTATTTTTATATTTTCACATTTTTATTAATTTATTTTTCTTTTTTTATTTTTCACATTTTATTAATTTATTTTATTTATTTTCTTATTTTTATATTTTTTTTACATTTTTATTAATTTATTTTATTTATTTATTTATTTTTCTTATTTTTATATTTTTCACATTTTTATTAATTTATTTTTATTTATTTATTTATTTTTCTTATTTTTATATTTTTCACATTTTTATTAATTTATTTTATTTATTTATTTATTTTTCTTATTTTTATATTTTCACATTTTTATTAATTTATTTTATTTATTTATTTATTTTTATTTATTTTTTATTTATTTATTTTTCTATTTTTACTTACTTTTTTCTTATTTTTATTTATTTATTTTTCTTTATTTTTTCTCATTTTTATTTATTTAATTTATTTATTTTTCTTATTTTTATTCATTTTATCTTATTTTTATTTATTTTTTCTCATTTTTTACTTATTTATTTATTCTCATTTTTACTTATTTATTTATTCTCATTTTTCTTTTATTTTATTCATTTATTTTCTTATTTTTATTTATTTTTTAATTTTATTTACTTATTTTTATTTTATTTTTTAATTTTATTTACTTATTTTTATTTTATTTATTTATTTGTTCTCATTTTTATTTATTTTTTATTTTATTTTATTTATATATTTTTCTTATTATTTTTATTTATTTGTTTTTAGACATATTTTGTGAATGAATCACTGTACAATAAAACATATCATGATACTGCAAAATACACAGAGCTCTTTAAGCTTGTTTAATGGCATATCAACACCTTATGGGTCATTAATCCCAAAATTTTATTCTCTTTGCTTTAGTAATTTTTTTTCATAAAATGTATTGCTGGTAATTTTTTTTTGCCAATAATGTATTGCTGTTTTGACCCCAGTTTGGGAGGTTCAGTATTTGCCCATAACTGGGACCCTAACAGGTACTACCACCCCAGTTCAGGGTGGACTTGAGAACAGCAATTAAGAGGTCACTCCTCAAAACCTCCTGATTAGAAGCCTTGCTGCTGGATATAGTTTATCATTATACCCAGGACAAGCTCTTTAAATCTCTTAGTGCTACAAAAGATAAGAAGTTGTGGAGATACTGCATCACTTGAGGACTTTCAACAGCAGCAACAACTAAATTGAATAGCACATGTAACTCAGCAGCTTTTTATCCCAGTACTTGAAGTTAATATGCTTTTTTATCATTAAAATAAGCTGTGAATGAAAAATTTTAAAATTGACACAACATGATGTGATGTAAAACCTCTCCTCAAATTCTTGTAGCAAGTTTTATACAAATTCATCCCCACATGGTAACAGCATGGCGGGATTCATATCTTCTCATCCTCTTATTTGCACTATATTTTCATTATTGTTATACGCCATTGCAATTAGATTTCTTTTTTTCGATCCATTATGCATGCTGGCTGGATGTGAACACAGCAAAGGAAGAGAACAAAAATTAAAAAGTGTGGTTTCATGAGATAGGCTCTATGCTTCACATCCAGTTTACAAAGCAAGTCCGCAATGAAAAACAACACTAGCCAATCAAAAACGTTCCTCCTAAAAAAAGAGGATGCCCTGGGGACTACCAGACCTGCTTAAAAGCACGTCTCCAATTTTATAAATTTCAACTGACAGTAGCACTGTAGCTTCCAAAACATTATTTACATTCAGACTACAGTCAATTAAGGCCAAATATTTCCTTATAAGGAAATGGCTAATAACACTATTACCATAAACATTATATTAAAGGCCCATATAAGAATCTTGTGCCTCCCCCAAATCTATGATATACCCCATGTTAATTTATGATATGGGGGCCCCTCATTCTGCTACATCTCAATTTTCATAAGGTAGTATTCATATAAAATACAAATTTTATTGTAACCTAATTATGTACAATAATGGATCATATGCAATATAGGCAAACAATTCAAAAGAAAACTGAAAATAATTACAACGTATCTAAAAACAAATTAGAGACATGTCTTTATAGGTCATCCCATCTTAAATAAATCAACAATGTTTTAAGGCAATTTGTAACATGAACTTGAAATTTTCTTGTTAAAAAAGTGGAATAATTTTAGCACATTCAACATTATACATTATGGCCTAACAAATGTTTTTAGCCAGAAGAAATAAACTACATCCAATTTCAAAATTCAATTACGTAATCCCAACTCAACATAAATAAACAGTATTTGGAACTAGTATGGAGTAGGTCCTCCATTTGCTAGTTTCAGTGCTTGTATTCGATTTTTCATGGATTTGATCAAGTTATCAACAATCGTCTGAGCCATATTTTGCCACTTCTTTAGCAATGTTTCTTTAAGGGTTGCCACTGACGTAATTATGGTTGTATGCTCTCAAAGTCTTTGGTCAAACTCTCTAGGTAGGATATGTGTTATTTCAGTCATGGCCAGTGAAACGGACTGGTACCCCGGCCGAATCTATGATACAGGCTCCTACACTGCTATATCTCACTTTTCATAAGGTAATATTCATATAAAATACAAATTTTATTCGAACCTAATTATCTACAATAATGGATCATAAACAATAAAGGTGAATAATTCAACTAGAACAAATTGAAAATAAATACAATGTATCTAAATACAAATTAGAGACATGTCATAATAGTTCATTCCATCTTAAATAAATTGACAATGTTTTGCAACAATTTTTAACATCAACTCGAGATTTTTCTTGTTAAAAAGTTGAATAATTTTAACACATTCGAAATTATAGATAAAAAATAATGAATTTTATATAGTGCTCTCTTTAGACTTACCACAAACAAAATAAATTCACACAAAACAAATGACCCCAGAATGACAAATGTTTCCTTATGAAGAAATGGCTAATAACACCATTACCATAAACATTATATTCAAAGCCCATATAAGAAACTTGTGCCTCTCCCAAATCTATGATAATCCCCCTGTTAATTTATGATATGAGGCCCCTACCATTCTGCAACATCTCAATTTTCATAAGGTAATATTCATATAAAATACAAATTTTATTGTAACCTAATTCTCTACAGTAATGGATCATATACAATATGGGTGAATAATTCAACTAGAAGTCCATACATTAATTTTATATCTTATGTATGATGCAACCTCCTTAAAATTAGCTACAAAATTAGATCTTTACCATTGTTTACATTTATGTTTGTTTCTCGTTCAGTTGTTTATGGCTGTACGCATTTACGCAACAAGTACAGCATTACTAACAATACTTTTATCATTCTCTTACTTTTTTCACTATGTTTGTATTTTATAATACAATACTAATATGTGAATATTATATGCATTATTATTGGATACAGGTAAGTAAAGTTTCAGTTTTATCAAAATCATGTTTATCTTAAATGCAGCTGTTCTTTTCGACAACAGTAAATGGATATATAGTTTGGCCAACGGCCTCGCCAGGGCCAGCAGTACAAATGCTAATTTTATATCTTGTGTATGATGCGACTCTCTTAAAATTAGTTCTTCAAAAGTCAACATGATACACAAGTATATACGGTAATTAAATTTAATTAAAACAATTTTTTTTCAAATGCATCAAATTAAAATGGTTTCAGTGATTTTACCAATGACTTCTTCTTTAGTTATATCTGGCAGTCTCTCACTGAGAAAATCCTTCAAGTCTTCAAAAAGTTTGTAAATGACATTGTACATTCGAACTGGCACTTTCTGAGATTGCGCCATCTTTGCTACCTGACTATCCATTTTCACATGAAAACCCAGGATGATGCCTGCAAAAAAAAAAAAAAAAAAACTGTTATAAGAGTTTCCAATTACCAAACAACTGAAAAAATTTTGAAAATGCAGAAAGACATAAATTCATACTCAATTTTAAAAAGTAGATGCTAGACAATTTCCTCACAGATGAAGAGGAGTCTTGAGACAAGCAAGATGTGTTTTTTGTTTGTTTTTTAATAATTGTTCACTCAACATGAGGCCCACAAGCCACTCAAGGTAGAAGGTTACTGATTAAGACTGTTGTACATAAGAGGAAGTAAAGAGTGCAGTTTAATGGGATTTTTTTAAATCATTTCACTTCAAGCAAGGCAATAAAGCCACTATGACACAAGGAGTTACTAAGTGTGAAAGAATATGTAAAAAAGAAAACATTGTTAAAGAGAGAGAACAACGAAAGAACAGAAATTAGGAAGACATAAGATAGCGACTGAATTTGATTTTATATGTAGGAAAGATAGAAGTTAACCCAAGACTTAAAGAGGTTAAGATTGTAGTGATTGGGAAAGCATCTTCTTGGGAGTCTGTTCCACAAAGCACTAGTTCTTCAAAGAAACTGTCCAAATGCTGAGAATACCATAGATGGAGCAAGTAAGTAGCAACAAAGTTTTAAGGAAAATAAAAACAAAAAGGACACTTTCACTTGGAAGTAGAAAAAGGCAGCTCAGATTTCTGGGACACATAATAAGAAAAGAAAGTTTGGAAAATTTGACACTCACAGGATATACTGATGGCAAGAAGAACAAAGCAAAACCTCAAGTGACCTACCTAACAAGTTCATTTAAATGATAGCAGAGCAGGGAGTAAGAGGGATAGTTTTTACAAACATTGCTTAGATGGAGAGTCATGTCTACCCACATCCTGAAGGTACTCTCCTCCTTCTATAATGCCAGTGGCATCATTCAGAAACAAAGAAATCTGTTGCTGCCTTGGCCATTGAACCTCCAGATTTCAATCCCATTGAACACTTACAAAACGTGTTTGATAAACTGTATCTTTTAGAGTTCATGCCTGATTACATAAGAATTGTTATATGTGCATATGAAAGACTAACACCTTATTAGTTAGGTGGTTATAATGTTTTGGTTTATCAGTGTACAAATCATTTTACTATAGGAATATATTGTAAATCATTTTACTACAGAAATTCATTGCATATCATTTAATCAGATATATCAGTCCTCCTATATGGCAGTGAATACTGGACATTTTCCTCACAGATTAAGAGGAGACTCAAGGCAATCAAGATGTAATTCTAAAGAAGGATTCTGAGAATACCATGGACTGGACAGTTTTAAGGATAATGGAAACAAAAAAAAGATACTTATACTTAAAATCAGAAAGATCTGAAATATCAGGGATATATTTGGAAAAGGGGTTTAGAGAACTTGATACTTACAGGACACATTGACAGAAACAGCAAGAAACCTGTCTAATAAGTTTGTGTAAAATTGCAGAATGGAGATTGGGAGGGATAGTGAGAAGACAAATCTTATTAAGAGCTACAAAAGATAGGAAGTTGTAGAGAGCCATGATCACCCATGTCACGAAGGAACACAGCACAGAAACAAAGAAGAATGAATCACGCTGTAAACCATTTTGCTATTGAATAATAATACAGAGATTATATTATAAAAAGAATATATAGTTATGTTTTTAGGGCATTATATAAAGAGAATATAATAATATATGGTCATATTTTTAGGGCTTTATAAAAATATAATATAAGGTTATATTTTTAGGGCATTATAAAAAGAAGAATATAAGGTTATATTTTTATATATATAATATATAAAAATAGAATATAAGGTTATAATTTTAGGGCATTATAAAAAATATATGGTTATATTTTCGGGGCATTATAAAAAGAATATATGGTTATATTTTAGGGTATTATAAAAAGAATATATGGTTACATTTTTAGGGCATTATAAAAATAGAATATAAGGTCATATTTTTAGGGTATTATAAAAAGAAGAATATATGGTTATATTTTTAGGGCATTATAAAAAATATATGGTTATATTTTCAGAGCATTATAAAAAGAAGAATATATGCTTATATTTTTAGGGTATTATAAAAATAGAATATAAGGTTATATTTTTAGGGCATGATAAAAAGAAGAATATATGGTTATATTTTTAGGGCATTATAAAAAAATATATGGTTATATTTTCAGAGCATTATAAAAAGAATATATGATTATATTTTTAGGGTATTATAAAAATAGAATATAAGGTTATATTTTTAGGGCATGATAAAAAGAAGAATATATGGTTATATTTTTAGGGCATTATAAAAAATATATGGTTATATTTTCAAGGCATTATAAAAAGAAGAATATATGGTTATATTTTTAGGGCATTATACAAAAAATATATGGTTATATTTTCAGGGCATTATAAAAAGAAGAATGTATGATTATATTTTCAGGGTATTATAAGGTTATACTTTTAGGGCATTATAAAAAGAAGAATATATGCTTATTCTTTTAGGACATTATAAAAAGAATATATGGTTCTATTTTCAGTGTATTATAAGGTTATACTTTTAGGGCATTATAAAAAGAAGAATATATGGTTATATTTTCAGGGTATTATAAGGTTATACTTTTAGAGCATTATAAAAAGAAGAATATATGGTTATATTTTCAGGGTATTATAAGGTTATACTTTTAGGGCATTATAAAAAGTAGAATATATGGTTATACTTTTAGGACATTATAAAAAGAATATATGGTTATATTTTCAGGGTAATATAAGGTTATACTTTTAGGGCATTATAAAAAGAAGAATATATGATTATTCAAGTAGAATCTTGATTACTTATTTTCTACTTGGATTCATTGTCTTCCCAATTTTTGAGGTTATATTTTACTGTTTGTTTCTCTCAGGTGGCAAAGCTAATGGATCCATGGAAACCAACATCAATATTCTTAAAAAGAAGAAATGTTTAAACCCTGAGACAAATAACCAACCTTTAAAGGCTGAGGCAATTTCAATATCATTGGCTGTGATGTTGCCAATACCAAAATGTAATATATCCAGACGGCATTTCTCTGATTTATACGTGTCTAGAGTATCCATAATGGCCTCCAATGAACCATCAACATCACCTGTAAAACAAATATGGCAGAAAATCTAAACAGTACTTCATAAACAAAAAAAAGACTGAAAAGAAAAAAAATCTATTGCTTTCATTTTTCTTTTTATTCCTTTTTATAGCTACTCAAAATGTCATTACTAAAAAGCAAACATTAGAAATTAGAAAATGCTCCTTTATTGACAAGAAACTTAAAAAATTAAAATAAATGAAATATTAGTCAAAAATTAATAATAAAATTCAAGATAATATTACTAATACTAATGTAATAAAAAGCAAGTGAAATTAAGATGAAAGAAATCCTAGTCAAAAATGAATAATGGCTAACAATTCTTCATCTATCTATAATTCAAGATAATATTAGTACTAATACTACTAATGTAATAAAAAGCAAGTGAAATTAAGATGAAAGAAATCCTAGTCAAAAATGAATAATGGCTAACAATTCTTCATCTATCTATAATTCAAGATAATATTAGTACTAATACTACTAATGTAATAAAAAGCAAGTGAAATTAAAATGAAAGAAATCCTAGTCAAAAATGAATAATGGCCAACAATGCTTCATCGAATAATAAAATTCAATGATACTAATACTAATGTAATAAAAAGTAAGTAAATTAACATGAAAGAAATACTAGAAAAAAATAATGGCTCATTCTACAAAATAAGCCTCAGAAGTTGACAGGGTTCAGTCAGATCTGCATAAAATGGATAGTAAAACCATATCCTTCTTGTGTCAATTTAAACTGGCACCTTATTGTGACCATTCTGCTTAAAGTTTGTATTTTCTTGATTTCAGATGAAAACTTGGAAATTTTCTAATATGTTTCAGTGAAACTTTCACTTTCCAAAATTATACTTTAGATATAACAAAAAAACAAAGGTGTTAGTTTAAACTGATTTCTGTAAGGATATGATTTGTGCAAAACTTTGACATGGTCCAATCAAATCTGTATAGAATGGTTGGAAATCTACCGGAATAGAATTTCTTTGCAACATGCTTCTTAGAATTTTTTACTCTTGAGCATGCAACATACAATTGGCCATACATGAATATTTCTTTCTGAAGCCAAATTCCAACTTTTCGAAGTGTTTAACTTTGTGACTTGTTTATAGTTATCACAAATTTAAATAAGTATTTGTTATTTAAATTATTGTTTTTAAAATAGTGGGTGTATTTTGCATGTTAAATAATAAAACTTGAAATTTTTCCAAAACAAATTAATAAAAATTTATTGTACTAAGCTACACACCCTTGTAAAACCAACTGTAGTGTGTACCCCCTTACCTTTTAGCACTTTTCCCCAAAATTTGGTTTTGATCGGTGTTGTAACCTAGAAAGGGTTACTGAATGAGGAATAACCAAAATGGAGATTGGAAATGAAATAGTAATCTTTATAACATCAACAAAATACAATACTTGCCAGTGGTGTAAAGTAGGTAAACCACTGCTAGTAGTGGACTACTTAAACAGCATATTACTTCCACTTACAATAGTGTCCAACATATTTATGAGGATTGGGATATGCCCATTAGTATTAATAGGTACGGTACATAACACTATCTCACTCTTTTCATTATCTATCTGTTGTAACGTAGAAAGGGTTACAGAATGATGAATAACCAAAACGGAGGTTGGAAATGAAATGGTAATTTTTATAACATCAATAAAATACAATAATCACCAACGGTGTGAAGTAGGTAAACCACTGCTAGTGGTGGACTACTTAGACAGCATATTAACCCCTACTTACAATAGTGTCCAACATATTTATGAGGATTGGGACATACCCATTATTGTTCATCGGTATGGTATATAACACTATCTCAGTCTGTTCATTATCTGTCTGTCTCAGTCTGTTCATTATCTGTCTGTCTCAGTCTGTTCATTATCTGTCTGTCTCAGTCTGTTCATTATCTGTCTGTCTCACTCTGTTCATTATCTGTCTGTCTCACTCTGTTCATTATCTGTCTGTCTCACTCTGTTCATTATCTGTCTGTCTCACTCTGTTCATTATCTGTCTGTCTCACTCTGTTCATTATCTGTCTGTCTCACTCTGTTCATTATCTGTCTGTCTCACTCTGTTCATTATCTGTCTGTCTCAGTCTGTTCATTATCTGTCTGTCTCAGTCTGTTCATTATCTGTCTGTCTCAGTCTGTTCATTATCTGTCTGTCTCACTCTTTTCATTATCTGTCTGTCTCACTCTTTTCATTATCTGTCTGTCTCAGTCTGTTCATTATCTGTCTGTCTCAGTCTTTTCATTATCTGTCTGTCTCCTCTTTTCATTATCTGTCTGTCTCACTCTGTTCATTATCTGTCTGTCTCACTCTTTTCATTATCTGTCTGTCTCACTCTTTTCATTATCTGTCTGTCTCAGTCTTTTCATTATCTGTCTGTCTCACTCTTTTCATTATCTGTCTGTCTCACTCTTTTCATTATCTGTCTGTCTCAGTCTGTTCATTATCTGTCTGTCTCACTCTTTTCATTATCTGTCTGTCTCACTCTTTTCATTATCTGTCTGTCTCACTCTTTTCATTATCTGTCTGTCTCACTCTTTTCATTATCTGTCTGTCTCACTCTTTTCATTATCTGTCTGTCTCACTCTTTTCATTATCTGTCTGTCTCAGTCTGTTCATTATCTGTCTGTCTCAGTCTGTTCATTATCTGTCTGTCTCAGTCTGTTCATTATCTGTCTGTCTCAGTCTTTTCATTATCTGTCTGTCTCCTCTTTTCATTATCTGTCTGTCTCAGTCTTTTTCATTATCTGTCTGTCTCAGTCTGTTCATTATCTGTCTGTCTCAGTCTGTTCATTATCTGTCTGTCTCAGTCTGTTCATTATCTGTCTGTCTCAGTCTGTTCATTATCTGTCTGTCTCAGTCTGTTCATTATCTGTCTGTCTCAGTCTGTTCATTATCTGTCTGTCTCAGTCTGTTCATTATCTGTCTGTCTCAGTCTGTTCATTATCTGTCTGTCTCACTCTTTTCATTATCTGTCTGTCTCACTCTTTTCATTATCTGTCTGTCTCACTCTTTTCATTATCTGTCTGTCTCACTCTTTTCATTATCTGTCTGTCTCAGTCTGTTCATTATCTGTCTGTCTCAGTCTGTTCATTATCTGTCTGTCTCAGTCTGTTCATTATCTGTGTTGTAACCTAGAAAGGGTTACTGAATGAGGAATAATCAAAATGGAGATTGGAAATGAAATGGTAATCTTTATAACATCAACAAAATACAATACTCGCCAGCGCCGTGAAGTAGGTAAACCGCTGCTAGTGGTGGACTACTTAGACAGCATATTACTCCTACTGTTACAATAGTGTCCAACATATTTATGAGGATTGGGACACACCCATTAGTGTTCATAGGCATGGTATATAACAATCAGTCAATGTATGGCTATTTTAGAGGATGTGACGAATGTACAGATGAACTAACAGAAATCACAAAATTTCATATATAGATAGAAGTCATAGGTATTTCAAAAATGTTATTTACCTTTTAGAACAATTGACAGTTGTGGTCCATCGTGTGTTAAAATGGCCTCTTTGGTCTTCATTTTCCTCAATGATCTTTTAAGGCCTGCCTCGCGACGTTTTTGTAATTCACTTTCGTAAATTGCCCGTGCTTCCTGGCGTTTTTGATCAATTACTGCTTGGTCCGTATTTCTCTTGGCCTCAGCTTCTTGTTGCTTCCGCCAGCTAAGAGCTTCCTTAAGTCTTTGCTGCATATTCAAAAATCAAGAAGAAACTGATAGTTTTGTAAATTTTGAATTCTTGGAGACGGAATAAAATTTTGCTCAAATTTAACAAACATTAAATTTAAAAAACAACCGTGTGTTACAAGACAACCTTCACCAAAATTACCTCAACTTCAATTCCCACCATCCATACAGTTAAGGGATCATTTAATGCCTACAACACCAGGCAAAAACCATAAGGTGAAAGGTTTGTGCCTGATTATAAAATTAGAAATAAAATTTCACATACCAACAAAAAGCATTTGTTAGGCAAGTACATAGTCTCTGCTGTTTTTAACAACTGTCTCCTGTTGTTCTACAAGCCTGTTGATGCTATTTTCATAGTAACTTTGTGCTTTTTGTTGGAAGAACATTGTGATAGGGCTTTGAACTGACTGTACAGTGTCAAGTATTTTGTCATTTAAATTGTTGAATAGAGACTAGAACAAATGAAAATCTAAAAAAGCCAAGCTAGGAGAATATGGTGGATGCCAGAGGGTTTCCCCAGTTCCACTCTTTAAGCTTCTGCAAGGTCTCTTTTGCAATATGCGGTCTTGCATTGTTGTGGTAGAAAATGACACCATTTCAGTTGTTATCCATGAAGCCAAGTCCCTTCAAATAAGAAAAGGTTGTTGGGATCTTGGTTGTGAATCTCTCAACAGTCTCTTCCATTGAAATCTTTGGTTTATTCTCCATGATACCAAGCAGAGCATCTTCATCAATGTGGAAGGTCAGATGGAGTGTTGTTCAACGTTTAGGTTAAAACCACACTGACAAAATCTGCCAAACCACTTTTAGACACTTACTCCTTTCTGAAATTCAAAGCACATAATATGGCAAAAATACAATTTTTCATTCATGGACAAAATGTTGACATTCAACAAAGTCTGACTTGCAACTGAATGATACAAGGTTTCAATCACACCAAAACACCAACATCAAGAACACACCAGAAATCATCACCATTCAACAGTGCCTTCAACTGAAGAGCGGACATTGGGAGCATATACTCTAGGGCTCCTCTTGACATTTTTGGTCCATGTCTGAGACTAAATAATTGCAGATCCTAAAATGTTATCCTTTTACCTTTTAATGAATGTAATTTCCATTACTCTATCATTTGGGGTTCTTGAATTGTGTTCGATCATTTTGTTTAAAAAACTGTGAAACACTGCACATGTCTACACAAAGGAAGGGGTTAACAATGAAAATCAGGCACAAACTTTTGTAATGATTTTAGAGTATCTAATATCTGATAGTATCTGATATCAAACAGGTTTAAGAATGATATTTTTGCATGCAATGCCAATTAATATTTTGCACAAATGTTCTTACCTCAGTTTTCACCTGCAGCATTTCCTCACCTGCAGATGGCAGATCCTTCCAGCCTATTACTTCGACAGGTGTGCTAGGTCCAGCTTTTTGTACAGGTAAACCCTTGTCATCAAACATTGCACGAACCTAAAAAGCATATAATGATATTTAAAAAATATGTCAAAATGTGTTGAATTTGGTGTTTGGAGGTTAGAATGAAAGACAAAGCTGTGTGTAAGGAAAATGCAAACAAATTGCATTGAAAGTGCGCTGATGTCACAATGTACAACAACAGACTAGGATCATACATTAGTGCAAAAACAACAGTAATACAATGTGGTATACAAGTTAATAGTGAATAAAAACAGATCTACTTGTTCTATCCACGGAACACCTATATAGCCAATGTATGGTATTGGCAGAGAAATTCTTCCCCTTTTTTAACTCTTACGAAAGAAAGTCAACACCTTCAGCCTTTCAAGTTGAAGAAATGCGAGATGTTTTACCGTTGTTTTTTTTTTCCATATTTTATTTTTAGTCATGAAAATTAAATTCAGTTTATTGAATGAATAAAAAGAAATTCTTCTTTGCTATTTTCTTTGTTTTTAACTGCTGACAACAGCTGATACCTCAATACTAAGGTGGGGGGGTAGTTCTTAAATAAATTGAACACATTCATAATAAAGTGGAATAAAACTCTCAGGTTACTTACGTAATTACTGAGGATATATATATATATATATATATACAAGGGTGCAATGGATAAATTATCTAAATTACATAGAAATGAAACTAACACTGAGATCTCAGTTTAACAGATATATTTACCAAAATCACACAAAAATATCTTGAAATACTAAATAGTAAATTTATTCAATAAAATCACCATTAACTTCAACCACAGCCTCTAGATGACTTCAGAATCTCCTACAAATCTTCTCGATGGTTTTCTATATATATGACCCTACTTTACTGTGCAGTTGACAAATCAAAAACAAACAAATCGCATGTGCTAAATTAAAAATATAATTATATATATATATATATATATATATATATATAATTATATATATATATATATATATATATATATATTTTGGTCTACTCTCCATTGAGTCCTCTTTTAAATTAAATACATGAACGTTGGAAATGTTCTCTATTCGTTCTCATTTTACCTGCATCAAAATGACGCAAAAATGAAAATAACTCTGACATCTTATTTTAACAGACATATTTAAGAAAATTATACACAAATATCTTGAAATACTAAAGAGTAAATTTATTCAATAAAAATCGCCATTGGCTTCAACCATGGCTTTTGGAATCTGCAACTTTTCTGGAGAGTCTTCTTGTTTAAGTTGGTGAATGCAGCCATAATCTTTGCCTTCAGCTCATCTTTGATGTTTTCAAGGAGTTTTGTTGGTCTCTTGCTCAACTACGCCCCCCACATAATAATCAAGGGGGTTGCAGTCTGGGGAGTTCTCTCCCACCTCACTTCCTCACTTCGTTAATTTTACATATGCTTGGTGTGGTCCGTCAAAAATGTGTAAATTTCTTTTCATTTTTCATTTCAACCTTTGGAAGTAAAGTCTGATGATCCAGAGCCCTTTTAAAAGGGCTGTGGTGAAATAACTTATTACATGGAACCTTAAAGTGGTCTGTTTTTATTCAAACATATATATATATATATTACCCATCTCACACTCTGTATGTGTGTGTGTTAGCTCTATCACTGATATTGAGTGCTTTCCAATAAGTATCATATATAAAAAATTGCATATATATATATATATATATATATATAATGGGACAAAGTGGAAAAGCTTTTTTAATGACAATGCATTTTGCCAACACCTGGTAGGTCTATGACCTTCAGGAAAGATGAAAGGCAAAATTGTGTGTAAGAAAAATGCATTGGAATTTTTGAGGTTAAGAAGGGCAATAAATTAGGTATCATTAGAAGATCTGTTCATCAAAAGTGCTTTTTTTTTTTTTTTTAATATTCAAGCCATTGATGTCTGTTGGATATTAAATTAACCCACTCTGAGTAGATCATTGTTTTTTTTTTTTTTCATCTTTTAGCTCATATGCTACATTTTGTGCTATTATCATTTTTGTGATGATCAGTGATATTATGTATGATCCTGGTCTTAGGTTTATTAACAAAAATTATGAGATCAGCACACTCTCAATGCATTTTCTTCACACTTTCCTTACACACAGTTTTGTCTTTCATTCTGACTTGAAGATATCAAATTTAACACATGTTGACGAAATTTGTTAAAATTTTTTCACATTATCCCATTATCTCCACATACAAATTCATATGACCGTAACATCATAAAGTCATTGTGGATATGACGATAAGCTACATCCAGCAGCAATATCCCTGATCAGGTGGTTTTAAGGAGTATGGAACTGCCTCTTAATTACTGTTGTTCCTAGTTCCACTCTGACCCAATGTGGTAGCACCTGTTAGGGTTCAAGCTATGGCAAAATAGTGAACCCCAAATTGGGATAAAAAAAAAAAAAAACAACCTGAAAGTATAGATTTAAAAAAATAAAAGAATTCCCATCAATAGATTTTTATAAAAATAAAAAAATTACTCAAGCTCCCAAGAAAATTAAATTTTAGCATTACATGACCCATAAGGTGTTGATATGCTGCTAACCAAGCAAACAAACATAAAGTTAACTTTTTTTTGGCATACAGTATGCTTAGTAATAGTTCTCTCTTCCCTTTTTCTCACTAAAACCAGACAGCACCTTTGATATTTTTCTGCCAGCTTTCCTTGCAATCAAAGTGGAATGGTTTATTATTTATTTGAGGCAATGGCAGGACATATAAGGTAATTTTGCTTTTTAATTTAACAGAGATTTTATTTTATCACTAGCAGTAGAGCCCGGCGTTGCCCGGGGATGTAACAGTAAGAGATAGATCAAGTATCCACCATCATAAAGACTGAAAAATAAAATTGACAAAGATTATTGTTTAAGGTTGACGGACATGCATGTCTTAATTAGTTTTTATTTTCTGTTTTTTTTTGTTTTTTTGTTTTTTTTTACGAATTGGTCAAACCCAAACTCAAACAAAAACATTGTTTCCAATAGTTATGAGTCTACCAATTGAATAGAATTTTATTATAAACAATTGTCTTGTAAATGGAATTTTTAAAGGATTCTGAATGTAAAAATAAAGAAAAAAGTGTGCAAGACAATAAGAAACACTACCTGCCAAAAAAAAAAGTGAAGATTTGTTGAAATCGGTTGAAAAATGTAGGAAATCCGATCCCATATATAAACGAACACACACACACACACACACACACAAACAACCTGGGTTTTATAAGTATAACTCGATATGAGTTGTCCCCCTTTCATTCTGGTGACAGAATCGTGTTTTATTGTGTTTTCCTTCTTAATTTCTTTATTGTGTATGCTTTCGTTTTCTCACAAAAACCAGAGAGCATCTTTTTTCTTTACATCTTTCATCACTGTCAAAATGGAATGGTCCATTATTTATTCAAGGTAATGGCGAGATTTGACATTCATACAAAAGAAGGAGCATGCAGAATTTTAACGTAACATTGTTACATTTTGTTTTGTAAATACATATTATGACAGAGAGTACTGAAAAGTTCTCAGCTTTACCTGCTTGCCAAAATCTGACCAAATGACCAAACATCAGGGGGAGGGGGACTTGGTAAAGTTGAGAACTTTTCATCTTCTCTTTATATATGTCATAAGTTTCTTTTCTTTGAAATAACAAAATCTTTTTTTAAATCAACAAACCTTCACCCAAGTTTGTCCAGCAATAAGTAAGTCACCCCTTTTTAAAGTTCCTCTTCGGACAATAACAGTGGCTAATTTCCTTTATTAAAATAAAAAAAAAGACAGCAGGTGAAAAACAAAACAATTTTGTTAGGTCAGTAAAAAATAAAATAGAAAAAGACACATAAAAAACAAATTATACAAACACAACACATAAAAAAATTTAAATCTCCACAACACAAACATAATAAAAAATATCTTCTAGACATCTATTTTAATCTTTGTCATTTTTGCAACATTTATTAACTTTTTTTAATCAATTCACCCCAAGTGAGGCAATAATGCCACTAAGACACAAGAGGTTATCAGGAGTGAAAGATTTTTTTTTTATCTTCAACATCACTTGATAAGACACCGAGGGTGTTGAAACAAAATGGCTATTTTTGTAGTGATTTTATAACATATTTATGTTATAAATTTTTTTTATTTTTTTTTTATAAATAATAATTATATCTGCTCTACTTTGTATTGAGCACTCTTTTAAGAATAGTAATTGTTGGTTATTGGAATTCATTCCGTATTCAATTATATACTTGTATATATATATATATATATATATATATATATATATATATATATATATATATATATATATATATATATATATTTAATACCAATTTGTAATTCAGGAATAATTCAAAGTAGGACATTAATCCAAAGTGGGATCAATGTAAGTTCGTTCTTTCTTTCTTTCTTTCTTCCTTCCTTCCCTTAATTTTAAAAAAAAATTCTATTTGTAATTTGTTATTCTCCTTCTTTCTTTTTTACTATTAGAATTTTTTTCTTTTTTCCTTTCCCCTTTTTTTCTCTTTCTTTTGTTCCCCCCACTTCCTCCTTTTTATCACAATATATCTGTTTGGATGGATTGATTCCATTTCTAAATAAACTTTCAGACTGAAGAGATGAATATAAAAATAATAATAAACTATAACCAAGGTGGATTTTTAAGATTTTATATATATATATATAAAGAAAGAACAGTAAGATATATAACCCAGTGTTCTTATTGATATTTTTTTATTTTTACAAAACAGTGCTCAATGTAAATTTACAGAGCATAAATATTATAAATTAACTGATTGAAAATATGATTTTTTTCACTACACGGTAATAACCATGTTTCAAAAATGGAAGCTAAAAACTTTAAATTAAATTAAAGCATTAGTTCCGTTTCATCTTCAAAAAAAAAAAAAACTCAGACGACGTGCATTTAACAGATGTCAGAATTTGTTGAAAAATACACCCCTACCCTCCCTAAGCTTAACCTCTTTTTTTGAACGTAACTCATAATTGATACAACAATAGTTAATAAAAATGAAAACACTACAGCCCCTGTCTGAATGATTGGATTTCTCTGTATCCTTGGAAACAGTAAATTATGAATTTATATATGTGTTTAAAACTCAGTAAATTTAAAAATAAGTTATTCCAATTTTCGACTTGAAAAATGAAACGGAACTAATGCTTTTAATTTAATTATAAAATTAAATTTAAAGTTTTTTAGCTTCCATTTTTGAAACATGGTTATTACTGTTTGTGAAAAAACCATATTTTCAATCAGTTAATTTATAATATATATATATATATATATATATATATATATATATATATAAAATAGATATTTTCTTTAAATTACATAACTTTTAAATAGTACAAATATAATAATGAATAAGGATAACAAACCCCCGGTAAGGATCAGTCCGCGATTCAACAATTCGGCCTTCTACTAAGCCTGTTGGGTCACCTTTTAATTCCATTACTTCAGCTACAGCTGCAATCGTCTCACACAATTCAAGTAAATTTGTCCCCTACAGAAAAAGAAAAACAAAAAAGGAAATGTTTACACACTTACAAGTTATTTGGTTTGGTTGGTTAGTTTATTTGGTTTTATATCAACCCCAATGGCTTATTTAATACCGGCAGGATTTTTAGGATATGTTCGTATGAATAGAAAATGTATTCTTTGTAAGATCAGGTTTCATTGACATATTTTTGTAAAGAGGGTTTTTCTCAAGAGTCAAATGAATTGTTAGTCATTTTATTTTTTTTCAAAAATGTATTGCTGGTATTTTTACAATAAAAATCTATTTTTATGCTTTCATAGTTTTTTGACCCCAGTTTTTGGGTTAACTGTTTGCCCATAGCTGAGACACTAACAGGTGCTGCCACCCCAGGTCAGGATGGACCTGGGAACTACATCAATTAAGAGGTGGTTCCAAGCTCCTCAAAATCTTCCGATCAGAAGCCTTGCTTCCAGATGTAGTTTGTCATACACAGGATATCAGGCTCTTTGAATTCTAGCATGAAATGTCTGCATATGTAGTGAACTATTTGTGAAAGAACAAAAATTATTGATCCAACTTAACAAAATAAGATTAAGCTTGCAATCTGTCTCATTGAAATGGGCTGATTAGGAAATCTCACAATTTTGATGATAAAAATATAAATGAAAATAATTCAAATTTCCTTAAAAGCCCTTATCTCTTTCTATCTAAACTTCATTTTATATACTTCACTCAACCTACAAGACGACGGCACTCAAATAAAAAGAGTAAGAAGAAAAGACTGAACCCAGACAAAAAACAGCAGAAGTTTGCAGGAGACCAGCCTACTTATATTGGCTTGGTTAACAAACTTATTGCTATGCCAAATACCAAAGGACACATGCATCACTCTAAGGAAAATAAATAAGTATATTATTTATTTTAAATCCTTGAGTCAGTTCGTTTTATCTCCTAGGTTTCCAATAAACATCACCAAGAATATCTGCCCACATATGCCACAATGACACTGAATTGTTATAAAAATTAAAAAATCTCTAGAAGCAGAATGGATTTAAGCATGCAAGTAGTTGCACGTTCAAAGCAAATATCACAACTAAGGAAATTATTTCCTCTGTGGCAGATGAGAACATTTACGGTAAACACTACACAAAAGTTTAGACAACTCACACTGACGTCAGACATGGGACCTAAGGAATGACCAGCATTTGGCATCAAAATATCAAAGTATATGAGGTCTGTCTGAAAAGTAACAGGACTTATCTATTCTTTGCTGTAAGAGGCATCGTCTACAGTGAGTTCTTGCCACTCAGCCAGATGGACAATCAGCAAGTCTACAAATAGATCCTGTGGCAGGACAAATCATAGCTGCCTCACCACGACAATGCCCTGAACATCTGGCAGTTCCTGGCTGAGAAGAACATTGCCATACTGGAACAATCTCCCTATTCACTTTATCTTGCTACATGTAACTTTTTCTTTTCTCCAAGTTCATGAGGATCACCAAGGGGACTTGTTTTGAAGGTGTGGAGGTCATCTACAATGAAACTGAAGGGCATCCAAAAAGAATCCTTCCAGCAGTATATAGAAACATGGCAGAGAAGGATGGAAAATTATATTAGAGTCAAGGGGGATTATTTTGAAAGGCAAATCATGTAGCTTATTGTTTGGAATTGAAATAAATGGTTTGTGACCCCAGTCCTGCTACTTTTCAGACAGACCATGTATATTTGAGCATTATGATGTGGTATAATAGTTAGAAAACTTGTCTTTCAAGATTAATTACAATTTAATAGTGACTTCAATCATGACTGGGAGCTCCATATATTGTTGCCTTGTGTCATGTTATAAAATAAAAAAAGGCATATCTCAGCTGATTTGCAGGCAAATAGACTAACATACTCAAGAGCGAGAGCCGGATGTGAACGGGACAAGGCCCCGTCACAAAATGACCATTATCGTCGTTTACGCAAAAGCCCGATGCACAAGTTCCGGTCGAAAAATAAAATAATATTCTAAAGTGTTTCTATTTTTCAACCAATAAAAATGCTTCCCTCCTAATTATACTCACATCATTTTTCAAGCCTGTTAAGCCATAAAAAAACGCCATAAAAGGGGTCACATGGGGAAGTACAACAGCAGTCAACAGGAGGCCAGGGAAGAGACCTATCACAGTCAGTCAGCAGCAGTCAACAGGAGGCCAGGGAAGAGACCTGTCACGGTCAGGTTGAGCAGTCAGCAGCAGTAGTGCCATGCTATGGGAGATCAACCCAGGTCGGCAGCTGGCTTATGAACTATGCCACAAGGTAGCTGTCCCAAAACCACACATTCCTATTGAAATAAATCACGTATATCTATTTCTGCTGTTGTCGTATTTCTTTCTTGCAACCATACGCTTGTCTATAACAGTCACAACTAAGTTACACTAAGCAAATCACTTCATCTTGTCACTTCTCAGGCTTTGGGTTGGGATCAATGCATGGTATCTATTCCCTTCTTTAATCAATGGAGAATTTGCCTGGTTCGAGAGGATCCAACTCTGTGGCAGCATTTTCTACATTGCAGTAAAAGAGGGAGGGCGGGTAGTCATAGTGACAGAGTAATTTTTGGATTGGTCAATGGCAACATTAAAAAAACAATGATTATTATCCTGCCCTCATTGATGCGGTGGAGACTAAATACCATCAACATATATAGTCCTAATGTTTCAAGAAGACCTTCTAATAATGATAAAGACTTAAAAAATATATCATTTTTGACAGCATGGAGAAATTATGACAAATATAGGATGATGTACATAAAATAGGGGTTCGGTTTTCTATTGTTCTTAAGTAATAAACTGATCCCCCAAAATTACTAGATATTAATATAACAATTGTAAAACATATTTAAAGACTCATATATGAATCTCCTAAAAAGAGGAAGGGATTTATCAAAATATGCCATGTTTTTTTAGCCATGGGTAAAGTCATATTAATGCAAGATTCTACTGGACATAAAATGGGGGATCGATTTTCTATTGTAAAGTCGTAATTCAAGTGGGGGGAACGGTTTTCAATTATTAGTAATAAACTAATCTCCTACAAATACTACTGTAGGGATAGAAAAGGCGATTATCTACCTTTTGTGGTGATGAAGTCACATGGGTCATGTGACAGCTGATTAGTAATATCCCTACATAGTGACAAAATGCAATCAGTCAGCTTCCAGGAGTCAAACCCAGCAGTTGCTTTTTTGACCTGGGCACGTTGGATTGGGCTGAGGCTAAATATATGGTGTAGCTAACAAGCCTATGACACTGTTTTCCTATGGAAAATTATCTTCACCAGATATAGAAAATATCCCTGGCTAGCAGTCCTCCACTTAGGAAAAATCCAGTTTCCCATTTCTGGAATATGTCCTCTCTAGCAACATAGCAGATGATTCTGGCCTGTTCAAATTTAGAATCCTAAATATAGCTTCTCCGGAAATAAAGAATCTTCAGCAGATTCAATTACCTTTAGGAATTATTACATGTAAGTCTCTTTTTTCAACCCCCTTTTCACTATGTATGTTGTGTAGATGCATGTCATATCTTCTCTGTATGGGACACACGTATATAAGTATATATATTTTGTGTATGACTTAGTGGCATAAAACTCTCTCTGAGAACAAAAAATGTTTGTCATTCCTTTTTGTTCCAGCCATTTCATTCTGTCTATGAATAAAGGTCTTATTATATCATGGATATAATAATTCCTATAATGGGAGAAATGAAAATGGAAGAATAAACCTTACTTCCATAGCTCACTTATTATCTGGATCAACCTGACATGACATATTATTAACCTCCATTACTACTATTTCTAGGAGGCATAGTGGAATAATGGATAGTGGCTTGGACTGAGGAATCAGAGAACCCAAGTTTGAATTCTAGTCAAATCCATTACATTCACTTACATGTTTATACTCTTGGGAAAGGTATGAATCTTCTTCTTCTTCCCACCAGCTATGGGTAAACAGCAGGGTAGACCAAGTTCTATAGCCTTGGATGGCAACTGGTCTACAGCAGAAAGAAATGGCAACCTACTGCGGGAAAAAATCTGCCTCATTAGTCATGTATCAAAAGATACATGATCACCTGAGCATGTATCATGCATGGCACATAATTGACTGATATTCACTTACGTGCTGATACCCTTGGGAAAGGTATGAATACTCTTCTTCTCCCCCCAGCTATAGGTAAATAGCAGGACAGACTGGGTTCTGTAGCCTTGGATGGCAATTGGTCTACTGCAGAAAGAAATAGTGGCCTACTGCGGGAAAAAATCTGTCTCATTAGTCATGTATCAAAAGATACATGATCACCGAAGCTTGTATCACACATGGCACATAACTAACTGACTACTATTTCTACGTGCTAAGTCTATTCAGGATATAAACGATCATAGTTCTCCACAACTTCCTGTCCCTTGAGTGAAAAAATTTATTGAAAGGTTCACATATAAAATTTTTTTACTGGGTACAGCATAAATGCTGTTACAAAATTTCAAATGAATTTGACTTCTAAATTTTTGGTCATTACAATATTGTTTATGGTTTGATATTCATCCAACAATGTATACTATTTATTTTTTCAAAGTGTTTTAATATTTACTGACAACAAATATCTTTAGAAATTAAAAGAAAGTATATAACAGAGCAACATAAAAACAGACTGATCCTCCTGAAATTTTTAACAATGGAAAACAACATGGAATCAATAGAATGTTTATCAAAAGGACAATCAATGACTACAGTATGACTTCCTCCATCAAAGATAGACCAAGAGTAGGGTGTCCTCACACCTCCAGAATGCCATAAAACTCATTAAACAGGTATGTGAAAAAATCAGGTGTCATCCAAGAAGGTTAATTATAAAAATGTCTAAGGAGGCTGGACTATCAGAGAGAATCATGTGGAGGTTATGTCAAAATGATCTAGAGATGTTGTCCAACAAGATAAACAAGAAACAGTTTCTTTCAGCAGCCAGAATTAAAAAAAGGCCTCAAAAAAAATAGGCAGATTCTAAAATGGATTTGTGATGGCACAATGGACAACATCATCTTCACAGATGAGAAACTATTCAATGTTGAATAGACATTTAATCATCAAAATGATAGTGTTTTTTTCAAAAAGTCATCAATCAGTTCCTGCTACTTCAGGTAAATGCCTCAGAACCAAGAAACTAGCATCAGTTATGGTTTGGGCAGCCATTTCAGAAAGAGAAAAGTCTCCTCTTGTTTTTGCATCTCAAGGGGTAGACATCAACAAGGAGGTGTACATGAAGGACATCTCGGAATGTGCACTGAAGCTATGATGTAATAGCACTTATAATGATGAATATTGGACACTTCAGCAAGGTGAAACGATAAGCCATATTGCTCATGTAACACTGCAATGGTGCAGAGACAATTATCCTGAATGAAGGAGGAATGGGCTCTCGCATCACCAGATATCAAAACTCTTGACTATTGTTTGTGGGTAGTTCTTGAGAGTGAAATCTGTTCAACAACACACCACAATATTGAACTTTGGAAAGCAAAATTGCAAAGAGAATAGGACAAAATACCCATGGAGACTGTGTGTGCCACCTTCATTGTCTTTCCTGAAAGACTTTGAAGTGTGGTGAAGGCTAAAGAGAACCATATTGAATGAGATTTCCTAGTGTTATTTAGAAGATTAATACTTACTTTGTGTTAAAATTGTAGGCAGATATAATAAATATAATAAATATAATATAAATAGAAGATAATATAAATATAATATAAATATATTAAATATAAATATAATATAAACAAATATAATAAATAAATATAATAAAAATATAATAAATATAATAAAGATAATTTAAATATAAATATAATAAATATAATATAAATGTAATAAATTTTTTAGGAGTTATAAGCTCTTTTTTTGTATCAGTATTTATGCCATACACTGTAATAATCATAGGAAATAATCAAATAGGCTGTTATCTTTGATGACATGAGGAAATTAGTTTACAACATAAATTGTAATATTAACTCTGGTAAAAGACATGCAATGATAACAGCAAAAATTGCAATATGAGCACTGGTAAAAATGATGCTGAAAAACATTAGGTTTATAATACTCAGAAGTTCATACTCAGTGACAGACCCAAAGAAGGTGAGTTCAATTCCTGGTTAAGGCAGTGGAGAACTTTCAGAGGGAAAATTAGCAGGAGATAACTGATAACTGACATCCATCAAAACATGGCACGTGGAATTAGAACAGTCTACCCCAGCGATCGAAATAAAGGGTTCAGTTCGAAATTCCAACCACCTGAAGAAGGCCGGAGCGTACAACGGCCGAAACGTTGTGACAAATATGGCGACAAAGATGAGGACAATAGTCCGACTAATGTAAATACTATAAATTGTAAGTTGAAATCAAATCCGACCTTGCATGCAAATGTCTTGCCCCATTGAAAAAATATGAATTTGTAGTTTGCACTTATATCTTTTAACACCTTTTTGTTAAAATTAAAAAATTTTTTTCTATTGGGCCAAAGTGTTTAATTATTTAGTGCCTATAAACTTTTTACATATTCTGCAGCTAATGATCATTTAAAAAAAAATGACTTACATTTATTCAATCTTTCTTGCCTAATAAATTCAGAAAGCTCATAATTGATCACAAAAAATATAATATTAAAAAAAAAGTCATGCATAATAGTAGAACAAAAAAGTATATCATCTTACCTGTAAAGCAGAAATTGGTACAGAAGGTACGTCGCCTCCTAACTGTTCAACCGTAACATTGTGAGTAAGAAGATCATGACGTGTTTTTTCCTGCAGATAATCAAAAACAGAGATAGATATTGTTGCAGTGGCCTTGTTAGGACCAGAAATAAAGACACAAGAGAGAAAGTGAGTTAAACAAATATATTAACAGAAACAGTAAGACAAACATATACAAACGAGAGTGTTACAGCAAGAATGTTCGGTCCGACTGTCAGAGCTGACTGCTGGAAACTTCCCTCATCCAAAAGGCAGTACCTGCTACTATTTATAGCTGGGAGAGTCCATGCATGCATGGGTAAATTACCATAACAGATATAAACAGAATGAGTTGTAGAGATAGACAGATAGATAGAGACCGAAATCAATAGATAGATGCAGATTAAGATAAATCAATAGATACATAGAGAGACTGAGATACAGACTGAAGTAGATATAAACAGACTGAGAAGTGTGTGTGTATATATATATATATATATATATATATATTGAGAGATAGATAGCTGACCGAGACAGATGTAAACAAACTGGGATAGATAACAATACAATGAAAAAAGTAACAAGATAGACTGGTAAATTTGAATACACTGGGATAGGTAATATAAACATGTAAATCTTTACACCATTTACATTATTCTGACTATTGTCCTCATCTTTTTAGTGATAAATATGGCATCAAAGATGAGGACAATAGTCCAAATAATGTAAATAGTGTACATAATACCTCATCTCAGAAATATAGACAGATACTGAAGGATCTGATAAATATGGCAACAAAGATGAGGACAATAGTCCGAATAATGTAAATAGTGTACATAATACCTCATCTCAGAAATATAGACAGATACTGAAGGATCTGATAAATATGGCAACAAAGATGAGGACAATAGTCCAAATAATGTAAATAGTGTACATAATACTTCATCTCAGAAATATAGACAGATACTGAAAGATTGGATAAATATGACAACAAAGATGAGGACAATAGTCCAAATAATGTAAATAGTGTACACAATACCTCATCTCAGAAATATAGACAGTAAATCTTTTTTCATCTGATCAGTGTATATATATATATATATATATATATATATATATATATATATATATATATATATATTGTTACATGTTGATAATTGTAACAAAGGAAAAAAAAAAATGATTTACCACAACACAGAGCTAAATCACAAACAAATATTTAATTTACTAAAACAGAACATAAAATATATACAAGATAAACAATTGTGGCCTACAAAACAGAAAACAAAGAGTTACTGGCGGAGTGTTATGAAGAAGAAGGAAAGGGAATCAAATATTTTTATCACTTTAGGGCTAGTGAAGTAATCTAAGTGCTATATTTGGAAATCCACAAAGGTGTGTAAATAAATATTCATTTTTAGTTTGGTCAATGAAAATTAGTCAAAATTCTATTTACCAGCTTTGTTCCATGAAATTCTCTTTTTGGTTTTTTGGTTGGTGGCAACTTTTTATAGAGATTCTTTCGGCTGGATATAATAGTCCTTGAATCAAAAGCGGAGTTGATAACAGCAGAAATTCTCATTCATCAACTGACAACCCTTTCCCAAAATCCCATTTTATAGGGCTAACACCTAATTTGCATATTTCTAGATGTTTCTCGAATCATCTAGATTTTCTCGAATATACTAGAATGATCTAGAATCTTCCAAACATTCTATTTCTAATTTCTCTATTTTACAACTACTTCATGAATGAAAACTTTTTGTAATAACAAGAAGAACTCAGTGGAAATGCATCCTCGTAACAATATATATATATATAAAATTGGACATTGAGGTCAACACCTGGTGACAACAGTCTGTTTCATGCCTGTACGTCATCATTATGCAAGGAGTTCACTTATATATATAACACAACCAAATAAAATAAAATAAATTTGGACAGCATAAAATGCTAAAAAAATTACCTAAATTCAGCAAAAAGAGTGTGTAGTGAGATGAAAAAGAAATCAATTGACTTTCGTATAAAATCAACTTTTAATATTTTATTGTCAAGGGATTTTGAGATATATCAGTTGCACTAAAAATACATATACAGATTTTTCAACAATTTAGTCAGGATTCTAGTGATTTAACAACTGAAATCACTTAATAGTTGATTGGATGAACAAGCATTTTGCTAATTCAAGCAGACTAATAAAATATTTGACAGAACTTAATAGAAATAATTTAAAGGTGAGCATTAAAAACATACCAAAAATAACTGATAAGCATAACAAGAAGCTCCTTTTTTACATTATTTATTGAAAAATCATTTTGTAACTGTAGGATAAAGGAAAGTGTCCACTAAAAGGGAAATGTCTAGGGAAATACATTGTTTCTTAAGCTTCAGCTGATAATTGTTGTAAATGAAGAGAAAATCAACATGCTTACATCTACACTCATGCAGAGAAAGAGATACACACAAACAATGAAAAGTATACAGCTACATGTGTCTATTTTATAGAAATAATAAATCCTGCCAAAATGCTTGACTGTTTGATAGGGCATTTTACTCATGTAAAATGTTTAAGAAATCAGTCATGAATTGAGTTTATTCATTTCTAATTGTGCTTACATTTGAAGAAGGAAAAAATAAACAGCCAATAAAGTACTTACAATGTTAACTTGTGGTTGGTCAATTTTATTGATGGCCACAATTAATGGCACTGAAAAAATAAAAAAAAAAAAAAAAACAGCAGTTAACAATTTTCAGAGTATTATTCTTTTTATCACTATTACTTCTTTTATTAGAACTACATACAAGGAAAATTAATGGTAATATTGTGAATTTTATTGTTATTAGATGAAGCATTGTCAGCTATTATTCATTTTTGACTAGGATTTCTTCCATCTTAATTTCACTTGCTTTTTATTACATTAGTAGTATTAGTAGTAATATTATCTTGAATTTTATTATTATTAGATGAAGGATTGTCAGCTATTATTCATTTTTAGCTAGGATTTCTTTCATCTTAATTTCACTTGCTTTTTATTACATTAGTAGTAATATTATCTTGAATTTTATTATTATTAGATGAAGCATTGTCAGCCATTATTCATTTTTGACTAGGATTTCTTTCATCTTAATTTCATTTGCTTTTCATCTGTCTAAATACCCAATAACTATTGATCAAGAAGGTATGAAAAAATTAAAATATCAGAATATCACTTGTCTTATTCCACGGAAAGTCAATTTCTACTTACCATTTGCATTTTGTGCATGTTGGATGGATTCAATCGTTTGCAGCATCACACTGTCATCAGCTGCTACAACCAGTACCACAATGTCCGTCAACAAAGCTCCTCTCGCTCTCATGGCAAAAAATGCCGCATGGCCTGGCGTGTCCAGGAATGTAATCTTCTCACCCGAAGGCAGATTCACTAACCAAAAAAACAGGAGCACAACTTATTAAAAAATTTGCTATTGGAATGTTTTTCTACAAAGCGTTTTACATATTGTCTTGTTAGTATGATGAGACAAAGTGGAAAATTTATAAATGACACATTTCCCTAAGTGTGTTTGCTCTCTTTGGCTTCCATGGGTTAGAATGAAAGAAAGACAAAATTGCATGCAAGAAAAAATGCATTGGGATCTCTGAGGATAAGTGGGGACCACAAATCAAATTACTTTATTGAATCCAAAGCCAGACCCGAGTGTGTGTCTGTTTTAAATATATATATATATATATATTTAAAAATTATAAGTATGTTATAACATCACTACAAAAATAGCCATTTTGTTTCAACACTTCTGGTGTCTTATGTTATAATTTTTAAATAAATATTATTTGCTCTACACTGTATTGAGCACTTTTTAAAAAATAGTGTTTTTGGTTACTGGAAGTTTATTCCATCTATACCAACCTTGTATTTGGAGATACATATATATATATATATATAAAACCTGTGATATCCTTGATAACCCAATAACATCCTAGATTTGCCTTGATAAAGTCCCTCAGAGGATGAAACGCATCAGCTAAGAATAGTTTTTTCAGATTGCCTTTTATTCATTTTGTTCTTTTACAGATACACTATGTGAAAATATATATATATATATATATATATATATATATATATATATATATATATATATTACAAATGGAAACTGTTTCATTGAAACTAGATTTGATTACACGTTTTGCATTTGTAGGGTTCATCATATCTAAAAAAAAAAAAAGAAGTGTGTATTTGTGTGTATGCTTAAATAATAAACCATTAGTACTTTTGTAAAATAATAGTTTAGCAGACTATTATTTTGTAGAGAAGTTTGACCTTATGGGTCAGATACAAGACAAAATAAAGGAAGTCAATTTTGATTGGCTGAACTAGCGTGGGAATGATAGACAGAGAAAGGGTTTTCAGGAAGTCGTGTCTTAACCGAACAATGTAGACGTGTTTCCTCTTTGTGTCTGGAAACTGCTTCACAGTGAAGGGAGAGCAACCCCACTTGATAGTTAGAGATATATATGTTGATGTAAATAAAATAGTTAGGGTTAGGGTTTTTTTTTTAACTGTTTTTTAGGTATATACAGGATGTGCAAATTAAATTCAACACAGTCTAATGATTTTATTTTTTCTGATTGGTTTGGAATATCTGTAAATAATGATCAGCATTGTGACACCTTGTCACTGCAGTTTCAGTGGTGTCAAAGTTAACTCATATGGAACAAGTAGAAGCCACCTGAATATTGGTAAAGGGTAACCTGCATCATGATGACTTGTGCCGGGCATCAAATTGCCTCAATCACGACTACTGCTCAATGGTCTTTGAACAGTGTGAAAACAGTAAGGTGGGAAATGGAGAGCTGCATCGGAGACTACAAGGACATAGTTTGTAGGAAAGAACACAGTAGATATTCTGATTGCCTCCATACACCAGAATTTATCCAACAACTGCAGGAGAAAGTAATGGAAGACCCAGGTAAGGGAATGCGGATCTGGGAACAGGAAATGGGTGTTGCAATTTCCACCATAAATCTGGCTATGAATGAAGACCCCTCCCCCAACTACCAGCCATACAAAAAGTGTAACGGTCAAAATCTTTCAGGAAAGGTTTGAGAAACTGTCTGACAAAGAAACTCCTGAACAAGGTGAAACATTCTGTTGAACCAGGGACAATCTGGTTCTTCTTCGATGAAAAGCTGCACAACACCAAGAAGAACAGATGGCTTGCCTACAATCCTTATGACATTCCTCATGTCATGAAGACCAAGTTGCTTCTTGGGTAAAACAATAAACTACACCTGTGTCCTGGGCTAGACGATAAACTACGTCCAACAGCAAGGCCTCTGATCAGAAGGTTTTGAGGAGCGTGGAATCACCTCTTAATTGCTGGTGTTCCTTGGTCCACCCTGACCCAGAGTGGTAGCACCTGCTAGGGTCCCAATTATGGGAAAATAGTTAACCCCCAAACTGGAGTCAATACACTATGAAAGTCTAAAAATAAGTTTTAAAACCAGCAAATTATTCCCAGCAATACATTACTGAAGAAAATAAATATTACCAGCAATACATTTTTGAAGGAAACATTTTTACCAAATATAGCAAGCAGACAAACTCTTCCCAATTATAGATCATGTGCCATACATGGTTTACAATATAGTACGAGGTTATATAATTAGAAAGGTCATTTATTAATAATACTAATTTACTAGCAACCAGAATATTGTGAGTAAATTAGTATTATTAATAAATGACCTTTCTAATTATATAGCCTACATTCAAATCACACTGAAAACCAGTTTTTGTTCAATCACTAAAGTTAAGCATCATTGCGCCTGGTCAGTACTTAGATGAGGGGACTGCTTAATTGTAAGCAATCTCCTAAAATCTGAAATATGTTTTAGCTTCAAATAACCCACAAAGGGTCAATAAGTCGTAAAAAATACAAATGAATTCTAATTATATAAGGGAAATTAGCTTAGGTTTGCTGTAAAATCTTTTGTGGCCAAATGGTCTAAAAGTATGCTCGCCTATAAAGTGATTTCTCCTATATAGAGGGATGCATATTCAAACCCTGCTAAAAGGCATATTTTCATTTATATAAGACACTGAAAAAACACAGGCAAGGAGACATCAATTATTCTGCTTAAAAAAAAAAACCAAAAAAAAACCAGAGACGTCTACTCAAACACCCATTTTCACTAAATATAATGTTTATGGTAATGGTAACATTAGCTGTTTCTTTATAAGGAAACATTTGGCCTTCATTGACCAAGCAGTTAGTACTATTGTCAGTTGAAATTTATAACATCTTTCTCTTAAAACAATTTTTCCAATGTTGAATGTGTTAAAATTCTTCAACTTTTTAACAAGAAAAATCTGAAGTTGATGCTAAAAATTGACCCAGAATATTCTTCATTTATTTAAGATGGATTGATCTATTATGACGTCTCTAATTTGCATTTGGATACAATGTATTTGTTTTCAATTTTTCTAGTCAAAATTTTCATCTATATTGCCTATGATCCATTACTGTAGGCTAGAATAAAATTAGTATTTTATATGAATACTACCTTATTAAAAAATTAGGATGTAGCACAATGGGGAGGAGGAGGGGACATATTATAGAGTTGGGGGAAGCATGAGATTCTTGTATGGACCTTGAATATAATGTTTATAGTAATGTTCATATTAGCCGTTTCCTCATAAGGAAACATTTGGCATTCGTTGACTGTGCAGCCAGTGCTACTGTCAGTTGAAATTTATAAAATCCTTCTCTTAAAACAATTTTTTAGGCAAATAGGTTTCTTAAATCCGTTATTATTGCTCTTTCCAATATTCTTAACCTTTTGTTCAAAGTAGGTGGAATATCAGCATCTTGGTTATGCTGTCATTTTCTCTTCAAGTTACATACGCTATTTATTTTAGTTGTTGCTGAAAGTCCCCAAGTGAGGTATGATTGGCAATCATGGCTCTCCACAACCTCCTAGAACTAAAAAATATTGTAGCACTAAAAAATATTTTTACCCTTACTATCCCTCCTCATTCATATTCTGCCATCCATTTACACGAGCTTGTTGAGCATATTACTCACTGTTACTCTCTGCGTATCTTCCCTTCAGTATGTGTAGGGAAAAAAAAAAAAAAAAATGGTGGGGGGGGTCAAAAGTGCAGTGCTCGCCGGCAGGCCAACTGTTTTTTTTCGTCTTCTTCAGTCACCTCAAGGAAATGGATTGCATGACTCTCTTTCTCAGCTGTTACACTGGGCAGTTGCGAAACAGATACCAATTCAGCTGCGCCTACTCCGACTTCCTCTTTGTCTGTCTGTCAATTCGTACATCTAGCTCTATTGCACGCAGTCTGCCAAATGACTCCCGATACGGTCATGCTGCTGCCACTCCGCTTTTTATGCTATTCTAATATGGCCAAAATTTACATGTGTGCAAATATCGTCTCATTTTGGACGAGATCAGTGCACATAAATTAGCAGCCATATTTCTTTTTGTCATCACTTTGCAGGCAAGACACATTCACTCTTGTTTTGAATTCTGAGGTAAGTCATATCTTTCGTCACAGTATGTCCTGTGAGTGTCAAATTTTCCAAGCCCCCTTTCCTCTGTCTACTACTCCCACTAATAGGTAGTAAAAATATAGTGTAAATAAAAGGATGAGAAGATTTGAACCCTGCTGTTCTGTTACCATGTGGGGACAAATTTGGTAAAATGCACAAAACTTGCTACCAGAATTTGGGGAGAAGTTTTCACATCACTTCATGTCATTTTTTAATTTTCATTCACATTGCTTAATTTAATGATGAAAAAGTGCATCAACCTCAAGTACTAGGATAAAATGCCGCTGCTGCTGCAGACGTGCAAGTGGTGAAAATGTTATTGGCTCAGAAAACAGAACTGGAAAACCAAGTTCAAATTCTAGTTTAGGTAGTTTTTGTTCATTTCACATTAATCTCTCCGGCAAAGACATGAATCCATCTCTTCTTGAACCAGAGTAAAATAATCAGGCAGACTAGCCTTGATAGGGCAACTAGTCAGAGAAAGATAACTCTAAATTCAAAATGGCACTGCAAACACGTCATATGCCAGTGTGGCTGGGTGAAGGCTATTATGTGTGCTTTCAGACTTAAGAGCAGCCCTTAAAAATCTGAATATTCTATTGATCAAGGCAACATCTCTGTAAGAAGTGCTACTAGGAATCATGATAACAATTGGGTGTTGAGAAAAAAATAGTAATGAAAAACAAAAAAAAAATAAAATAATCCCCACAGCCTCAAAAATTATAATTAAAAATTAATAAAAAAAGACTAAAAAGATAAATAGAAAAAAAATTCCCTCAAAGGTTTTCTTTTGTTAAATTCTTGAAAAATGTCTTAAATCCTTCATTGAACCAACCTGAGAAAGCACCAATGTGTTGTGTAATGCCACCAAATTCCTGTGATACAATATCTGTCTTGCGTAATGCATCTAGTAATGTTGTCTTCCCATGATCAACATGGCCCATAATGGTCACCACTGGAGGTCTTTTCACCAAAACAGAACTGTCAGGAGGATCTCTGTAAGATAAAAACATTGTGAAAACAAAGTAATAAGCACACAAATGATTTTAAAGATCAAATGAATAAATATGTGTCTCAATAAAACTGCTTCAATTCAACTAATTTGCAGTAATATGTAATAGCTGATGACAACAATATTTATTATGAACACTGTAGGTTTTCTAACTTAAGTTTTTGAAAGACAGATATAAATTCCTTCTATAGAAACTTCTTTGTGCCACATCCCTTCCGAACATAGGTGATCATGACTCTCAAAAATGTCTTGTCTATTGTAGCTTAATAAATATTGTCTTTTTGTTATCTCTCTTAAACCCTGTTCCACCATCCATTTACTCAAGCCTGTTAGGTAGATTATGTGTTTTTTCCTCTGTCCCTTTTGCATTCATTCTGTCCTGTGAGTATTAAATTTTCTAAGCCCTCTTTCCTCATTATGTGCCCTAGAAATTTCAACTATCTTTTCCTGATGTTAAGTGTCCTTTTTGTTTCCATTTTCTCTAAAACTTTGTTGTTGCTCATATGTTCCTTTTGTAGAACCATATTTCTGTTACTTCAAGTCTCTTCTTTATCTGTCCAGCATTCACTGCTGTATAGGAAGACTGATATTACGTAACAGTTCAGTACTCTTTTCTTAGTTTTGTAACATGGCAATGACCCTGTTTAAAGTTTTAAATTAATGGATGGTGATTTGGAGAGATTACGAATTGGATTATAATTGTTAAAATTCTCAGTTGAATGGCTGAGAAGAAAATTGAAAATGAAACATATTAATATTTATGTTTTAAAATAATAAAAGGAAATTAAGCACAGTTCAAAGGAGAATCAAACCCAGATTTACTGAGACAGGATTTAATAAAATTGAGCAAAACCAAGATTCCAAACCCTATACACTTTCCAATGATAAGATACAATACATTATCCAAACCCTATACACTTCCCACTGATAAGATACAATACATTATCCAAAACCTATACACTTCTCACTGATAAGGTATAATACATTATCCAAACCCTATACACTTCCCACTAAGATACAATACATTATCCAAACCAGGCAGTGGAGAACTTGGAGAGGGGAATTAACAGGAGATAATGGACAACTGACATCCATTAAACATGGCACGTGGAACTAGAACAGTCTACCCCAGTGAGCGAAGTAAATGGTTCAGTTCAACATTCCAACCACCTGAAGAAGGCTGGAGTGTTCAACGGCCAAAACGTTGTAATGAATATGGCGACAAAAATGAGGACAATAGTCCAAATAATGTAAATAGTGTACATCTGGTTTATGTAGAATGCATTTTGTTGACCAACCAGGAAAAATATCTTTACAGAAAAATAATTAGAGAGACTTTGAATATAAAAGTGTACTACCATATGGCCAATTAGCAAGATCGCCTAAGATTAGGATGTGCCTTTTTCAGTGACAATCACTGCAATTATTATATTTGTCATTATTTTGGATTTCTGGTGTGAGTGAGAAAAGTCAAATTGTTAATTTACGGGAATATGGAGATAATCAGACATATGAGTTGACAATTGGTCTCAAAAAAAAAAAAAAAAAACAATTATTACTCTTACAATAAAAAAAAGAAAATCATGCCCTCCCACCTTCTTCGAGTCAGAGTCAATCAGGGTAATATTTAAAAAATTTCAAACTGAACCTTTTATTTAATATACAGTAGTAAACTGTTCTTATTTCACTATGTCTAGGGGATATCTAATCTTGTTCTTTTTTAAATACTGCTCAGTTATGCTAGTCCATAGTCTGAATCTGTACTACCCAGCTCAAGGATTGAGATCACAATTATTATACCTCCAGATTAATAAATCCATAACTTTAATTCTTTAGGCTATTGTCCCTGAATGGTTGAGAAGAAAATTAAAAATGAAATGTGTTAAAATTTACATTTTAAAATAACAAAAATAAATTTAAGAACAGTTCCAAAGAGAATCAAACCCATATTTAACAAGAATCAGTAAAATTGAGCAAATCCCAAATTCCCAACACTATCCACTTCCCATCAATAAGAAAGAAATAATGTATTGTTTGAATTGTTTGGGTCCTTAAACAGTTGTTGTTTACAATACATTATCAGTAGAGAACGTGTGTGTCTTCGTGGAAAATAATGATTTAAATTATTCTGGGTAAAGAAATAGGAAACATCTTGACCACCCAGGAAAAAAAATATCTTTACAGAAAAATAATTAGAGAGACTTTAAATATAAAAGTGTACTACCATATGGCCAATTAGCAAGATCTAAGATTAGGATGTACCTTTTTCAGTGACAATCACTGCAATTTTTATATTTGTCATTATTTGGGATTTCTGGTGTGAGTGAGAAAAGCCATATTGTTAGTTTACAGGAATATGGAGATAATGAAATTGGGCATTGGGAATTGTCATTTTCTGTTGCCTATCTAGGTAAAGAAAGATATCAATCATTGTTATCAGAACAGATTTCTCTATATAAAGCTAACATGCATTTCGCTTGGTGGTCATTTTTCCCCCCAAGTGTGGAACAGACATCAGACACAAAGAGTACACCTGCATTTTGGTGGGTAGGGACAGTCCGGAATTTTATTGTAATTCTATTGTTCTAAAGAAAACACCTGCAATTCTCAGACCAATGCGAAAACAGAGACATACGAAGAATCACCATTCCTGCAGTAAAGTATTTTGATTTGCAGTAGCTAATAATAGAAATGCATTATTCAACTAGTTGAATTGAAGGAGTTCTTATTCCAACATGAATTCCGACGTGTGCCTGGACAGAAGTGACAAAAGTTTACCATGGCCATAAACAGGAATTATATAATTGTCGGCAGAAATTATGTAATCTTGTCTATGGTATACAATGTATAAAAAGAGGTTCACTTCATCATCAATCCCAATATCGTAAGATTTTGAGAAACTTGAATCAACACCATCAAGACGACACACCAGCCCTAACCGAGGAGGGAAAAGTAAGCCAAATAACCGTAAGGTTGGTATTACTCAACTAGTAACTTGCAGCTGAGAATAAAAAGAGAGAAGAGAGAGAGCTTGGATCTGATGTGAGTGTAAGTTGAGAAGTGATAGGTATGTTGATAGACATGTCAATGATAAAGGTTTGTCAACGTAGGTGGGTTGGTTACAGTTTCTAAAAAAGTTTTCTAGTTCTTAATACTTTGCTTAGCTTTTGGAAGGCATCTTTAACTATCCTAATGCAACATATATCATTGACACATCAAACAACATACCTTTTGGTGCTCTGTTAAAACACTATCCAGATATTTAAATTGTTGTACTTGTTTGATTTTGGTATCTCCAATTTGTAATTTGCATATTGGGATGTTCTTTTTGCTAACAACCATGCATTCTATCCTTCTTTGCAACCTTCTATAGAATTTCTTGTGGTTTCTTTTATGTGTCTGCTATCAACAATGTGTCATCTACATATCTTATGTTGTTAAGACTGTAACATAAAGAATTTATAGAAACACTATGAATTAAAACAAAAAAAATCTTTATTTACAGAAATATTGCTTATATATGGCAATTTTTAAAATTTAAATTAAAAATAAATAACACATATGGTGAGGCTGATTGCTGATAGGTTTTTACTGTAGTGAGTTCCTGGGACTCACAGAGTTCAGTTGGTCACAACTAAAGTTTCTTAAAGTCTAGTGTTATTAAATGATGTTATTAATCTGAGCCATTTCCACTTGATGATCATACCAACTGGAACAGAGGCTATAAAATTAATTATATATTATCACAGCCAATCATATGTCTCTCTTTGTTAGTTAAAACATTTGCATTAATTGTTTAAAAATGTTTTATATTTAACAACAAAAATACAAGATTTTAAAAAAAATAAAATATCCAACCAGTAATTCATTTGACACATTATTCACTTTCAGTGACAGAAATAATATATTAGTTACGTTTTAAATTAAATGTGGATGCATCAGTGGACTGATGTCCTTGTTTAGTTAGTATCTGCAAACAACAAATTCCTTTTACTATCTCATAAGTGTTGCAAATTGGTTGTGTACAATCTATTGATTTTCATGGAAGAATTGAGATGCATTCCTTGGACATGGATAGAGGGGCGCTTACTGCATCCATTTAGATTTTTATGCTTCAGGGACACAGGACGCCATATCTAGTCATGTGTAATACATATATGAGAAGAAAGTATTAATTTTTCTTTAAAAAAAAAAAAAAAATCCTACACATACTAAACCCTCAAAATTTGGAATATACATTATAAAGTGATGCTGATTTTTTTTAATGTAGTGAGTCTGAGACTTACAGCTGGTGATTAGAATGGTTTACCAGAAAATTCCATGGGTTCCAACTAAAGTTTCTTAAATTGTAGTGTTATTAAATGATGTTATTAGTCTGAGCCATTTCCACTTACTTGACAATCATGCTAATTGTAATGGAGGCTACAAAATTAATTATATATTATCACAATCAATTATAACAAATATGTATCTGCAAATGGGTTTTTGATCCTGTTCTTTTATTGTCCTTTTTTATTTAATGTTTTCTATGTTACTTTCACTCTCAGTAACCCTTTGCATCTTAGTGGCTTTATTGCCTTGCTTGGGATGAAATATAACCGAGACCAGAATATACAATCCAGAAAAGAGTTGGAACACAGATATTCATGCAATGCGTTTTCACTCTTTTCTGTTTTGAACACTGTCTGTTTTTTTTGATGAGTCTAGGTGGGTTTTTCTGAGAGGCTTTTTTTTTTCTATTCCAGCCTGGTTTATTTATATTATTTGTTCATATGAAGGTGGTAAAACCCTATAGACTTAGTGATAATCTTTAAAATGGAAAAAATTTTAGTCATTCTGCAAAAAAAAAACAAACCCAAAAAGCTACACTTGCTAAACACTCAAGTTTTGGAATATACATCATATATACAGAGATGCTGATAGATTTTTAATGTCATGAGTCTCCAGGACTCACAGATAATAATTTGAGTAGTTCACTGAGAAATTCACTGGGTCCCAATTAAAGTTTCTCAGTAAATGATAGTGTTATTAAATGATGTTATTAGCCTGATGTTTCCACTTACTTTACTGTCATGCCAATTGGAACAGAGGCTACAAAATTAAGTTTATATTATCACAGCTAATCATAAGAGGCATGGTAAGAGCATTACCAATCATTCAATACATCAAACAACAGAAGATCAAGTGGTTTGGACACCTCACTCGTATACCTATCAACCAACCAGATCTATGAGCATACACCCTCAGTTACTCTGGTTGGAGAGTAAGAGGCAGACCAAGAAGATGCTTGAGCAACTCATTGGCAAATAAACTCAGAGCCCACGAGATATCTCTCCTCCAGGCCACTCGCCTTGCTGCTGACAGTGTCTCCCTATGACACCTAACAGCACAAGTGGAAGGAAAAAGCACACAAACACAACACAATCATAACAAATATGTCTCCATTTGTTAGCTAAACATTTTCACTAACTGTTTAAAAATACATTTTGTAATATATTAAACAACAAAAATATGTTTAAATTAATAAAATATCTACGTTCTAGTTTCTCAATGCGGGGGAAAAACCCCATCAGCGGAAATCAACCCATTTCAGCTTTCAAAAAGAATGCATGTATGCTGTGGACCTGAGAGGCAAGCTTTTTCATTTCAGGTCAACATTGTGACAGGATGGAAAAGTTAGAGCTCTTTTACAAAAGATGCAACATGGCATAGGCAGTATGCCTCAGACGTTCACAGGTTCACCAGCAGAGTAAGTTCAAATTTACCTTTATTATTTATAGACTTTTTAGAATGTTCCTTGAAATTTCCTCAACATGAAAGATGTTCCCAACAGAATAAATATTTCTACTTTGTTTTGTCCTATTCTTTTGTTTGTCTATTTTCGCAACACTTCATTTTTGCTCAAAACACGAATCCAAACATTGTAACAACAGTTTGATGACCACAAGGTTAGCTGTGAGATTCTTTACTATATATTAATGTTACATCTCTGCATGTCTCAATTTAAGGTGTGGTCATAAAGTTTTGTGAAATATATAAGTTTGCTCAGCAAAATCAAGACAAAAGAATTTTTTTTCAAAAGTATCAATAATAAAAAGAGGAAAATTCAAAGAAAACTTACTGTCGAACAATATCCTTGTTTTCTTTCACCTTTTCAAGCCGTTTTGGTGCCGGGATGAATTTCATTCCTGATCTTTTAACAATCTCTTTGATGACGTCAATATTGTCAATTTCTGATGAGAAATAAAATAAATAAAAAATAAGCACATCAAGAAAAACACATGGAAAAAAATAAACTGTAAATATCAAAGATAAGAAATAGAATTATTTTCTTATAAGCATTCTGTTTTATTACTACATTTTATCATAACACTTTTTGGTCTGGTTTTGTTTTATGGCATATCAACCTCAATGGTTATTTAATGCTAAAAAGATCTTTAGAATAGGCTCAAATGAATAGAATATGTATTATTTGTAAGAAATCAGTTTGTTGATCAGGGTTTTGGTTTATTTTGTTTCAAGGAATATCAACCCCAATGGGCTATTTAATGTCAACAAGACTTTTTGGATAGGCTTGTATGAATAGAATATGTATTCTTTGTAAGAAATCAGTTTGTAGATCAGGGTTTGGGTTTATTTTGTTTGGCAGCATATAAAACTCAATGGGTTAAATCTTGAAAATAAAAATAAAAAAAAAATTTGGCTTAGTACCAAAAGTGTGATACTAGGACTAAGACACCATAATCTTGGATGTCTTATAAATAAAATATTTATAAAATATTTTATTTATTTAAATATAAATATTTATAAATATAAATAAAATATAATTTATTGTCTTGTAAACAAAATATTTATAAAATAAAATCATTTTACATAGTCTGATGTTAAATGATTTTATTTCAGTCTTAAGTGTTTTGTGTTATTTTTATGACCAGCAGTGAAGTCTGTGAGGTGAGAGTCTTCAGGGTGGCCACCCACTTAACCAAATAGGAATAAAATAATAAATAAATGAAAATTTTGGGGAATAAGTGACAACAAACCGGACAGGCTTATATAAACAGTCACAGTCAGTATTGAAGTAGTTCTGAGCCACACATTGGCAAGGACAGACTATTCAACAAGGTAGTTGTTAGCTGTGCATTGTGATATAGAGATGAACAGAGAAGGGTGCTAGGAGAGAGTCAGAGTTCTTTGCTGGTTGAAAGGAAAAGCTAATTTGTTAGACTGACATGGCAGAAGTTGTCTGAAGTATCACCTCTTCAGACCAATCAAGGAGAACCCTGAATAAAAAACAACTGAATATATAGGGAGCAGGATTTGTGTTTATTTGTTTTATTTCTGATCATAGTATTTATTATTTACTTGTGAGGGTACAATGAACTGTTACTAGTTTTTATTAATATGAACAAGAAGAATAGAGGCACAATATAGGGTTATGTGCCTGGTTGGTGAAAAGCTGAAGAAGGGTTTCATTATGTGTTTACAAGCTTAATAAATATCAATAATAGAAAAATACAAATTTACATTCAGACTAATATCCTAATCCTTTCTAAGCATCTGTGAATCCAGGTAACCTTCAGGCAATTTTGAACAGAACCCTTTAATTAATCTATAGGGATAGATTGTTCTCTTCCATTGGACATGTCAAGGAATATCTTTATTTTTTTTTTTCTTTATTATTATTACTCAGTTACTGCTTGTGTATTTTTGGGTTTTGTTTTTTTACAGATAGTTCACTCATCCTTAATAAAATACAAAGAATTTACAATATCATTGGTCATGACCTGGCATCTCAGCTTCAGTCACTTTTCCACCATCATAACATAGCTTCTCTGTGCCTTTTCTATAAATATTTTTTTATGGTAATTGTTCTGATGAACTTTTCTCTGGGGTTTCATTTTTAAAAGTTGTTATTTTTATCCCCTACCAACCACAGACAAATTGTATATATGGGAACTAGTTAGGACATTATAGAGACTTTGAGGCATTATTGTGATTGTAGTAAAAAATGGTAAGAATGTGTTGTTTTGGTGTAAGGAATACTGTAGCAGGATTGGGTCAGTAATCATGGCATAGCTAAGTTTAAGTTAAGACAGACTGAAGACCAGCCTTCCCCTATCCTTCCTTTTTGGCCTTGTGACACATTTTGTATAATCAAAATAAATATTACTTCCCTCTAGGAGAGTGACTCATTGAGCCTTCTTGGACTATTATCTTAAGCTGACATAAAGCGGAAAGATTATATAGAATCAATTGCTAAGTCTTCAATTAAGAAAGTCGGTTCACTATATTGTGCTAGACAATTTTCTCACCAGAATCTATCTTACATCTACCATTCATCCTTGCTTTGAATATTGCTGCCATATCTGGACTGGTGTTCCTGTTATGTACTTAGAGATTCTTGATAAAATACAAAGAAGAATCTGCAATGTTATTGGTCCTGAGTTGGCATCTCAGCTTCAGTCCCTTTCCCTTTATATTTGCTTTGAATATTGCTGCCATATCTGGACTGGTGCTCCTGTTATGTACTTAGAGATTCTTGATAAAATACAAAGAAGAATCTGCAATGTTATTGGTCCTGAGTTGGCATCTCAGCTTCAGTCCCTTTCCTTTATATTTGCTTTGAATATTGCTGCCATATCTGGACTGGTTCCTGTTATGTACTTAGAGATTCTTGATAAAATACAAAGAAGAATCTGCAATGTTATTGGTCCTGACTTGGCATCTCAGCTTCAGTCCCTTTCCCTTTATATTTGCTTTGAATATTGCTGCCATATCTGGACTGGTGTTCCTGTTATGTACTTAGAGATTCTTGATAAAATGCAAAGAAGTATCTGCAATGTTATTGGTCCTGACCTGGTATCTCGGCTTCAGTCCCTTTCATTTGCTGTAACATGCTTTCATAGTAATTGTTTTGATGAACTTTCCTGTACCTAGACACTATGAATTTAAGTGCAGTACTAGATTGGCGGCAAGATCTCATCATTTTACAGTTGAAATGGCTGAATGTAACCATAAGTTCTATGCTAACAGTTTCTTTTCTCGCACTTCTTGCTTGTGGAACTCTCTTCTTACTTTCTGGTGAACTTTGATCTTCAAAAATTTAAATACAATGTCAATCGTTATCTTGTCTTCTTAATTTCTATACTTTTATTGTTCTTGCTCCTTAATAATGTTTTTCTTTTTCTTCAATTCTTTCACACACATTCCACCACCACCCAGTGTCTTAGTGGCTTTGTTGCCTTGCTTGCGGGTGAAATGATGAAAAAAAAAACAAATACAAGGCCCAAGGGCCACTGAAGGTAGAGAGTTACTGAGCAAGATTGTAAAGGAGGGGGAAGTAAGAGAGTATTGTGAGGATGAGTAGATAGATATTGGTTGATTCTGGACCAAGATCGTAGTTGTCAGGGAAACAGTCCTTTGAGAGTTTTTTTTTTCTATAAAGTAACAGAAAGAAGTTGTCTGAGTGGAGCTTGCTCCTTATCAAAGGAACATGAAGGAAATGGGGACGGAATGGTTTACCACCATGAACATGGCAGTTCCTAACTGTGAAGCTCCAAGGTTCCCATGGAGTCTGTACTTCCCAGCCCAGGAATTGAAGTCACAGTTACTATACCACCAAATTTACAAACCAATGCTTTAACCCCCTAGGCTATTTTTTTGTGGTGGGGTTGAGAGAAGGTCAGTGATCATAACAACAAAGATGAGGATATTAGTTTCAATGTAAATGAAATAAGTAACTCCCCATCCAAAAAATTCAGTCAGAAAAATACTTACTACTGTCTGCTTTGTCATATTTTTCTCCATCTACCACATATAAAAGGATTTCGAAAACATGATCTGAAAGATTCAATTGAGAAAACGTAGATTATAATGGGCAAATAAACCAGGAATATACATAAAAAAAGAAATTAATCTATGGGGTGGTCTGAAAACCTTGTCACCCATACAATAATAATTTTCTACTTCAGATGGTTGATAAGAGCTTTTACAGTTTGAAAGAGAGGGTTAGGGTGACACGACTTTCGGACCACTCTCTATATTGACAGAATTTGGAATATCTAGAAAGATAAAAATAAACACATGCAAAGAAATTTAAGAATACAAATAGAAACTAATTCAAAGACGGATGTACATGCAAATATATGTACATGTATTTCCAAGACGTATAATAGTAAAAGTGAAGATGATAAGAAAGTGGAAAATTTATTAACGACACATTTCTCTCTTTGGTTTTCTCAGGTTACAAGTGTTTCTCAACTTTTTTAAGTAACAGCACACCTAAAAGCAAATGAAAATACCACAGCACACTTAGTTAAATTTTTAAAGGGTATACATTTAAATATTATGAAATAAAACCTTGGATTTTTAAAAACATAAACACACATATACAAACTTTGTTTCACTATTTCTATTCAACTATTTGTGCAGCTTATTTAGTGTGAAACTTTTGCCTGGTGTTTTTTTCACTATTTCTTCAATGTTTGATCAAATGTGCAATAAGCAGATCCTCATTTCTTCTTCAGTTGAGCATAGTCTTTGTCGCTTCTTATTTTTGATGTTATTTAGGGTTGAGAAGATTAATTCATATAAAAAAGAAGTAGAAAATTGCAATAAAACTGATAAAGCCTTTTTAGCTAATGTGTGATATTCCTTTTGTATTGAAATCCAAAATGTATCAATGGGTACCGACTGTTTTATTTTGAGCCCTTGATCACTAGAAATGGTGGCCAATTCTTCTTCTACACATAAGTGAAGTCCAATATTAGAAGAAACATTTATGAAGAGATTTCACATCCTATCATACTTTTCTGTGCTCAGTGACAGAAAATAATAGTCGATGTTTTCACAAGCATTTTCAGACAAGTAACCATAAGATATAAATATTTAAACAAAGTATTTAAAATAACATAATCAAAGAATAGTGAAAAGAATTATTTGAAAAGAAGTTTAATACTTATTCATTTATTCAAATACTAACACTGTATTTAGTACTACATTAGTACTTCCACACACACACACACACATATATATATATATATATATATAAGCTGTAACAATATTTCATGTCACACTTAAGAGGAATGCACAGCACACTAGTGTGCTGCAGTATGGTAGTTGAAAATCACTAGATTGGCAACATCGTCTCATCAATTTACAATTGAATCAGCTAGATGTAACCATAAATTCTATGCTAAAAATTTCTTTTCTTAGATTTCTCACCTTAGAATAAAAGACAAAACTGTATGTGAGGAAAAGTGCCTTGGGATCTCTGATAAGTGGGAATCATAAATTACATTATGTTATCACCTCCCAATATCTAGACTCAAGATAATGCCTGTTTGTTTTATTTATATCTGTTATATCTATATTAGAGCAATTTGGTATTGTTAGATTTTAAATCGGAGTATAAGCAAAGTATAAAAAAATGACACTCTAGCTACTTTTCACTAAATAGAGCAAAGACATTTTTAAACAATGAAATGTCCAGATTGGACTTTTTTTTGATAACCCTTGCTTCTGAGCCTGATTGTGGTGACTTATCTGGTACAAACTAATAGAAAAGGAATATTCTTGAAAAAAAAAAAAAAAAAAAGGTAGAGAATTTCTTCAAGATTGTTTCCAACCAATCAAAAGAACAGAATTTAAAATCTAAAGCAATTTTGAAAAGTAGTTTACTGAACAAGATGGAACAGTTAAAAGGCAACCTGCCAGCTAGTTTAAGCACTATACCTCAAAATTTTATTCTTAAATGAGTAGTCAGGATCAGATTTGAGACAACAGAGCAAGTAAAATCAGTAGTTAGTTGCAAAAAGAGACCAGTAGAAAGGCATGGCAAAGTAATGGATAGCGGCTCAGATTGAGGAATCAGAGAACTGAGTTCAAATTCCACTCAAATCCATTACACTCACATGCTTATACACTTGAGAAAGGTATGAATCCTCTTCTCCTCCCAGCTATCGGTAAATAGCAAGACAGACCGGGTTCTATAGCCTTTGGTGACGCTGGTCTACCGCAGAAAGAAATGGCAAACTACTGCGGGAAAAAATCTGCCTCGTCAGTCATGTACTGAAAGATACATGACACCTAAGCATGTATCACACATGGCACATAACTGACTAAGGACTTGTGACCCACAAAGAATTCTGGGACAACACACAAAAACTTAAAAACAGATAATACTGAACATGTTTTGTCTGAAACAAACACACCAACAGACCAAATTTTCCTTAAAAAGAGTCAACTCACCATCTTTAATTATATTTCTACAAGGCAGTACCAACTTCTGAAAGTTTTCTGTAAATATGTTCACCTATCATCTGGTTCATAATCCTCCCCAGTCTTTTGAACAGAAGTTGAGGTTTATCTCTTGTTTCCAGTTTAGGATTGGGTTTCCACTTCCTTCTAAAGTCTTTTCATTCTCTTTTACTCCCAGTAGGCCACCCTTGTGTCTTAGTGGCATTATCACCTTGCTTAGGGGTGAATTGATTAAGAAATATTTTTTACTTAATCATTATTATAAAGTTTTCCTATATGAATTGCTAATATTTTTTAATTATTATATAATTACTGACTTATTAATTGGAGGATCAGATTATTACTTAATAATGATAAAGAACCGATCCCCCACTTTCTGCCCATACACATTTTTATCAATGTTGTTTTTTCACTCTCAGAAACATTCTGCACCTTAGTAACATTATCACTTTGCTTTGGGTGAATTGTTTAAGAAAAAAAAAAAGATTGCCAATTGCTCTGTAATTCTTTTCATTCACCATTTTATCAACCTTCAAGCTTCTAAATGGCTGAGCAAAAATCAACATCTCTATATTCTCTTGAAAGGGTTAAGCACATTTGTGAACTCTGTTGATACTTGAACTCTCACTGCCAAGTGCTCCTATAAAGTCTACTACTACTACTACTACTACTACTACTACTGTAATTCCTTACTTTCTTAAGAGCATTTTTCTCTGAAAAGTTTAATTTTCTTAAATCTCCAAACTGTCTCTCTTTTCACATAACAGATTATTATATATAATTTTTATTTCAATTTCACAGTAAGTATGGAGCAAGAGTTCTTTTTTATTGTGCAATTGAAATTCTCCATAAAAGAAATTAGGAATGTATAGAAAACAGGAGTATTTGCAAAGTAATTAGGAATGTATTGTAGATGGGGGTATTTGCAAAGTAATTAGGAATGTATGGAAGACGGGGGTATTTGCAAAGTAATTAGGAATGTATGGAAGACAGGGGTATTTGCAAAGTAATTAGGAAAGTATGGAAGACAGAGGTATTTGCAAAGTAATTAGGAAAGTATGGAAGACAGAGGTATTTGCAAAGGGATGTATGGAAGACAGGAATATTCACAAAAGAATTTGAAATGTATGAAAGATAGGAGTATTTGCAAAGTGTATAGCAAATATAGGGGAAATACATATGATTATTTACTCCTATCCTTGAGTTTATTTAATATTATTTTATTGTATTATAATTTATTTTTAATTTGTATTATAAAATACAATGAATAAAAGAAAATCAAGTTTAGCATTATGGATAATCCAAAATTTTAGTCATAAACATAACAAAAAAAAAAAAAAAAAATGCTCCTCTACTTGAGGATTGTTTAAAGAATGAAACTGAGTTTTTTGTTTTTTTTAATCAATTCACCCCAAGTAAGGTGATAATGCCACTGCCCCAAGAGGCTACTGGGACTAAAAAAGAATGAAAAGACTCTAGAAGGAACTGGAAACCCAATCTTAATGAGGAAACAGGGGGGGAGGGTAAACCACTACTACTGTTCCAAAAAGATCAAGGGGGAGTGTGAACCGGACAATAGGCAAATATATCTACTATTAATAATCAGCATATCAACACTGGGGGGTCAAAAAACATAAATGTGCCTGAGCAGGCACCCACAATATGGATTGGCTAGCCACCTTATCAGACATGTGTGCTCAGAAATGAGTAACCATTCATCCAGTTTTCAAACTGAATTATTGAACCTGACATGGCATCCAAGGTTCAGTCACTTTTCCATTGCTGTAATGTAGCTTCTCTGTGCTTTTTCTATAAATACTTTCATGGTTATTGTTCTCATCAAATTTCCCTATGGTAACTAGACTCTATGAATTCAAGTGCAGTACTAGATTGGCAACATCATCTCATCAATTTACAGTTGAATCAGCTAGATGTAACCATAAGTTCTATGCTAAAAATTTATTTTCTTAGATTTCTCACCTGTGGAACTCTCTTTTGGCTTCTTGCTTCCCAATCAACTTTGATCTTCAAAAATTTAAATGCAATGTCAATTGTTATCTGCTGTTTTATTGTTATCACTCTTTAATAATGTTTCTCTTTTTCTTATTATTTAACATTCAGTAACACCTTGTGCCTTAGTGGCATTATTGCCTTGCTTGAGGTGAAATCAGTTAAAAAAAAACAAAAAAAAAAACATTATTATTACTAGGAATAAATATTTCTATATGTACAAAAGAAAATGGTGACACACCCCAAACAACAAAGTGTTTTTGTGTTACTTGCTGCAGAAAAAAGAAAGAAAAAAAGGGAAAAAGAAAAAAAAGAAAAAAAGGGAAAAAGAAAAAAAGAAAGGGAAAAAGAAAAAAAAAGAAAAAAAAAGAAAAAAGGGAAAAAGAAAAAAGGGAAAAAGAAAAGGAAAAAGAAAAAATAAAGGGAAAAAGAAAAAAGAAAGGGAAAAAGAAAAAAGGAAAAAGGGAAAAAGAAAAAAGAAAAAAGGGAAAAAGAAAGGAAAAAAGAAAAAAGAAAGAGAAAAAGAAAAAAGAAAGAGAAAAAAGGAAAAAGAAAGAGAAAAAAGGAAAAAGAAAGAAGGAAAAAGAAGAAAAAGGAAGAAGAAAAAGAAAGAAAAAAGAAAGGAGAAAGAAGAAAAAAGAAAGAAAGAAGAAAGAAAAAAGAAGAAAAAGAAAGAAGAAAAAAGAAAGAAAAAATATAGAAAAAGAAAAGAAAAAGAAAGAAAAAAAGAAAACAGAAAAAAAGAAAGAAGAAAAAAGAAAGAAAGAAGAAAAAGAAAGAAAAAAAGAAAAGAAAAAATAAAATAAAAGAAAAATAAAGAAAAAAAGAAAGAAAAAGAAAAAAGAAAGAAAAAAGAAAAAGAAGAGAAAAGGAAAAACAAAAAGAAAAGTAAAAACAAAAAGAAAAGAAAAACGCTTCACCACTGAAGGAGATCAGTTAAATTAGCTTCTGCAAACCAATTATGGTTCAAGTTTCACTGAGTGGAATGGATTGTATAGAAAAATATGCTAATCCATTTCTATGTTTCACTCATACAAAAAACCTGATAAGGGTCCACCTAACTGTGATAAAAGCAACTGACTTTTCCTACAAGGGCAGATTTTTGCAAGGGGGCTGCATGTGTGTACATATAGATTTGAACTTTGTGAACTTTTATCAATGAAAGAAAATGAAAGAATAGATGAAAAAAGAACAAAAGAAATAAATCAAAAAAGTAAAATACTAAAAATAAAATAAGTAAACAAAAAGGAATTCATTTTACCAATACTTTTCTCCATGCTTTCTGCGATCTCTGCAATTGTCATATTGGGGCTGATTGGAATGACTTTGACGTCTCTATCAATTGGTTTTGGTTTGAAGCGAACTGGGTCAGCCTGGAGTCCATGAAAAGAAAATGTAGGATTACCATCATAATGATCTCTTAATAATTTTTCCTTCATAAAAGTAAAGATTTTTTCTCAAAAATGTATTTCTGGTAATAATTTTTCCCTCAGAAATGTATTGCTTGTATTAATACCTATTTTTACACCTCCAAAGCGATTTTGACCATTGTTTAGGGGTCAACTATGTGTCCATAGCTGGGACCCTGACAGGTACTTCCACCCTGGCTAAGGGTGGATCTGGGAACACCAGCAATTAAGAAATGGTTCCACACTCATCAAAACATCATTAGAGACCTTGCTGTTGGATGTAGTTTAATGTCTTACCCAGGATTCGGATGTAGCTTATCGTCATACCCAGGACAATATCAACATACAGACATAGGTTAAGTGTTCTAAGGATAGTGACGGTGGTTTATGAAGGAAAGATATCAAGAGCTTTGTTTAACACTAGAAATAGAGAGTTTTGGTTTGATTTACGGCATATCAACCTCAATGGATTATTTAATGCCAACAAAATTTTCATTGTTGGTAATATTTTTTTTCCAAAAATCTATTTCTGGTAAGAATTTTCCATCAAATATATATCACTGGTAATATTTTTTTCAAAAATGTATTGCTGGTAATAATATTTTTACAAAGTATTTTGGGTATTAAAACCTTTTTTTACACTTTCATAGTGTTTTGACACCAGTTTGGGGGTAACTATTTGCCCATAGCTGGCACCCTAACAGGTGCTACCACCCCGAGTCAGGGTGGACCTGAGAACAGCATCAATTAAGAAGTGGTTTTCGAAATTTACTAAAAAAAGAAGGCAGGAGTCTAAAATGGGATAAATGCAAAAACAAAAAAAGAAAAACACACATACATTTTAGAAATGTAAAATAATATAAATGCTAAATGATAAAAGTTGTATAACATTTAATATCCTTTTTTCCAAATGTTACAAGCTACCAAAATACAACAGATGAAGGGGAGATAAACCATTCTGAAAGGCAACAGATGATTTGTTTGTTTAATGGCATATCAACCGCTTATCAGTCATTTAATACTGAAATTTAATTTTAGGAGGAGCTTTGAATAAAAATATATCTGTTATTCTACTTTCACAAATGAATACATGGTTGATGATTCTCAGCTTTTGTGTATATACATGTTTATAGGAATATGATTACTAGATTACTGATATGTGCATTTTATGTTGAAGTTTTGTTGCAGTTATATTTTGAAATACAGTTTGATTTCTTCAAGAAATTGTAGGATATTATATGGGTTAATGTCATGAAAGAGTTCTTCCATGTTGGTGATTTGGTTGGTTGGTTGGCTGATTTTGTTTAGTGACATATCAATCTCTAAGGAATTATTTAATGCTAAAATCTAAATATTTCAAACACAGTTTTATGACTTCAACTAACCATATTTTTAACATAATTTTATGCCTTCAACTATAGATAAAATACATTGTTGGTCATTTTGCTATAAAAAATATATTGTTGGTAATTCTATAAAAATGTACTTCTGGTCACTTTACTTTAAATAATTATTGTTGGTCAATATTTTACAATATAAAAATGTATTGATGGTAAATGTATTTTTATACTTTCATAGTGTTTTGTTTTTATCTGGAGTTTCACTATTAGCCCATAACTTGGTAAGGTTAGGGTGAACCTGGTTACAACAGCAATTAAGAGCTGGCTCCACACTCCTCAAAACCTCCAATCTCCCAATCAGAGACTTTGCTGCCGGATGAAGTTTAGACAGCAAATGAAGGGGAGATAAATCCTTCCAAAGGTAATACATGAAGGGGAGATAAACCCTTTCAAAAGGGAAATAAATGAAGATACACATTTTAATTTAGCTAACATGGACCTTCATGCTTTAAAAAAAAAAAAAAAAAAAAAAAAAAAAATTGTCACAAAGATGGTTTTTCCCATGACACCACTTTTATTTTAACTATATCACTTCTCTGCAATATTTATTATTTTAAAAAGGAATGATTAGAATTTTAATAAAACCTAAACAAGAAAAATATAAAGCACTATTTATTTATTAGATTATTTACAAGAATAATTTTATATTTACAACACTCTAAAAACTAATACAATTAAAACTAAGACAATACAATATTTATCATTTACCAATTTATAAAGAAATATGAAAACAAGTTTTATTCATAAATTTATAAACATTTACTAAATTATAAAAATGTGAACCTTATTGTTTACCATTTTATAAAATTCAAATCAGTTAGCAATTAGCCAATGTTTTGCCAACAATTCCAATAGATAATCTAATAGTGTTTATTATTTTTGTTGTCAATTCTCAAGAACAAAGAAATTGTATAAATTCACTTTCATGAACTTAGCTCTTATTAAAATTCTAATCATGACTTTTTAAAACAATAAACATTACTAAAGAGTGAACGTAGTTAAAATAATAGCGATGCCAAGGGAAAAACCATCCTTTTGACATTTCGTTATTTTGCAGGTACAAACGTCTATGTTTGCCCAAATTTTTAGTTGAAACAGTGGGAATATCTAAAGTGCCATCAAATATGTTAAATTACTTGAAAATTTCGTTTTCAAATTGTAAACAGTTACTGGAAAATCTAAAGAAATAAAGCTTCATTAACAATAAAAAAAAAATCTGCTTAAATTTAGGCAGGCTTAATGTGGTACTGTACATATAATCTTTAGCACTCTGTAGCTGGTTTTTTTTGCCAAGCAAAATGTTAGTCCTTCCAATGCAAATTGAATTTGAAGTTCTTGGTTGTATAGCTATATCCTTCTATGGCAACACCTAAAATAATCTTGACTGAAATTGAGAGCCAGGCTACTACAATTTCAAATATATAGAACTAATATATAAAACACTATATTTTGAGGGGATTCCATATATAGTAAAAGAGGAAGTAATGTTTATAAATGATGCAGAGTTAAGTGTTAATAAACTAATCTAAGCTTAGATACCATTAACCCTAGAACACTATGGGTATATAGTACCCAGCACAAATTTTCCTATTTTTAATTACAATTTTCAGTACCTGATTTTCTTACTTAAATAATATGTTTTTCAGTTCCTATTAATGTTAACTCAAAGTACAAAGTTTAAAGTGCCTGCATGTAAAATATTTCAAATAAAGATTTATATTTAATATTTTTTTTGATATTTTCAAAATCAGGTATGATATAGCCATGGTTAGTAGTGGTGTAACTTTAATTGATAGTTTGTGTTCTAGGGTTAATACTGTAATGAGTTTCATCCTGAGCGCTCTACACTTGTAGCTTTTGTGCCAGTAAAGTATCAATAATCCTTTAAGTCTAAATTCAGTGAAGCAAAAAAGTTAAACATCTTCTTTACCTTTCTTCTTTTTGCAGCTTCTGGTGCTGATAAATGGATCCACTGCTTCTTTGGTTGGTTAGTCACAGCCAATAAGACTTTTGCTTGCCTTTCAGCTTTGAACAAAATGGAATTCCAAGAGGTTCCAAGAACTTTTGAATGTCTTGAAATTAAAGGCCACAATTGCGACACAGCTGTTGCAAAGGATCTCTGGGCCATTTCGTATGCTCAGCTGGATTCTCTGCTGTAAACAGTCTGCCACTGTAAATATCAATGTGAAAAAAGTAATAGGCTAAAGTGAGGAAAAAGTTTTCAAAACAAATCTATTTCTGATGACAGTTTAATATTTTCTTTATGCATCAGCTTAAAATAAAATCCAGATGTGACTTTAATTTTTTTTAATACAATGTTCCTTCAGGACATAGGCAATCATGGCTCTCCACAGTTTCCTTTTCTTTATTATCTGTGAATATCCATTCCTTCTTTATCAATGGTTGGAAATTCAGATATCATAATTAAATCACAGAGTAGACTGGGACCTCTAGCATATCTTAGCTAGAGAGCCCAGACAACTCTACTATTTAAATTATAACTTAAAGCAGTAATGGTATTCAAATATTTTAGAAACTGATTCTCCCTTCTTCTGTATCCCAAATGATTCATCTATGAAATTAGAAATCAGTCCGCTCTTCTTTTTTTACACCCCTAATTTTTGTTCTTGGATATAAAAATCGAAGGAAACTTATGAATCAATTCTACAAATGTATAAAATTTGTGTAAATGGTTGAAGCGAACCGTTGCGAACCTCTCAAATCCCATCACGAGATAGATAATGAAATGAACAAACTGAAATAGATAAAGTTCAGAGTTCAGGCGAAGATGCTAGGTGTATAGAGTCAAAGTAGACTTTAGAAGGAACCAGAAATCCAATCCTAAACAGATAAATCTCTACTCCTGTTCAAAAGACCATGGAGGAGTGTGAACCAGACAATAGGCAAATCTATCTACTCGTATTGAGAGAGAAGGAAGGTAAAAAAATAAATAAATAATTAGTGAATAAAATTTCCAAACTTCAAGCTGAGAGAGAGGAAGACAGACAGATACTAAACAAACCAAGAGAGAGACAGACAGACAGATACTGAACAAACCGAGAGAGCCAGACAGACAAATACTGAATAAACCAAGAGAGAGACAGACAGACAGACAGATACTAAACAAACCAAGAGAGAGACAGACAGACAGACAGATACTAAACAAACCAAGAGAGAGACAGGCAGACAGACAGATACTAAACAAACCAAGAGAGAGACAGACAGACAGACAGATACTAAACAAACCAAGAGAGAGACAGGCAGACAGACAGACAGATACTAAACAAACCAAGAGAGAGACAGGCAGACAGACAGACAGATACTAAACAAACCAAGAGAGAGACAGACAGACAGATACTAAACAAACCAAGAGAGAGACAGACAGACAGACAGACAGATACTAAACAAACCAAGAGAGAGACAGACAGACAGATACTAAACAAACCAAGAGAGAGACAGACAGACAGACAGACAGATACTAAACAAACCAAGAGAGAGACAGACAGACAGATACTGAACAAACCGAGAGAGCCAGACAGACAAATACTGAATAAACCAAGAGAGAGACAGACAGACAGACAGATACTAAACAAACCAAGAGAGAGACAGGCAGACAGACAGACAGATACTAAACAAACCAAGAGAGAGACAGGCAGACAGATACTAAACAAACCAAGAGAGAGACAGACAGACAGATACTAAACAAACCAAGAGAGAGACAGACAGACAGATACTAAACAAACCAAGAGAGAGACAGGCAGACAGACAGACAGATACTAAACAAACCAAGAGAGAGACAGACAGACAGATACTAAACAAACCAAGAGAGAGACAGACAGACAGACAGACAGATACTAAACAAACCAAGAGAGAGACAGACAGACAGACAGACAGATAAAAAAACAAAGAGAGAGAGACAGACAGACAGACAGATACTAAACAAACCAAGAGAGAGACAGACAGACAGACAGACAGATACTAAACAAACCAAGAGAGAGAGAGACAGACAGACAGATACTAAACAAACCAAGAGAGAGAGAGACAGACAGACAGATACTAAACAAACCAAGAGAGAGAGAGACAGACAGACAGATACTAAACAAACCAAGAGACAGACAGACAGATACTAAACAAACCAAGAGACAGACAGACAGATACTAAACAAACCAAAAGAGACCAACAGACAGACAGACAGATACTAAACAAACCAAGAGAGAGACAGACAGACAGACAGATACTAAACAAACCAAGAGACAGACAGACAGATACTAAACAAACTAAGAGAGAGACAGACAGACAGACAGACAGACAGATACTAAACAAACCAAGAGAGAGACAGACAGACAGACAGATACTAAACAAACCAAGAGAGAGACAGACAGACAGACAGATACTAAACAAACCAAGAGAGAGACAGACAGACAGACAGATACTAAACAAACCAAGAGAGAGACAGACAGACAGAGATACTAAACAAACCAAGAGAGAGACAGACAGAGAGATACTAAACAAACCAAGAGAGAGACAGACAGACAGATACTAAACAAACCAAGAGAGAGACAGACAGACAGATACTAAACAAACCAAGAGAGAGACAGACAGAGAGATACTAAACAAACCAAGAGAGAGCCAGACAGACAGATACTGAACAAACCGAGAGAGCCAGACAGACAGATACTGAACAAACCAAGAGAGAGAGAGAGAGAGAGAGAGAGAGGCAGATACTGAACAAAGAGAGACATATAGATACTGAACAAACTGATATAGAGAGATAGTGGACAAACTGAGATAGATACATTGATATTGAACATGAGAGAGACAGAGACGTAACTGAAAGATGAAATGTAATTTATCCCCCCAATGAGAGATACTACACTTTGATCCCAGCCAAAAGGGTGGGTAGCTATGGCATATGTGATAAAGACACCATTTTTCTGATGTACAATATCTAACCATAGAAACTAAGTTAGGCAATTGCCAAAAATCCAGTTATCATAAATAAAGTAACATCGTCTGCTGAATTATTTTAAAATTATTATTAAGAGAAATCTTCATAAAGCAGGGATTTAGCTAGAACAAATAAGTATCCAGCTTATTTCAGAAAACAATGGACAGGTACGCAGTGTAGGCTAAGAAACATGCTCATTGGTCAATTTCTTTTGTTAAAAATTCATTAGGATCTACCACAATGCATCACATTGCTTTGCATACCTATTTAGTCCTGGTTTTTACTGGGATAGATATCCATAAAATCAGCTCAAACCTCAGGGGCCCATCTCCCAGGATTTGGGCTGGACACATTACCTGTCACCTTTGGCAATCTCAAAATGGGAAGTGCCAAGGGGGCTTGAGCAATTTTTTCTAATTTTCCTGAAATCCCACATTAAACTCAGCCTTGCACCACATTGTGCATCGTAAATAAATAATGCACATCTTTCTCTGATTTTAACTACTATTCTTTTTCAGTACATAGGCGATCATAGGTCTCCACAGCTCCCTTCTCTATGCATGGCTATATTTGTTTCATTATTTACCCACTTCCTTTTGCTAACAGAATGCGACACTTTGGTCAGTTTACTTTGGGATGCTGTTTGTTCCTGTGGAAGACAGACTGGTTTCCTGTTGCTTTCTTCATGGTTCTCAATTTAGCATTTTCATTTTATTTGACTGTTTACTTTAGTAATTTTCCTTTCTCCCCATCCCCAATTTTTCCTAACAGAATTAGTAATCACTGAGAGTATTAAAAAAAAAAAAAAAAAAACAAGATGTTGCTTGACAGGACTGGTTCAGGGGTCTTGTGGGCCCCTCTTGGATCTTTGATATGGGGCTCCTAGTCTATATAAATTGTAACCTAATTATGCATAATAATGGATCATATGCAATATATGTAAACAATTCAACTAGAAAAATTATTAAAAAAAATACAATGCATCTAAATACAAATGTCACAATGTTTTATGGCAATTTTTAACATCAATTTGAGAATTTTCCTTGTTAAAAAGTTGAATTTTAACACGTTCAACATTATGGATAAAAAATAGTGAATTTTATATAGAGTTTTTCTGAGACTTATCATGAGCAAATTCATGGATTTGGATGAAAAAAAAAAAAAAACAACACCAGAATGACATCAAAATCCACAAAAGTTTTTCCTTCTTTACTTGTGCTTAGTTTAATTTGTAATATATATAAATGTAGGTAGAAAAAAAAGCAAATGTTGATAAGATAGCAAGGGTAACAAAACACTACCCCAGCACCCTCAGTCAGATCCCCCCACCCCCACTGACTGAGGCAGTCAGAGGTAGTACATGCTGTTCCTAGACAAGGACAGTAGAACAAGAACAATCTACACTCATAGATAATAAATAAACGGTTCAATTCAAAATTCCCTGAAGGTTTACCAGATTGACAAGTACCTGCCTGAAGAAGGCCATAGCAAACAAAGGCCGAAACGTTTGATTCATTCATTCATTTATTTATTTTCTACTGCTTATCAACCCTTTCTAGGTTATTTAAAACCAGAAAATATTTTAGATTGTAATAATTTATTTTTTTACAGATAATAATGTAGGTACCTCCACTAGGTCGCGTAAAAAAGCAGCATAGCATGATGAAAAAAGGCCCATAACTCAACGAAAACAAAGTTTTGTCATCAAAATGTTTATGTTATTATTAAAAGAAAAGACCAAAGTATTTTTTTTTATTATTTTTTGAAATTTTTTACTCCTTTCTAGCACGTTCAAAATTTTGGTTAAAAATTTTTTTTTTTTTTACGGCAGTGGTTGAAAAGAGAAAAATGGTTTGTTTTATTTTGCGCTTTTCCCGAGGAAAACACATTAACTTGGAAATTCTTGCAAAATTCAGATAATTGTCGGATTTTAATGAAATATTCAGAAATGAATGAAATTATTTTTGAAATTTTTTTTTTTAGAAAATCTTAGTAAAAATTACTTTTTTTTTTTTTTTACATGTTTCCACCCCCTTACATATTTTCATGAAATTTTGAGAAATTAAATTTTTAAGAGTAGGATTTTTTTATTAGTTAAAAACAGGACTCTTTAGAGAAAGTAAGTCACCAGTTCTTTTTTTTTTTTTTTTTGTAAAACAGTTACCTGTTTCATCGAAAATCTGCTCTGAATTGTAAAAAAAATGAAAAAAAAAACTGTGACATTATTTAATTAGAAAAGCTTTTATTTGTTTTGTAAATAAGTTATATTAAAGACATTGAAGAAATAAAACTTTTTCAATGAATAATGTATTTTTACAAGAATTTTTTTCATTTTTTTTTAAATTTTAATAATATAATAGTTCAAAAATCATTTTAAAATACTTCATTGTTTTTAAACATGCAATTTGACGATATCGTTAAGTGAAAAGTAAATTTACAAATCAAAATTTGAAAAGCTCATAACAGTCATTTGAACCCGAATATTTTAAAAATAATTTTAAAAATAAATTTTTAGTGAAAAAAACGTTTCTAATTTCTATCTATGGGAATCTATACATGACATAATCCTTAAAAAGGTCACATGATTTGAGTTGTCTGCCGCACTGCAATTATTTCTCTTCAATGTCCAGTTCTGTTTCACATCGTTAATGTGTTTGCAAAAAGTCCTTTCAAAATTTCAAAGTTTTAATTTTTGTTAATTACTTTTTTCCAAGTATTACATAAATGCTCAATAAATGTTAATATTTAAAAATTACTAGTTAAAAACAAAAAAAAAAAACGCATTTGCTTACATTTCGTAAAATTATGTCAATTTTGGTCATCCATAGTAGCTGTCATCACCTCGTAACTTCTCAATAAAATTGATAACTTCATGAGAAAATTCAGACACATCATAAAGAAATGTTTGGATACAATTTTTTTATGCTATAAGTAATGTTTGTTTCAAATCAGATTAATTTAACTTTAAATTTTCTAATTTTACTCAAATAATGTGTCAAAGATATATAATTTATTTTAGGAAGAAGTTTAAAATTAAAAATTGTTTTTGTTTACAAATTTCTTAAAATTTAAGAAAAATGCTGCTTTTAAGAAAATTAAGAAAAAAAAAAAAAAATCAAGCATATATTCGACATTCCAATCTATATAATTTCTATCTCAAATACACCAGAATATTTTACTTACTGGAAATAATAAATTTAATTCTTTAGCTTTCAATTAAAGCTAAAATAAAATCTTTAAGAATGCTTTTTCATTTTTAAAAATTCATTTTAAACCTTAGGTATCAAAAAATTGACCGGAGGTATACTGATAATAATGATTTATTTTAGTATTACAAGTCCTACTAATTAACCCACAGCTAAGGGGAAAATAGCTGGATTCAACAGGAAGTGGAAATCTGTTATTCCAAGTTATTACCCATTACACCACCAACCACCTGATATTTCCAAGCAATGACCCATCTAGGTACTAACCGGATTCAACATTGCTTAACTTCAGTGATTGTATGGGAACTGATGTTTCAACATGATATGGCTGTAAGCTACATACAACAAAGATGAGGATATTAGTCCAAATGTAATATATGTGGAGAGGAGATGATTAGTGTATTTCAATACCAGGGTCAATCGGACCCAAGTTTTAAAAGAAAGGAAATTTTCTCTAACCAAGCAAAGACTTCCACTAAAACAACAACTAGATACTAGTTGTGTCCTACTTTAGTACTGGTTATTTAGTACTAAACTAATAGAACACAATTTTCCAATCTCTTCGCCAAGTGCTGTAAAAGCTTATAGGCTGCTTCTTTATTTTTTTTTTTTTTCAGAGTTGCTGCTGTTACTCAGTCTAATAATGTCTTTTTCATGATCAAGCAAAAAAAAAATTTCATAGTTATGACTTTATTAATACTTTATTTTTAAAAATGCAAACCTTCTTCTCTTTTTATATGCCATGTCCCTTCAAGACGTAGGCGATCATGGTTCTCCACTTCCCCCTATCCCTTGTAGCTATCAATAAGTTCCTTCCTTCTGCTACCTCCCCCAGACCTTGTTCTGTCATCCACTTGCTTAAGACCGCTAGGTATATCATGCGTCACTTTCCCTTGTCTCTCTTTCCCTCTATTCGTCCTGCGAGTATCAGATTCTCCAAGCCCTCCTTCCTCATTACGTGTCCCAGAAATTTCAGCTGCCTCTTCCTGATGTTAATAAGCTTCCCCCTTGTTTGCATCCTCTCCAAAACCTCATCGTTGCTCACACGGTCCGTGACATCCTTAGCATCTTTCGGTAGAACCATACTTCCGTTGCCTCAAGTCTCTTCTTCATCTTTGAGGAGACCGTCAAACATTTGCTGCCATATAGGAGGACAGACGTCATGTAGCAGCTCAGTACTCTTTCTTTGTTACCAAAGAAATCCTGTCATTACTAATTCCTACGTAAATGCCTTGAAACCGGTAGATAAGAACAATTTGAGATTGGAACTTATAAGATTAATTTTTATAAATTAAGAATAATAGACACCGATTCTACAGAATAAATGATAGACACAAACAGAAAAATAACAACATCACATACGTTTTGTTAACTAGTTAACAGAACTTAAATTTAAAAAGAAAAAAATTAGAGGGCAAATTTCACGAGGGAGGAAGGGCAAAGATATCGGAGCCTCGTGGATGTTATTTTACTGCGAGTCATTGAGGTAAAGCATGGTAATGGTTTCGTGTTACATGATAACTTACATTAAGACCGAAGAGTAAAGATATTGATCTCTTGTAACTTCATTCAATCATATTTAGAAAATTCGCGTGTTTACGTGCGGGCGCTGCCATCTTGAATTTTCGATTGCGGTGTAAAAAGACAAAGTGTACCCCCAATTAAGAAACATACATCCACAGTGGAAAATTTAAATGAAAAAAAATGATCAACAATTCTTTTCCATTTTCGATCATGATTTTTTTTTTGAATGACCACATATTTACAACTGGAATTTGAAAAAAGAAAAAGTTAATAGCAAAAATTTTTCTAAATACTGAATCGGTAAAAAATATGAATTAGTTTTTACTTTTTTTTTAGGTACTGACACGGACTTTTTTAAAAAACGAAAAACATTTTTTATGGCTTCTTTTGAACTAACATAAATTTCGGTTTCATTTGAAAGATGATGGTCTAAAAAAGCCTAATCCAAATTAAAAGAAAAATAATTTCTGTATATAAATAAACGTTTTAGGTATTCTTAAACTCAAAGCATTCATTAGTATTTTTTCGCCTGCAATAATGTAAACAAATTCTCTTTAAAATCCAATATTTGTTATAGAGATGTGTTTCAAAGTATATTAGTAAATTTACGGCTTAATTAACTGGGTTAAGTAATAAAAATGATTACATTTTATTTTTACTTAAAGCACAATGAAAATAACATTTTAAGTGCGTACACTAACCAGTGAGGCCAAAGGATAATTTTGAAAAATATTAATTCTTCCCATGTCTGAAAAAGCGCGGGAAACGTAAAGAAATCCTAAAGATCAGCAGTGCAATGGTTAAGAATTTGTTATTTATGTTTAAAACAACGAACTGAAACGAAACGTTTCACATGACTTCACAAACACTCTTAGTCTTCTCTGATTAATTCAATTCTTCTCTTCATTTTATACTAAAAAGAATTTCGAGTAATCTGTAGAGGACCGTGTCGGCGATGTTGAGTCAGTAGATGAACACACGTCGGTTGAAATTTTCTTGCTAGCCGGTCCAACTACATGAGAAAGTTGTATAGAATTATCAATGTTTGTCTACCCACCCCCGTTAAAAATAGACTCTTCTATAAGAATTAGCTTTGACCAATCAACAACACCACACATTGCGAAACTCGGCTTGTTATTGATCGAGACGACCCAGAAAATGTGTATCCATGGTCAAAAATCTGTTTTTCCGCCAGGTCGTTGAAGCCTACTTTGGTTTTTCAAAACAAATAAAAGGACGAACTTCAGTCCAATTCACCAGTCAGATCTTCATTCGGTCGCTCAAGTCTTGAACGACAGATCGGTTGAACTCTCTGCCTTCGGGCGGGGAGGAACCCGAAGGAGGCTACGCCGAAGGGCGGATTCTCTTTCAGGGAGGTAAACCGACCCTGAACCCGTTTATACGGGTTCAATGGGCATATTTTTGGCTGAGCCCACGGGCTCAGAGAGCCCACGTTAAAAAGACCTTGTTCCACATAACGCCCTCGTGGGGGTGGGGGGTGACTGAATATCGTCAGATCTTCATTCTTAGAGAGACGCCAAACTGACGCAAGTACTCAAAACTCTGACCAACCAGGACTTTGCCGCGCAAAATATCTGACTCAACAATCCACAAGCACACTCTATCTCTCTCAGGAACTAAATCCAAACATCACTTACGATACTTTAAAAAGTGACATTTTTTCTCACTACTTAAATAAGTATTAGTAAACAAACAATCAAATTCTCACACAACTAAAGGTACGCAACTCCTACCAATTATACAAACAAACTTACGTACACACACTAATAACTGAACTAGTACAAAGGACAATATAGTACGTAACTGGACACTTAGTTTAACTTTGTGAACAAATCTGAATAGCAATTGCAAACACCTTCAAACATTCACAATAATATTCTACGCAGCCAAATACATCTATTCTCATTTATCCATCAAAGTTCAACTCAATTGTATTCGAAAATTTTATATTAATTGTATATATATGATATGCGTTACCTGGGACAACCCTATGCATATGATATGCATGTTGTTTTAATCGGTGTTTCTTAATCAATTGCCTCGTGATTGATTCGTTTTTGTATATCTATATTCTATATTGTTGCAGATTAATATGGTGAACATGCCCGTAAACTAACCATCTTAATATAAAAACCTTCTGATACCAAATTCAAACTCATAGCAATCCCAACAGTTGGACTCTAATTAAGTCCAAAGAAGGCAAAGAAAAACAAACACAAGACCGATCAATATATGTAAACAAATATATGTATTAATAACAAGAAAGGTTACAAGATACATGGACAGTTACATGGACAGAGTGTGAGTGGTGAATATTATATGTGTGTGTGTGTGTGTGTGTGTGTGTGTTGTGGTGAGTGTTCGTACATACGTGTATTGTTCTTAGCGTGTTCCCAGAATTTGGGAAACGCTGTATCTGTGAGAGCTCACATCTGCGAGGTGGTATAAGGCCGAAGCCTGAAGAAAAAGGTTATTTATTTCTGTGCTATAACAGAAAATGTGGCACAAGGCCGAAGTGGGGAATGGGGAAAAGGTCGGTCTTCTGTCTTAACTTCTAAACTTAGCTAGCCAAAAACGCTGACCCAATCATACTAACAATATTTCTTGCACCAAAACAATACATTCTTACTTACCTTTCTCACCATACCCACCATAATACCTCAATGACTCCATGAAAATACTAACTAGACCCCATATGTACAATTTGTGGTCTGCGGGGGGAGGGGATTAAAACAACAATTTAAATTTTTTTAAAAAAATAATCCCAATGAGCATTTACAGTATGAAACAAATAACTATTTACAAGAAACTAAACAAAATCGTGTTAGTAATAAAACCCCCACAATCACTAAATGTGGCAGAAACATCAGTTAACTAGACGAAATTAATGCGGGACTATAAAAAATTAAAAACATTCATTCATCCCAAGCACTCACACAGACATGCACTCATTCACACACAACAACAGATACGAAAAATCACACCCGAAACAAAACAAAAAAACGCCCTGCATCCACCAGAGAACTGACGTCACTGACCACCTAACGAGGGGATTAAACTTAAAGAAAGATAGGGACAGAAATAAAAGGGGCCAATGAGCATACATACCCTAGCTAAGTTTACTGAAAAAGGAAACTAAAGAATCAAAAAACTAAACCTAAGCTAACCTAAATTTTGGGGTGGGTTGACCGTGTTCAACCCAGCTAAAGCAATATCCTTATGGCTAACCGGCATCAAAGTGCCACTCCAGGTTAGCCCCTTTCACACGACACAAACGCGCAAGATTCACCCACCTTTTGCCGAATTCAGTGAAGTGAATCTTTCCAACCTAATCTTGACTTTAAACTGATGCTTAAACTACAAGATCAGCTGGGAAGAGGTAAACTTCTCGCCTTCATAGAATCTCTTCTGACATGTTGTCCAAATCACGACTCTCATAACACCTAGTAAGCATAAGAACACATCGTGTTCAGCCCTCGTCAACGGCGGAGCCACATTACTACAAACAGAAGCGGCCTCAAGGACAAAGAACTTTCCAGCCAGCATGCAAACCATGAGGCCTTCAACATACTTGCACAGAGGTGCTACCACCGAGCAATGAAAGAAGGTGTGACCAATGGTCTCGACCTCCCCACTACAGCGTCGGCAGTTTGGATATTTCTCCAAGCCCGCTAAGCAAAGTCTTTTGGTGACCCAGAGGGCCCCACGCATCACCAGCCAGGTGAGTGATGCCTCATTGTTATTGAGACATTTCAACCCGGGCGCCCAAGGCCATATCGAGCGAGCCTC